TTCTCCATCAATATACAATAATGACACCAACAACATCAACTTGAAGGTTTGCAATTTGGATGTCGTACAACCTAAACATGTTTCATAAGCATCGTTTCATAAGCGACGCACTGACATGGCAAAGTTTCAGAAGTAGTGCAATAAAGAGCGCACTTGTCAGTCGATGTATTGGCTTACCGTGGCTCGGTCGTCACAGATGGCGACAATGAAAAGACTCGCCCATTCCTATACATAACGATCAATGGCCTGCTAAAGCTGCAAATCCCTGCTTTCCGACACGAAGTATCAAACGAATTCGAAACTCTATTCTCATGATAATTAGAAAGACCTTTTTGAATGGAATTCAACAAGAAGAAATAAGCTGACACAGCGATACTTTTATTCCAAACAACACATTGGTATTGAAAAGAATACATTTGAAAAGAATGTACAAATTTAAATGTTGATACTTACTTGTTCCTTAAGAAGAGAGCCTTGTCTTCTATAAAACATGCAAAGGCGTCATACGCAAATACCCCTGGATCATTTGAATTGAATCTTGACTAATACGCCTTTTGTGTATCACTGTATTGTCACAAAGCAACCCCTGTGTGATTTATAGTTCAACCCGCTGTACGGTTAGATGCATGGCTCTTTACCCATCATGGGTTCAACAAGAAACCTGTTAATGTGGACTTTTTCATATTGAAGAGTACATGACAGATTCACATGGTTTCAGCTGTGGTAGTTATATAAAGAAATTCAAGGGGTAACCAAGAGCATATCCGTCAACCAGGGGTTTGGAGAACAAACTGACATGTATGATTGTTCATTATTAAGCTACTCATGACGGATATACATGTATATGCAAGGGATTTGAGGTTCGCCAAGTTAACTAGGGATTTAACGATAGTATTTCTGAAAAGAGGTAACTATTTAAACGATTCTTTAGTCTTCACACCCAGAGCTAACTATACAGTGGTTTGATTCAAAATCATACTTGCTTACTGTGCCTTAGTACCGATAACAATTTGATTTTTCCACTACCAAGTCTGTCCGACAGTTATACAACGCCTGGTACAAGAGTTAAACGATATTTATTGACTTTGCAATATGGTGCCGAAATTGAAATTTACTGAGAGTGACTAACAAAGGTGATTATCGATCTCTGTTAACCGTTACGCCGGTGATGCGACTCGTTCATACCGAATCCGAGAACAAGGGTGCCATCATGGTCATAGTTGCGACCCATGTTATGGCATTGGATTTTGTCGTTAACCTCTAAATATATACTTTTCGAAATAATATTTTTTTAAATCGATAACAACAGTTATTCAAATTGTTATATTCAGTGACATTGTAATTAGGTTTAGTTTGTAGAGTGAGTGAGTGAGTTGTGTTTAAGGCCGTGTATTCCAGTTATATCACGGCTTGTCAGCTTAATGTGGGAGGAAAACCCGAAGTGATGCAGGTCTGAGAAGTTTACCACTTCGGGGAAACCTACGAGCACGGGTATGGTGCTGACAATCCTAGAAACATAATCGTGGTGAACCGTGATTAGAACCCACAATCATAGCTTTCTGGCGTGCCCAAGGGACGCTACTCTGCACAGCGAAATGGGGTGCCTGAGACGACTGGGCCACCCGTGCCCCCTTAGTTTGTAAATACAATGACACCTCGATAAATGGAAATTCATTATGTCGCTATAGCGTTGAAGACTTTATGGTTCCGCAAAACATCAGCACAATGGTTAGATATCGGGACCTGGTTTCCGCATGTTCGTAATAGAGAGGTTTTAAGGTATGGTCTTTACCTGAAGGTAGCCTAGTGATTAAAGCATTCGCTCGTCACGCCGAAGGCCCGGGTTTGATTCCCCGCATGGGTACAAAGTGTGAAGCCCAAGTGTGGTCCCCCACCGTGATATCACTTGAATATTGCTTAAAGCGGCGTAAAACCATACTCACTCACCTAACTCACTCAAAAGCAAAAATGACATTGAATGAAACACGTCAACGTCTGAGAATATCAGTTTTGATTATCTGCCGAAACAGATTCCATTGGCAAACTAGTTGTGAAAAATATATGAATGGATCACTGAAAATCAGTGTTTACACCATGAAACTACTCTTTAATAATAAGCTTTCTGAGGAACATCTTTTACACAACGTTCTGTTTTACATTATGCAGGTCCTATAGATGGTCAACTTCAACAAGTTATGGATGTTCCCTTTAAAGTTTGAAATGTTCATAGTCAGACCTGATCATGTCAATTGCAAATTGTTGTACGACTCTGAATAAAATTGTAACGGATAGATTCGGGAAATTGGCAAAGGGTCTAATTTCAGCTTCATGTATAGCGATGATCTGCGATCGTAAAATAATCGCTAAACAGTCAGTTCCCTTCTACCGATTTATCCACCTGAACTAGAGATGAAAGAATAACGTGATCTATTCACACATAGTCAGAGTGACAAAAGCTTTCTGTATGCCAAGGGGGATATGGTACATTTTTCCTTTATGTCGAGCAATATAACATCAGCTCAAGCCTTTGGTGTCCACATATTACAACTATTGAGGTAAATCAAGCACACTCTTTCTACGAATATTTCAAAGCACGTTATAAGACTTTTGCTCAAAATATGTTTAGGTATACAACAATTCAAGGTCTTAGTCAGGCTTTAAATATTGTTATGGTAGATATTTTCAGGGCATTTTGACCCATCAGTGACCTAATTGATGTCCAATGCAACTCACTTTTTTCACTTGTACTATGGGTTCCCGTGTTTTTTCGGGTGAAGACTTCATTTGGTGTTGCATGTGTTGTGACGGGTCCCACCTTTTCGCGAACACTTAGACTCATCACTTTTTGATAGTGATTCGTAAACACGTACGTATGATCCAGCTGTAATCTTGCAACGGACGTGTTTTGCAGAGATTTCTTATCATTTTGGAAATGATTTGTGCTTTTATTTACTGAAGTCATTTATTATTTAATTTAGAAACCGTTTTTGAAGGTAGGATTTCACCAACAAAATTTACACCAGTACCCAATCTTTTGCAGGTCACAGGGTTTGCCTTGGCTTACCTTTTGTTTTTAGTCACATGTGCTACAGATGCACTTTGTTTATATGAACAACATACATTGGTAAATTGTGAATACATGTTCATGCCTTAAAATGTATCGTTCCCAGCTTCAGGGCCATGCATTTTGCCTTATAAGTAGGAACGACAAAAGAGATATAGCATCCTACGGGAGTCAAAAGGAAACAAGTAAAGAAACATGTTAGGAGAATAGGAGTAATCACATCATGGTTCGGTCGAAATTGAAATAACTTGTGGAACATTATTGGGAGAGCAATAATAAATATATTGTGGCCACACCGTATGGATGTCAGGTTATGATAAAAAGGTTGTGTAAGTAGATATCAGTACAGGACGACATGGATGATTTATGTAGTGTGAGTGTAAAGTCGGACTTGCTCCGCAGTCTGAAGTTCATGTTTTATCAAGGTCTAGGCTGTGTAGTGATAATGTATAAAAGTGAAAGTTTGTCGCAGTAGTTGTAATCACCAACAGTAAGACTAATATAAACTATTCAATTAACGTTAGCAGCTAACCAAAGCGGTGTTGACTTGAATCCATTGTGCTATGACTACTTATTTGTCGAACCTAATCCCCCATTAACAAAATGACGCAGGGTCACCTTTACCACCATGTTGTAAATCATGAGCACCGTCATGTTGCTTAAAGAAGGATGGTAACGGAGTCACTTCTAGGACTTGAGCCCTTTACCAGTGAAGCTCTGGCCAGTTAAGGAACACGGTCTTGTGCACATAATAGCGAGGATAAAGTGATGTAGTTGATGTACAACTTGTTATGTAATCAATATTTCACCCTGTTTGACAATTAAAAAGCCTGAAGTGAATCCCACGAGCACTTCAATTATGCTGACAAACCAAGGAACATAACCAGGGGGGCTATTGGATTCAAACCTACCACCTTAGGTTGCTGTCACACCTATGACCCTGCACAGAGTCTGTGTATCAGACGACTGGGCCCAGCACATTAAATATAATGCTGCTTACGTGTTCAAAATGCTGCTCATGTACCCGATATTCATGTTTTTGTTTTCAAATGTATTGGCTCTTACTTGAAATGTAATAATCAGTATATTCTTTCTGCAATGTACATTGGACTATTTATGAGTATTTACAGTAATGGTAGAACCTAATTTCTCTTGACAGTCCCCATGTGAAAAATTACACACAGAGTGCAAGGCTTTAATGTTACATCTTATTTTTATACACTTTATAACGATGATCGGTACACATAGTGTTGGCGCCCCCCCCCCCCCCCCCCCCCCCCCCCCCCACACACACACACACACCACACACACACACACACCCAACCCCTTCTATGTCAACGACGCGTAGATATTGTGCATAGGGAAGGTAGGCATGAAAATCACCCAACATAAGCACAATAACATACTTGAGTAAACATAAATATGTGTTTTGCAGAAATGCGCACGGTACAATATCATTATAATGATTCCAAGATGGCCGTGATATCACGGTCCTAGCACGCAGAAAGAGCGTGAAAAGTGCATTAATGTCAAAAGTAAGGAGTGGACAAATTTCTGCTGAGGTCTGTATATTTCTAAATAAATTCGTGAACATAGCGGCCATATGTTACCCAAGGAACAACAGCTCACGCGCTGTTAGGAATTTTAGTTAAAGCAAATCAATGTCTGTGGTAGCTGCCACTGCGATCAACCAATGGTAGGGTGAGCACATGACAAAATATCAATATGGCATAGGCGCAACTCAATAGGTAGCTGATAGTCCCAAGTTAAGTCACGTGGTTATTTTACGAAGGTATAAAATAAAGAGAGGCGGACTAATCAACTGAGACTTCTTCTCCAAGAGTGCAGTGCCAAATACATTTCTGTGTATTTATCCGTACTTGCGAAAACTTGGACTATTGGAGTGCTGACAAGACAAACGAGTCGTAGATCGACTAAAACAAAGGGAGCCATGGCTCGTTCCCTCAACCCGTTTCTCTCTATTATACTATGGATATTGGTAACCGGACCGGCGATTTCCTCGTAAGTATCTTTTTACTTTCAATACATGTGGCCTGACGTCATTTTATTTTGTTGTAAGAAGTATCTCCAAAACAAGAATAATAAAGATATGTGCAAGTTAAAATATTCGTACGATTTAGAATTCTAACGCTTACAGCATGGTTTTTCTAAACTATGAACAAAAACACAGTTGTAATTCAAACACTTTTAAGTGCCCAACGTTCGTATACCTACCAACATGCTTCCATGGCTTTTCCCCTCGTAATGTGGCATTGTAGACTTTCAAATATGTTCTGTGAATGCATAAGGTGTTTTGATGGTCGTGACCAAACCACTTTTGCCTATGTTACTTACAGTAGGAGCCCTGTTCATGTTCAGGAGCCTTGGCAGGAACGGTAGATCACCCAATAGGTCTTTATTTGCAAGACACTGTCAATGTATTGCGTTCAAACTAATACCTGTTCGACTCGGATTGGTTTCTTTACAAAGAATAACTAGAAAATAGCTAAGGTAACTTGCATTTTCTGCTTCAATCAAATCAGAACAAAACCCTAATTGATGGACATTTAATTTACATAAAAATTGTAATAGTTTGACATTTAAGAAGAATCTGCTTGACAGTTTGTCGATGTGACAGTTGACTCATGGTCGACTGAAGGCAGCCAGTCAGAACTGCAAACAATGCTTTCAAAATGGTGACAGCTGCTCGGGTCGGGACGTGTGACGTGGTGCTTACCTCGAGTTGACGTTTACCGCCCCTTCACATACTTCATAAGTTATCAATACATCTTTACAACTTTACATAAGATACATTAAATGATAAGGTGTTTATAGGCCTTCGTTAATTACTTCGCTCATCGCTTGAAGAACGTTCCTTTTTTATATAGAAGTTATAGCTTATACATTGTAATCGTTGATACAATATATAAAAATATCAATAATCGAGTTTGAATGGTGTATGCTATTTATTTTAACCATATAACCCCACACCTCCAACCCACAACTCAGTATTAATAATTGATTAGTTGAACGTTTCAAACAGCAAATGCCGAATGAGGGGATTCTGTAACTGAAAGGGTGTCATCATTTACATAATTACTTTCACAATGATATAATTTGTGTTATCATACTAGCCTGACCAGTTTCATAATAACCTGCTTACCATTTACACCAACACGGATATTAAGTGATCCAGTCATACAATTTCCATTACTGTTTTTGCCTCTTACGCCCAATAGGGTCAATTTCATCATATAATCGAGATTATGTTTTGACGTTGACGCTTTATATTCACTGTGATATAATTTTATTATCACAATAGTCTTACAATTTCATAATAAATTTCACTATGATATCATTGTATGTTCTTAATAGTCTTACCAGTATCTTAATAAATTTCACTATGATATTGTATTATCTAACTAGTTTACCAGTTTCATAATTAATTTCACTATGCTATCATTGTATTATATTAAAAGTCTTTCCAGTTTCATAATAGATTTCACTATGATATCATTGCATTATCGTAATTGTCTTACCAGTGTCATATTAACTTTCCCCATGATATAATTGTAGTATCTTAATAATATCATCGCGTTTATAATTTCTGCACCAAGTTGCAATGGCTGTCACTTTGACATTATGTTACTTTTACAGAGCGGCGTACTGTAATACGACCAAACTTGAAGAAAAGAACGAAACTGCATCATGTACGCAATTGTTGACCATGGTCGGAAATGGATTTTTCCCGGTCATGGACGAGATTTACAAACTGAACCCAGGAAAGGATCTCAAGCAGAAAAATGCAGTGGAACTCTCCACAATGGACATCCCATGTTTTTATACTAGGTAAGTAATTAATATACATGCAAAAATATTTATCTTGTAGGCCGCTATCAAATTGTGGAGTGCATGTTCGCAAATAGTTCAACAAACATTGAGCTTCGAAAATGTTTCCCAGCATATGTCCAGTCAGCACGCTTAGGGTATTATACTTAATGCATCATTACTAGTTTGCTTGAACAACTTACAAAGTGTCTGCTACTTTATGTATTTATCAACAATTCTAAAGACAAATGTTTTGTTAATTCACATGTACACTGGGTGCAAGGGCATACACAAATAATCTAACGTGTGGGTGTCATAAACATCATTCACTCAAAGTCATATAATTAGCATGTTTTTAGCAAATCACGTAATTTATCACATGATAAACTTCACCGATCTGTACATTGTATGCTTGTACCTGGCGTCAAATGTATCATATATAAATAACTTTTATCTTATTAATTCAAAGTCCTGTTTTGTTGATTTCATCTTTATAAATAACTAGTGATGTTAATTTTTTAATAATTTTCCTGTATGTCACTCGCCTCTGAATTGTTTCCACTTGCTTTACAATAACATTACTACGAGTTAAGAATTGCATAGTACATGTTTTTTTGACAATTGTCATCTGTAGATAAAACATTGGTCCAACATGCCGTGGTGTCCGTTGCCATTGTCCGAGTTTTATATTTTTCGGCGATTCCTCTCATCCAAAAGGTCAATGATGATGAAAGTGTGTCTCTAGGATCAGGTTCCGAAAGTCAGACCAAATTTTTAAAATGGCAGCCTTATTAAAAATAAAAGTGTAGCCCATTTCTAGGGATATTTGAAGTGTAGTAAGGTTGTTTGCATAAATACCCAAATAGATCTAGTGATCTCGACATATCTTACAAAAGTGCTTCCCTTAGCTAAAATGTGTGTAAATAATATTAGCCATTTATTGTTTCTTGTCAAATGTACATGCAAAAACATTTAACTGAAAACTTGCATGCACCGCTTGCCCTTCAAGCGACTCACAAGTCTGTTTACATACGCAATACATGATTCAGATCTGGGACCTCATGGGACGTTAAATGACAGTATATATAAACGTCTATCTCGTCTTAATCTGTTTATTTAGTGATTAGTTTAAGGACAATACTTTTTTTTAGCATATTCAATTTAATCTGTTTAATTAAACTAGATATTTATTTGGTATCCAACAATTTTAATCTATGTACAAGATGGAACCGGTCTGTAAGTATGTTGCGACTTCCCCGTAGCATGTATTACCTACTGGAATGTTTAACCATCCCCTAGTGATAATCTGGAAGAAATACAATGTGATGAAACTTTGAGTTTGTCTGTAAATCAGGAGGAAGCAACATCTTTCTTCGTTGGGTAATTTAGAAATAGAAATGTGGTTTCTATTCCGTCCCTATTCACATTTCGTTATGGCAGACGAGATCATTGCTTTGACTGACCAATAAATATCTTTATAGCAAAAAAGAGGTGGACAAGTGGGGCTGTTGCGACGGTTACGGTGGTAACGACTGCAACGATCGTAAGTTAATCTTCTTATCATGTTATACTGGTGGTAACTGTTTTATCTAATTTCAAATTGAAAATGCAACACAACATACATGTATATTCGTCCTGTCGCAGTGTACAGTATTGCATTTATATCACTGCGGCCTTTAAATAATCGACCATAATTGCGCACCTATGCTTGACTATGAGTAACGATTACTGTTAATCACTTGAGTTAGCACGTGTGACTTTGCGTTATATACCAATGATATTCAATGGAATCACATGGGAGTTTAAAACATGAGCTGATGTATGATCTTTCCTTGTAGCTGTTTGTCAGGGTGGATGCGGGCCAGATGGGCTCTGTGTGAAACCCGACCTCTGCGAGTGTAAAAACAATTATACTGGGAGAAACTGTGAGGAGGCTCCAGGAGGTAAGTGGCATTTGTACTCAAATGTAATAATAGCATAACTCCCTTATGGAATGTCTCACTGCTACCGACATGATTTTTGCATTCTTTTTAATTGAACAATATAAACCAGATAGAGCCCGTAACAGACATTATCAAACCACATACTTGATATATATGTTTTTTGAAAGATGGTGATGGATTAAGATTTGAATACGTATTACGTAGATTCATAAAAATCCTTTATTTATATGTTCGTATATGTCTTCAATATAATGACGGCATAGTAATTGTCTTGTTATCCCACTTAAAACGATGTCAGTACTTGTTACAAACAATTCATCAACCCCTCTTAAAGCTGAATCGTTGTATGTGACATGTCGGATAAGACCAATACAAATTATACATATAATATCAACTCTAGGTACGTTTTATTGAGCTAAATATATTTCACTGAACAACCACAATAATTGTCATTGTCTGAACATATTTATATTTTCGTTCTTACAGAGTCCTACTGCTACGTTGGCAAATTCTGTAGCGGCTCCAAGAAGAGTCAGTACACGGCAGAAGGCCCTTGTTGTACAGAAGGTGGATCTTGGGGTAACCGAGACACTTGCAGCATCTGCAACAAGGGTACGTATGGGGAATACAATCGGTTCCAGAGATTATTACATTCGTTTATTAATCATACTGATTTTATCAAAGGAGTGTAGGTTTTATGGTATACACGAATTCGTAAAATCATCGAATCATAGAATTCATATTATCCTAGCGATAGCTTGGTTAGTCTAATTTGTACTTCTGTTTTGAACATGAAGTACATATACCATGCGACAGGTATACGTTAACTGTTCACAACAGATCTATATCGTTAACAACTTCATTAGAATAATATCTCGACTCGCGTTGCATGTATCCTTGAATATATGAAACAGAAGCATTTTATACTAGGTTAAATATTGATTAAATGTAAACCATATATGCTGCTTGTCAAATCGAATATAAGGACTTCATTTAAGGTGCAGTTAATTTGACTGTTTTTGGAATGGTAAATCCATTATGGCAATAACAGAATATATATATATATATACTACGATATGTTGACATGTATATAAAGTGATATGTTTCTTTTTCGATATAAGATAATATGAATTACAACATGATACGATGTGATAAGATTATATATGTGCAAACCCTGTCTCTGCAGTGAACGCAACAGTCATTGGCGGTGAGGGTGATTTCCGTACGAAGACCTGCCGATCTTTCGGAGAGTGCAGCTACCGTACCTTCGACGGCGTCGATTACCACTACTGTTCAACTTGCACAATGACTCTCATCCAGAACGCCAACATCAAGATCACCGCTTACACAACTTGTGATCCCGGTTCTACATGCAAGTGCAAGAAGGTAATTTGAGCCTTTCTTGTCTGAACTGATTTTGGCTTACATGTGATAGAAGGTTTTAGGTGTTCGACGAGTATCAGGTTTGAGAATTGAGATTTTTGTCGCATTAATTTTTTTAACCAAAATTAACTCGTTGACCGTTTAAAAGAGAGCAAATGTCACATCCGACAAATCTAATTTGCATATCGATACTTGATGACAAAGATGGCATGGTGAAACTAATCCAATGTATTCAAAGAGGGGGATAAAAGAATATGAAAGGGTGCATATTGCACAGTTTTGCTGAATGACAATAGCAGTGTATTAGGTATGTTATACAAATAGCAAATGGATATATGCCATGATAAAAAATATATTTGTTTGTAACTGTGCCTACAATACGTTTAGGCATTACGCGACAAAAATTGACATACGTACTACGTCAACAATGATGTCTGTACTACGTCAACAATGATGTCTGTAGTACGCCAACAATGGTGTCTGTACTACGTCAACAATGATGTCTGTACTACGTCAACAATGATGTCTGTACTACGCCAAAAAGGATGTTTGCCATACGTCAACAATGATGTCTGTACTACGCCAAAAAGGATGTTTGTCATACGTCAACAATGATGTCTGTACTACGACAGCAATGGTGTCTGTACCACGTCAACAATGATGTCTGTACTACTTCAACAATGATGTCTGTACTACACCAACAACGATGTCTGTGTTACGTCAACCTGTGGTCTTATTATTACCAGTGGAAATATATTCATTTTTAACCGTTTAGGCTATCCTAATACTTTTCACCCTCATTACCCTTATGAAGTATAACATTTCTTTCTTTTCAGTCTCTCACAATCACAATGGACGGAAAATCATACACCTACAGTAGCGAAACTGGAAAAGTGACCAGCCCTGATGGAACTGAAACTGAAATTTCAGGCGAACCAAAAAGCCTTGGAGGTAGGAGGAAAAGGAATGAACTACATAACACACACACACTCAGATACAAAGAACCGGGCTAAGTGCCGTAGTCATCTCGTACATTCACATATAACAGCAAACTACAGTGAAACCTCGTCATCACGAAGTCGTCACATCTCAGTATATGGTACCTGTATGGTCCCGCCGTATGTCACTTAAGTCTGAATTCCGGAATTCTCAACAAATACGATGGTACCCAGACCTTTGAGTTGACGAGGTGCCACAGTACTGATGAAGCAAAGTAATTCGTTTATGTCTTTCAAGTAACCCATTCCAACATACAAAAATCGTTTCAGATCTTGGCCTTGTTAGATGAAACGTTGTATTAACGATCACCGTTGCAACATAATGCAGATGATATGAATAAGATATATTTGTATAACATTGATAACCGGTGTAATATAAATGAAGTAATACAATTATAATGGTATCACAAATAAGAGAAATAATCGTTAACGAGGCATTACATAAGATAAAAGTAATCGTGCCTGGATTTTAATATGATTAAAAACGCGGTGATGTCGAAATAATGGTGACTGTGAGAATACAATGAAGATAAAAATAACGTGCTGTTAGGCGAGATAAAAACTACTGTGGGTATTGGGAGAAAGCAAGAGACAATGTCTTTGCGAGAATACATGTTATCATTCTTTTCAGACATTACCGTTTACGAAAAGATGGAACGTAAGAACTTCAAACTCTCGAAATTCGAGATCACCGTCGGTGTTGATGATGACGGTATGGCAGTGGTCACAGCCGACAGGGCAACGCTTGAAGATGGAGGTTTCACCGGAATGTGCGGTAACGGCAAGGGCGATCCAGCAGGTTCGTAATACTTATCACAAACTACGCTCTTCGCTTCACCTGAACAAAAAAAAAACAATATGGCAATATAAATGCCCAGAGAATAGGACTCTTTTATCAATCGCCTCAATTCTCCTGACATGTATTATATGCAAATTATTTTCTCTATAGCTGAATACGCTCTCCTAAGCAATCCCGTCGAAGTCAAGGGTATCGCAGGCAGTTTCAGAAGCTCAGACAAGGTAAGTTGTATGTCAGATCATTTTAACAGTAATGTTCTTTGAAACTGAAATACATGTATATATGCATATCATGAACCTTTGATGTATGTATTGTCAACAATCGTTGAACATGTATAACGTGCTACCAACCCCCTCTGTATATAATATGACATCAACCCCCTCTGTATATAATATGACATCAACCCCCTCTGTATATAATATGACATCAACCCTCTCTGTATATAATGTGACATCAACCCTCTCTGTATATAATGTGACATCAACCCTCTCTGTATATAATGTGACATCAACCCTCTCTGTATATAATGTGACATGAACCCTCTCTGTATATAATGTGACATGAACCCTCTCTGTATATAATGTGACATCAACCCTCTCTGTGTATGATGTGATATCAACCCTCTCTGTGTATTATGTGATTTCAACTCTCTCTGTATAATGTGATAACAACCCTCTCTGTGTATGATGTGATATCAACCCTCTCTGTATATAATATGACATCAACCCTCTCTGTATATCATGTGACATCAACCCTCTCTGTATATAATGTGAAATCAACCCTCTCTGTGTATAATGTGATATCAACCCTCTCTGTGTATAATGTGATTTCAACCCTCTCTGTATAATGTGATATCAACCTCCTCTGTATATAATATGACATCAACCCCCTCTGTATATAATATGACATCAACCCCCTCTGTATATAATATGACATCAACCCTCTCTGTATATAATGTGACATCAACCCTCTCTGTATATAATGTGACATCAACCCTCTCTGTATATAATGTGACATCAACCCTCTCTGTATATAATGTGACATGAACCCTCTCTGTATATAATGTGACATGAACCCTCTCTGTATATAATGTGACATCAACCCTCTCTGTGTATGATGTGATATCAACCCTCTCTGTGTATTATGTGATTTCAACTCTCTCTGTATAATGTGATAACAACCCTCTCTGTGTATGATGTGATATCAACCCTCTCTGTATATAATATGACATCAACCCTCTCTGTATATCATGTGACATCAACCCTCTCTGTATATAATGTGAAATCAACCCTCTCTGTGTATAATGTGATATCAACCCTCTCTGTGTATAATGTGATTTCAACCCTCTCTGTATAATGTGATATCAACCTCCTCTGTATATAATATGATATCAACCCCCTCTGTATATAATGTGATGTCAACTCTCTCTGTGTATGATGTGATATCAACCCTCTCTGTGTATAATGTGACATCAACCCTCTCTGTGTATGATGTCATATCAACTCTCTCTGTATGAAATGTACTATCAACTCTCTTTGTACATGTAGTATCAACTCTCTTTGTACATACTGTACTATCAACTCTCACGGCACATGTAATATCAACCCTCTCTGTGTACAATGTGATATCAACCGCCCCCCCCCCCCCCCCCCCCCCTCTCTCTCTCTCTCTTCTGTGTATATGATGGGATATCAACCTCTCTGTATATCACGTGTTATAACCTTCTGTGTATATGATGGGATATCAACCTCTCTGTATTTCACGTGCTATCGACCTCTTTGTATATGATGGGACATCAACCTCTCTGTATATCACGTGTTATCACCTTCGCTGTACATAATGTGATATCACTCTGTGTATGATGTGTTATAATTTATATCAACACTCCCTGAACATACTGCTGCTGAATATATAAATGATTTTTTGTTAACACTTCTGCATCCAATATGATGACTCTTTCTCCAGTGTGGCGAGGGTCTGAGACGCTGCGCTGCTGGGGAGGAGGAAGACAATGCTAGCAAGGCCTGTGCTTGGCTCAGAAGCAGTGGATTCAGAACCTGCAACGATATCGTGAGTAGCCTCTGGCTGCAGGGGGGGATAACTTTAGAAAGAAAATACTTTTACTGCAAAAAGAGATGGAGTGCATGTAAACGTCTAGAAAAGTTTGTCCAATTGTGATAAATTTGTTCCACTTGTGAGCTCGTCGAGTGTAAACCCGTTGTCTTGTAACGTTTATCAAATTGTAAAATGCTTGTCGACTCTGTATTTATACCTATGTCTTGTAACACGTGTGTTATTGTTATAGGTGAACCCCACATTGAGCCAGTATGAGTGCAAGAGAGCCTACTGCAATGCCGCGACCCCTGAGCTCAAACAGGAAGCTGTGTGCAACACGCTGTCTCTCTATGCTTCCATGTGTATTGCTAAGCAAGTCTACTTTAAATGGCGAACGAAGAGCTTCTGTCGTAAGTATACTATCCTATTTAGGCAAGATGAGTTTGATGATTTGGAAAATGCAATTATCATTGTTGCTGTTTCCTATTGCTGATCGTCCTATAATAACCGGAAACTATTAGTTATGTCATTACGTCTCTTCATTAAAACAATATTATTAATACAACCATTATTATTTTCATCCAAATAAATTGGGTCATGTTTTAATTCTTCAGCCAAGCAGTGCCCCGCTGGAAAGGTCTTCTCTGTGTATGCATCCCCATGCCCTGCAATGTGCGGTATGATGGACACAGAAAACCTTCTGAGGCTCAGTAGTCCAGAATGTTCTCAACACATGGCTGGATGTGTCTGCGAAGCCGGAAAGGTCATAGACAATGCAGGAAATTGCGTGGTCCCTAATGAATGCAAGTGCGTCTACGACAAGAAGCTTTTTGCCATCGACGAAAAGATGTACACGAAGGACAAGTGTATGTCATGGTAAGAGCACTTATTGCAAGTCTTTAGGATAAGTAAACTTTGTATTCGGAAGCTAGTCTTCGAAGAGAAACATAGAAAACACTTTCAGCTGGTTATTTGACAATTTCCTGCACAAAATAAGCACAGCATTGTCTTCTGCATGTAAGACGAATTCATTAATATTGTGTTAGTTTGGTTCTTCCTTGCGCCCTAACGACACAAAGAACACTTGTCAACCTGAGTTGAGATAACGGTAAATTATAGCGTCTGAACTAGGCGTATCACGTAATTATGTCGCGGAAAAAACAACCTACCATGTTGGGCTAGATATTTGAAATACTCACTTTATGACTGTCTATTAAAGTTGCGAATTAACCAGAGTAACGAATAAAGATTACCTCTGCCCTGCGCCTGAGATCATGGTCCATCAAGGGCTTAGCGGGGCGAATCTCCAAACAATCGAAATGAGTTCAAGGCTTGTATGGATAGAGGGGCCAATGAAATAGTGAGATAATGTACAAATGTATAATTGTTGAAGTAACGAATCTGCCTTTCATTACAGTACCTGTCAAACCTATGGCATATGGAAATGTGTTAAGGAGGACTGTCCAGGCACCTGCGAAGTTAAAGGTCTCAAAACCGTCAGACAGTTTGATCAGTCCTCTTTCAAGGTGTCCAACAGAGGAGCAACTGAGTGTTCCTTCACATTGTTGGAGGTAAGGGGATATTACTGTGATACACAGTTACTGTGAGGAGAGATAAAATTGATCTTTTTGGTTATGTTGAAGCGGGCACTATGGTATATGATACTAGTATTTAGCATGACCACTAGCATGTCGCTCAAAATAAGCAATCACTAACTGCAATGAATCTGTTGTAGCTCCCAGGCAAAATGAAAGTCGAAGCTGCAGCAGCAGCAGACATGAGTCTCATGACAGTCACAGTTACCAGAGGAAGCGACAGCTATCAGATCGGTGTGAAAGACACCACCTTCAAAGTGAATGGTCAAACCAAACCTCTTCCATTCTTCAAGACTGGATTGTTCATCAGCACAGCCGCGGATATCTACGTTGTTGAATTCATGGACCTCACAGTTTCAATCGACAAGACCAGCGGTATCCACATTTCAGCAAGACCCAGTGTCTACTCAACCAGGGTATGTAACGCCAAACAACGAGAGGCCACAACACCGTCGTTGTGATAAACAGTGAAGTTATGTAGTCTATGTCCATTTGCTTAAAATGAGGCCCCTCAATCCAACGCCGTGATAAAGCTGAAATATTGCCCCAAGTGGCGAAACCAGAACACGCCTATTCACATATGTAAGTCTCCGTTTGAGGATTAAGGTAATATGGTGTGTGTGTATATATATAAATATATATATAAATATATAGATGATCACATAAATATATATAACTGTGATCACCTGAAACTATATTTCTTTATTGAAATAGGATTCAATTGTAACAATAGGGATATAATTATAAAATACCAGTCATTCAGGGATGTGCGAATCTCCTTCCATATGGACAGGCGACATTATGTGTGAAGGCGACATGAAAATTTGTAACTTTGTTCCAGTGTAAAGAATATAAGGACCTTCTCAATCTGTTTGTGTTCTAGGTGACAGGTCTCTGTGGTAACTTCGACTATAACCCTGCTAACGACCTCATCGACCCAGTATCGCAGGGTCAGTTCAGTGAAGAAGACTTCATTGCCGGGAACTCCCAGGACAGGTGTCTTGCATTTGATGCGTATGACACCACATCCAAAACACCACAGGTATAGCCCTTCATGCACGCCACCCACCTGCTTTTCACCAACGCATATTGTAAGAATGCCTTTGCTGCTTTAAATCATAAACAACATCAAAGATAATTTTCGTGGGTTTGAAAACAGTCTATTGCAGCTCACTAGAAACGAAACATGTTACCTGGCAAATAATATCACTGCAAATACATTCCAAACGTTTAACTATTGCAGTGTGTGAACATGAGAAAAGCTATCACCAACAAGTGCCCAACATTGGACATGAGCAAACTGGATGAGTACGAAGTGGCCTGTGAGGCCATGCGTGGAGTGGGAGTATGTAGCCTTCTCAAAGGAATGCTTCGTGATTGTGGCATCTGCCTTACCCAGTTCAACGACTCAGCTACAGTAGATTGCTGTAAGTTCTTTCGATTTTCGTTCAGTTTGTTTGGTTATTCCACTGGTATTTTTATTGGATTATCTCGAACGCTCACGGGTGCAGCACTTCCAACTGAAACTTATTTCTATTTGAATTTTAAAACAAATGCGATACAGTACCCATTATGTTTCCAACATAAAAATGCTTGAGATAGTGCTAGACATTGTAGAGGGACAAACGAATACCTGACTGTATATGCTCATTGGCAATTTAGTGAAGCAACCAACTGATACTAGAGATAAAACGTAGTCTGGTGGGATGTTATTAATATGATGATATGGCTTCCTTCTTTACTAGCGTCAATGACCACGTGTGCAGCTGGGGCCGGCGACCAAGACGACGATAAGCAATATAGCTGTTGCGTGAAGAGCTGTGCGACTTCCTGTCGTGACATCAGTCTAAGTGGTGGAAAATGCAATGGCGACTGTCTGCAGGGCTGCACTTGCAAGCCAGGAAACTATCTTGACCAAGAAAATAACTGTGTTCCACAGGATCAGTGCAACTGCTACTCACTGGAGGATCCTTACACGGCCATTAAACCCGGCGCCAAGGTCACCATCGGTTGCCAGGAATGGTAAGTTGACAACCATGATCCTTGGTTCGGTGACTTTGAGGTCAAATCTATCTATCTATCTATCTATCTATCTATCTATCTATCTATCTATCTATCTATCTGTCTATCTGTCTGTCTGTCTGTCTGTGTAATAAACTTTACGTTTACCAGACCTTTCGTTGATATTGAACATATCTCACAAATCATCCACACACATATCGCATTGTAAAATTAAAGCGACAAAAACATTTCTATAATCATAAGAATGTTCTGTACTAGAAGTAGACTCTACTGTACGATTCCGACTGTATTAGAAGCAATTGTAAAGGATCAGATGCATCGATGCATGTAAAAATGGCTGCCATTAACCCATTTGAATACCGTAAACGTTCGATATCAGAACAATGGCATCAAACATGATGAAATCTACTTCAGAATACACACAATGAAGTTAAACACACACTGACCACAGTGTCAGGGCCACAAGTACTCGTCTGTAGCTAATACTTCAGGGTGGAGAGATAGTATTTTTTATTATGTATTCCTGTCGGGGAGATATTCCAAACCACCTGCTACATGAGTAGAACTTCAAAATACCTAAAATCCTGTTATTTAATAATAAGCTTTTTTGAGAAATAAATTAATTCACATTTTTTTCTACATTTCTACAACCTGAACTTATATTTGTTACATTTATCACTACTTAGGACCCTTTTTGAAACGTTCAAAGATCGCTGACCTATTCACCCATGTGCAATAATGCGTCCCAAAAGCCTACCGTTTCGAAACTGCTCTTGTCGTCATGGCAAAATGGAGATAAACCTAAAGCGCTCGGTTCCAAAGTGAGTGAGTGAGGGAGTGAGGTTAAACGCCGCTTTTAACAGTATTCCAGTTATATCACGGCGTGTCAGCTTAATGTGGGAGGAAAGCCCGAAGTGATGCAGGTCTTCGACGTTTACCACTTCGGTGAAACACACGATCACGGGCATGGTGCTGACAAACCTAGAAACATAATCGGGGCGAACCGGGATTCGAACCCACAACCATAGGTTTCTGGCGTGCCCAAGGGACGCAACTCGACTCGACTCGGGGCGCCGTAGACGACTGGCCCACCCGTGCCCCCAGTTTCCAAAGTGAAATAAGAGGTATCTAATCTGCATTTGGACTACATCAAATTTCAAAACATGGTAGGTTTATCTCCTTACAATCAAATAGTGATGATACCAGGTCTTCGCGAAAAGGGGAGCGTATCCGGCCCCATCACAAACACATGCAACGGCACGTCACATGTGTACCTAAAACATATGGTACAAGTCCAAATAAGGAATTGTATGGGACATCAGTTTTGTCACTGATACATTGTAACCTTGATCAGACAACAACTCCACTATCTTTACATCTATGATTCCCTTACGGTGATCGCATACCGTTATGGCATGGTCCCCTACCCATAACTTATTCTTCCGATATACTATGATATTATACCTTTACAATAACCGATTATCCCCGAACCTGTATCTTATAATCCGAGTATTCAGCCCTTTATAGTCACACCCTTAACGCAATATCACCGTACACCAACTTCTTTTCACAACCCGTAACGTTTTAATTATTGACCCTTCGTAATTTTGTAGCGTTTGTGCAAGTGGCAAACTGTCCTGCACCAATACAACATGTGAGAAGATGACCTGTCTTGGTACCCAAGTGCTGGCTGAAGTCCCCGAGGGTACCTGCATGCCAACGTGCCAGATGCCCGGCAGGAAGAGCGCCTGCAAGCAACTTCCACAGAGAAATGGCGAGTTCATCTTGCAGGAAGCCTGCTACTGCCCCAATGGAACTATTGAGGACCCGGTGAGTATTTTTGTTTCACATGGCGCACGAATTTGTTTACAGACTGACTTGTGAGTAATGTTATAATTTTATCCGGGTCTTCAAGACATTGAGAGAATCCACTTTCATTTCTTAATAGATTAAATTGACTCACCAGTGCGTTGGGGACTGAGAACGTAAAAAGATATGACGTTTTTCCACAGGATAGTTATTACAGATATGAAGCCAGTCATGTGGTAAATAATTACTTATTAAGAGGTTCATTTAAAGATACTGGAGATCACAGTAGTGATGACAGTGGTGACACAATAGTGCAGAAAAAAGAATCTGATAAGAAGTCCTTACTGTTGACTCCCTCGGCATGAATCAGTGTATGCCAGATGTTATTTCTCTATGACACTATGAGTGCTACGGGTTTGCACTGTACCATTACAGCGCATTTCCACGTCTCCGACAGTCTATAAATACTAAAATATGTTACTATCTATATACTAGCCCCTTCCTTAATCATTCACCTCCTCGAAGGCAGATGGCAACTATTGTTAAAATGTATATTTCTTTTCAGTCTGGTAAATGTATTAAGGAGGGTGAATGTCCATGCTACGATACAGGGGATTACTTCGCGCAGGGATCCATCATCTCTGCTGGCTGCCACCAAAAGTAAGCAACTACTACTACTACTACTACTACTACTACTACTACTACTACTACTACTACTACTACTACTACTGGGGCGTCGGGTACCCTAGTGGTTAAAGCGTTCGCTCGTCACACCGAAGACCCGGGTTCGATTCCTGACATGGCTATAATGTGTGAAGCTCCGTCGTAATATTGCTGGAATATTGCTTAAAAGCGGCGTAAGACCATACTCACCCACTCACATACTCACTCACTCACTACCACTATTACTACTACGTAAGAGGCGATTGACGGGATCGGGTTGTCAATGCTGGCTGACTTGTTTGATGCATGTCATCGTATCCCAATTGCGTGGATCGATGCTCATGATGTCAATCACTGGTATGTCTGGTCAAAACTTGATTATTTACAGACCGCCGTCATATAGATGGAATATTGCTGAGTGTGGCGTTAAACAACAAACAAACAAACAAATAAACAAAACTACTACTACTACTACTACTACTACTACTACTACTACTACTACTACTACTACAACGGCTAATACTAATAAAAAAGTGAATTAGAAGGCTTTCTGTTTGCACACGATACCGTCAATGTGTTGCATCAACATATAAACGTTAAATGAAGAGTATGTGATGACGTTTAATGAGGCTGTCCACCCTGTCAGTTGATGTCAAGCTCTGGCATACACACAGTGTTTTAAGCGATCCCTTATTTCCCTCTTCTGCAAGCTCTGGCATACACACAGTGTTTTAAGCGATCCCTTATTTCCCTCTTCTGCAAGCTCTGGCATACACACAGTGTTTTAAGCGATCCCTTATTTCCCTCTTCTGCAAGCTCTGGCATACACACAGTGTTTTAAGCGATCCCTTATTTCCCTCTTCTGCATGCTTGTGATTTTCAGGTCCATCATGGTTCTATCCAGACTATGTAGAGGGCATCATTTATTATATCAGTTGTTATTTTGTGCAACAAAATCCGTTCGGCTTTGAAGTGACAAACATGGCCGGCTCGGAGTCAGTATACTGTGTCTGAGTGGGTTATTCATGTTTAATTCTGGCAGGGTACCTCAGTAGGCTAGCTCTATGAAATCAACTTAAGTCCGGACTAGTGTACGCATAGACACAGGTACGCACGAGACACTGAAACACTATCTAGTACTGAGAAAAATTATTAAAGTGACGTTTTCAATGTATGAAACCAAGGATGAAGTCTTATCTTAATGTTCTCCACAATGTAACAGTATGGCGTCATTTTATTGTAAGTGGTTTAGCAGGTTTGAGAAAACGCTCAAATAAACATGCCACAGTGCAAACATGGGGATGTTATTGCACTCGGTCTTTCATCACTTGTGGGTAATATTGTGTTGCAATATGAAGTCGTTTGTGGCTATGATCTATATTAGGATATGATCGTGACACTATAAGAAGATCTGATGGTGTATATTATGTGAGTGTGTGGAGAAACGATATTGCTATCAATAGAAGGATATAGTTGTATATATCATGAAGTACGATGATGTAATTGAGGATTCGATCGTCTATGCCAAATGATGTGAATGTAAACAATTCTACAACTCCATCTTGTATTTACAGGAAATGTAACAACGCTAAGTGGGAAGTTCTCGATTCAAGCACTTGCAGACGTGAGTTGATACTACTTTGTATTATTCATAAAGCTCAAATTAATACACTATGTAGTGTTAATGAGTATGTTAAATGTGTTCAACTATTAATATAAAGCGACACAAACAATTTCCATAATTATAAGAAAACTCTACTAAAAGAAGTATATCACAAGCATTTGCTTATTAATCATTATTGAATATTGATGACACTAGGTATTCGCGAAAATATAAGCGTATCCTTCCTCACCGGTGGCACACCGACAAGACAATCTTCAATAATTGACAGAAATGTAAAGTTAAATTACATTCATGATGATGAGGAAATGGCCTCAACCTGATATTTTGTTTCCTTTCTTTCGTTTGTGTGCAGAAATCTGTACGCTGTCCGGAACCCAGCAATTCTTCCAAACCTTTGATGGCGACGCATACTACTTCCCCGGTTCCAGTGACGGATCGTGCCAGTATGTCATGTTGGAGTACAATGACATCAAGGTTCTTATTCAAGGCTACAAGTGTCGAGGTACCGAGACCATGTGTACCAAATCCCTTGAAATACAGTTGGGTGAAGGCCTCACTATGACAATGGCAAGATCTAAAGGTATTGACATCAACGGTCAGAACTACCCAGAAGGAACTATAAACAACATATTGGATGGCATCCAGGTGCGACTTACCGCTCTTACATATCACATCCTCGCCCGCAACTTTGTCATCACATGGGACCAAGGTGAGCAACTAAAATGTATTTGAAGTATTTTGGCAAACTTAAATGTGTGGAAGACGAATGACATTTGATTTTGTGCATAATATAATCATATCTCTCTATATGTCAACAATCAATAGTTGTGGACTCACATACATGTATATTCCGAATTGTATCGACAACGGAAAGTTTTCGTGTCATATAAATGTCGGAAGTGCAATACATACATATATATATATATATATATATATATATATATATATATATATATATATATATATATATATATATATAAGACGCAATAAATATACCACCGCCCTTGATACATCAATAGGTCTGTACGTGAAACTTGAAGTACCCGAGGCATGGGCAAATCAAACCAAAGGTTTGTGTGGCAACAACAATGGAAACAATCAGGACGACAAAACGTTGCAAACAGGCGCCCTTGCTACTGATGCTGCTGCGTTTGGAAATTCCTGGAGAGTGTCTCCCGATAAGTGTGTCGAGTATGTGCCCACGGGCAAAGAGCCATGTGAGGTGAGAACCTTAGATGCAAATATACCGAAAAAATGTTAAATAAAATCAGTACATAATGTATGTAAATTTTATGATATTTTTTCGCTTCTATTAAGATGTTGTAATTATACCTTCATATTTCACATTTATTAAACCGGTTTTTATTTTGTGCAACAACTGACCTATTCCATTACAAGTTACCCAGCCTGGCGCTCGGCTTTAGGGGAATAAAACAAGGACTGGCCGGCTCAGTCAGTATACTGTGTCTAAACTGCAGCATGGTATCTCAATGGGCTAGCACAATCAAAAATGGCATTAGTCTTGACTAATGTAAGCAGTCACGTGTACACGCACATAGCACGCATTCGAGCATATGCACTTCGCTATATCAGTGGAATAATCTTGAACGCAATTTAATCCCCATTTCACCTCACCTCACCTCACCTCACCTGTCAAACAATAACATGAGAAAACCTTGAAAGCGTCTAATGATTTGTTTTTGTTTATAACCCAACAGACAAACGCCGATAGGAAAGATTGGGCAACAAGTGCTTGCCAAGTACTTTACAGCCCAGAGTTTCAACAATGTCGAAACAAAATGGCGACAAGAACACATACCCTCTTTAAATTCTGCGAGTCTGAGGCATGCGGGTAGGTGTTTTATTTGCATTTTTACAGTTTTCTGTGAAACACGTTAATTAATTTATGCCTGAATCATAGTTGATTCACTGTTATTACCCTAAATGGCGTGTCTATAATATACTGAACCATAAAAGAAACGCCACCCCAAGTAATATTGCATGAAAAGTTGTCTTTTAAATATCTGGGTAATTTTTGTCAAAGTTTCTAAAATTTAACATCACCTTGTTCGGAAAAATAAAATTGGATGATTAAAAAACAAAGCATATGACAATAAAAACCGATCGCCCAAACGCATCACGGCAACGGCCATTGTAACCCGAAGCACGTGAGTTCCGTGCAAATTGAAATGCACATGCGTTCCCCCATTTCTTGCCCTATAAAAAATCCAAAGATCGGATAATATTCATTCGTTATTGAATTGCTACCACATGCCAAGATTAACAAGAAATCAGCCACATCAAGCCCTTGGACGATTGCAAGCTGGACAAACCGCCCGGCAAGTAGCCAATGCATTTCAAGTCCACGTAAGGACCATATACAGGCTCCAGCAACGATACCAGACCACCAACACTACAGATGACCGCCCACGAAGTGGAAGACCAAGGGTCACCACCCGACGACAGGTTCGTTAGATTGTGCGACAGCATCTTCAAGATCGCTTTGTTACTGCTGCGGAAAATGCTCGACGGACCATGTGCACACACAAGCAACACATTAGTGCAGACACCACGCGTCGACGATTGACGTTCAGACACCTCCGCTGTCACAGGCCATCCCGAGGACCCATTCTGACACAACGTCATCGCCGGGACCATCTTCAGTGGGCAACACAGTACCAGCATTGGCTGAATCCTCTTCTCATACTGTATGTCAACAGCAGAAAGCAGAGAGAGAGTCTGGCGACACCGTGGGGAACATTATTCGGATGCTTGTGTTGTTGAGAGAGACTTCTGGGGTGGTCCGAGCATCATGGTGTGACGTGGAATTGGTCTTGCACAGAGGGTCGTCCCTGTGGTCTTCCAGAACATCGGTCTAGGGAGAGGCAATGCTGTCACAGTAGCTCGGTACATTGATCAAGTCTTGAGACCACAGGCCATACCTCATTTGGCACATCGCCGCAACCACGAGTTTTAGCATGATAACGCCCGTGCCCACACTGCGAGAGCAACAAGAGACCTCCTCCAGCAGAATGGCATCAGAACCATGCAGTGGCCTGCCCTCAGTCCCGATTTAAATCCCATTGAGCACCTGTGGGACGAGAATCAAAGACGACTGAATGACGTCCGACCAAGGCCGACAACTGCAGCTGAACTGCGTTAGGCGTTCCTCAGAGTGTGGGCTCAAGTGCCCATGGCCTTCATCAACCGCCTCATCCATTCCATGTATCGACGTTGCACGGCAGTCATCAATGCACATAGCCGACACATGAGGTATTGACTTGTGATGTCATTTTCACAGAGACTAGTGTTGTGTTTCACTTGAAGAACATTTGACACTTTAATTTCAACCTTGATGATTAGTTTTACCGAGTCTTATCTTTTTAATATGTCTCAAAGTATGTTTACAGTGTTTGGACAAATACGGTTTCTCATATATCTTCCCACGGTGACGTTTCTTTTGCGGTTAAGTATATGACTGAAAAACAACTGAAGGTTAAGCTACTGGTACAAATAATAATAATAATAATGATAATAATATTATAATAATAATAATAATAATAATAATAATAATAATAATAATAATAGTGACAACAAGACATTCCACAGATTTCTTTACTGCGTCGAGTTTATGTGCAGTGTGTTGAGAGGATCAGCAACCCTGCAGATTCCCTGTACGACCCGGAATATGTAGGGGCGTCATGGAAAAGACGTTTCAAGGCCAACAAACCTGATCTTGTCCTTTTTGATAGATCCAAAGAAATCATTTATATCATTGAATGTTCTGTCTCTTTTGACACTAATGTGATTGACAAGATTCAGGAAAAAGATGGCAAATATGCAGACCTCGCTTTCGAAATGTCACGCTTGCATCCCAAGTACCAAGTTGTCCGACTCCCCATTATTCTCGGTGCCTTAGGTTTGGTACCTCCCAATCTGTTGACTGACATTGGGAGAGTACCCGGGTTTGTTCCCTGACAATCTGGGTAATGCAGAAGGCTGCAGTGTTGGGGAGTTTTCACATTCTCCGAAATGTTCTGGGTGGGCTCGACCCATTCGATGTCTGGGATGCGTGAAGAAGGGGCAGGGGCCCCGAGCTGATGATGAGTCTAACCAGCCTGTGTGACAGGATCAGCCAATCAGCCAAACCCTCTTTGCTGCATTTTGTATTTTAATCTCTAAATAGTAATAATAATAATAATAATAATAATAATAATAATAATAATATAGTTATGACTTATCTTCTATAGTTAAAACGCAAATACGTCAGTTTAAATAAAGTAAAGAAGTATCCAAATCAATAAATAGCCATTTGCCCTGATGTTTGCAGTTGTGACAAGGGAGGCGACTGTGAATGCTTGTGTAACGCCATTGCCACCTACGCTGCTGAGTGTATGAACCTTCATGGCATTGCTGTTAAGTGGAGAACGCAGAGATTGTGCCGTAAGTATATCAGTTCACTTTAAATTAAGTACTTGTTCATCGGCATGACCTAAGTTATTATAATTCTTTCTTCAAAAGAGATTTTTCTCTTGGCTTATGATCAGTATCATATTCATTTTTTATGTATCCCAAACTTTAACCAAACCATTTGGCATAGACTGTGTTACTTCACGTGAAGTTTTGACAAATGTATTACCAATATATGATTGTCAAAAGAGACCATTAGCAATCATTAATAATATAGTTAGTCTCACCTTAACACACTGATTGTATGCTACCAGCCATCCAGTGTGAAGGTGGAAGTCAGTATAGAGCCTGTGGCAACCCTTGTCAACCAAGCTGCGCCGAATCCACCATCAGCGACACTGTCGGCGAAATCTGCAACAGCACCCATTGTGTTGAGGGTTGTTTCTGTCCAGAAGGAACTGTCATGGACGGTATGTAGACACTGCTGTCCCTCTACATATATCTCTAACCGCTTCACTGGTATTCTTTTTTTGTGACAAGAGTATAAATATGTTACAAAGTGATCGAGATTACATTCTTCTTCAATAGCTCATGTTCAACCCCTGTTCTCTTGTCTTAATAATGTCATTTTCCTATTTTACTTCAATGGTACGAGGTCGTCTAAGGCACAAACAATTCCTTAAGGATTCGATGATCCTGGGTCCGAATTCAAGAAACATCTTGGTTATCGTATTTGTTCCTCAACACAATCCTCCAACATTAGGCTGACACGCTGGAGAGAACTGAAATAACTATTCAACGTACTCACTCGCTCAATCGAAAGGCGATATTGTGGTTAATGAATACTACAAACCGTCTTTTCATCTCAACAGTAGCCTGTTATCGGTATTGAAAAACGAAAACACTGAAAAACTATTCACATTCAACAACTCACAAAACGCACACGCACGCACACACGCACAAATACACACACATACGCACGCATGCACTCACAAATACACACACAGACACGCGCGTCGTTAATTGGCAATACATAACGACGAAAAGACAAAGCATGGTATACTTCATGTAAAACTGTCAATGTCGTGTTTGCAGAGGAGTCGAAACGATGCGTGCCACTGGAAGAATGCCCCTGCAAAGACAAAAACAGCTTCATCTACCAACCAGGACAGAACTTCACACGGGATTGCCAACTCTGGTATGTCTGTTCTCCTTCTCCGACCACTGTCTACTCAATGACAGCATTCAGTATAAGGTACCCGGTACGAGATAAAAGGGCTTGTGATTGAAACTCTCATCGCCATGCAGATTGCGGAATGACAATAGGAAGTGCCTTCTGTATATCAGTAACAATATTGAACAATAACTGTGCAGGATGAAAAAGAGTGTCACAGGTATAGGTATCCGTTTCGCACAATAAGTGATACCTCTTCGTTATGCTACAGCACATGCAAAAAGGGCGAGCTGGAATGCACAGGCAAGACTTGCGGCGAGTGTGACGAGACACAACACAGCTGTGGAGAGGTGCAGGGCGTTCTTATGTGCATCAACAAGGACAAGGTCTGTGACGGCATGAGGGACTGCAGCGACGGTTCAGATGAAGTCAACTGCAGTATGTAACCTGTTCATATTTCTTCCATTCTGAATAGGAACTGGGGCTAAATGTGATTGTTTGATAGTCGGATGCGTCTGTTATTAGTGTGGACATCCATCCTTAGTTCTCTTACGCTTAAGCACAACAACTTTCATATCACTGTTATTTTGTTACAACGTGGACTTACCTCAGCACATTGGTTATGTACGGTCTAAAACTACAGTGACAATGGACAGGGCTTGACAAATATTACCTTAGACTGGAACTTGGCCAGGGGTCACTGGTCATGACGCCCCTTTAATCACAACCATACCGTTGATGGGTTCATGTAGGTCACTGTTCTATGATAAAACTCATAAATAAACTTATTAATTTGGAAGAATAAGACGTTTATTTAGTAATATAATCATGATAGGGAAGTGTTCCACCATACAATAAGTCAATAACAATCTTTTGATGAGATAAAATCACTTAGCAAATCTTGCGCTTTTCTTCTTTTTACATCATTGTGGGCTTATGCAATACATAACCATACAACGTGCATGTATGATATGAATAAAAAATGTTGATGTGTAAAAGTAATGTCTGGAATTGACTATTTCAGATGTAACCTGCACTGATCTCCAGTTCACCTGCGACTCTGGACAATGCATACCAAAGGACTTCTATTGCAACAGTCTCAAGGAGTGTGATGACGGATCCGACGAACGCGATTGCAGTAAGTTGGATCAAAATTGTATTATGTGTGTGTCCCAGACATTCTTCTCGTACCATTATTTATTTAGAACTTTACAACGTTACGTTCTGATTGAAACTAACACATTTGTTTTGACTATCTACTCACGGGCCGTACGTAACTATTGATCATATGTTGACCATAGTACGCAACACACTGATCGTACGTAACCTATTGATCACATCTTAACTGTGCTACGTTCCGATGCTAAACTGCACTCTTATCATAGGGTAACTGTTTATCATACAATAGGAATAATTTAAATGGCTAAATGACAAAGTTTTGATACACTTTTCCACAAATCATATGTCCTAATTATATGGTCACATGAATATATTTGCAGAAATAACGTGCAGCAATGAAACTTTCGTATGTGCTGACAAACCAACCATGTGCCTTCCAATGTCCTTTGTCTGCGATGGAGAGAAAGACTGCACTGATGGCTCAGACGAAGCGGGTTGCCACGGTGAGAGCTAGTTCATATTCAAAAAGTCTGTGTTTATCTAGAATTTAAATCCTGTATCGTAAATAAAATATATGAGTATCTTTAAACAAGCAAAAAGTAAAACATTAATGGGGAATGTTATGAAGCAAACGATTTTAATGTGATGCATCATTTCACATATATGTTCCCTCTTCTTATATATATATATATATATATATATACATATATATATATATATATATTAATTGTATATATATATATAAATTATTATTATTATCGTTACAGTGTGTCCAAAGAACGAGACACAATGTGTTGAGAACGACAGTTGCATCCCCAAGGACCGAAGCTGTGACGGCCACGATGACTGTGGTGATGGGTCTGACGAGAAGGGATGCAGTAAGTACAAAGTGCAGACATATGTCTCAGATAAGTGAATTTTAATGAATTTTCAAAACAATTTTGACAATGTGATTTATGAGCAAATTCTTAAAAACTAAACACTATCCTTTCTTGTTTTACAGCTACACCGATGTCAACAAGTAAGTAATAGCTTGTTATGTTCTTCTGTCTTATGACACTGATTAAAACCAAAACAAAATATGTTAGTGGCGAGGTCACGGATCGTTCATGTCTGAACGTAGTTAGTAACTCGTCCCAACCTTCATCCTGGAGCAATCAATGTACATCTACAGTTTAAGTACAAATGTTCAAGGGACCCTTTCCAAGTGTTTCGCCTGCCTTAAACTTAAATGTCAAACGCATTCACAATAGGTTATCGAGTCTTAATTAAATGTCTGGGTTAGCTTGGATACATTGATCCATTAATGGTATTAGCCATGTGGGGATTCCGGGTCAGAATAGATTCATGACTTGTCGTAACAGTCGACTAAAATGGAATCGGTTGTTTGGCTCTGTGAATTGGCAGATTGTGTGTCACCCTACCCGAATGGCGTTGGTCGTGGTTTTCAATATCCGCTGTTATATAGCTGTGATATTGCGGCGTTAATGTTGTTAAGTATCTTCAACATTGTTAAAACTGCCTACGATCCAAAGTTTTGATTTGTTGTCTGTCTCAGCTCCCCAGTGTGACGTGGAGAAGGTGTCAACCGGGTACCTCACCGTTCAGACGAAGGATAATAACGTCATGGCTCAGTTGGCTGCCAACGGAGGAAATTTCAACACAAGTGTCGATGGGGACATCGAACTTGAACTTACTATCATTGCTAAAGCTGGGACAGAGCCGAAAGTGTTCGGAGTTAGCTTCGGAGCTGACAACATGACCGATAGCAAGGTCACCATAGAAACGCCAGATGGAGGCAAGAAAGTCTATGAGGTAATCATGAGGTCAACACACTATAACTGCACACCTACTTTTAGCAATGATTTTAAATCATGAAAATCTTAAATATTTAGAAGATAAAGATACTGTGTTTTCAATGTAAAACTAGGTTACCTGTAGATTTAACGACGCTAAATTGAATTTGGAACCGAACGCGCAGGGTGATGTTTCAAATGTTAAATTTAGCGTGGTTAAATCTACAGGTAACCTAGCTCTACATTAAAAAACACAATTTGTTTATCTCCATTCTACCATGACTAAATAAAACGCGAACTCAAATAAATTGAGTGAGGTGGCATGGGTTAAGTGGGTTGTCGATCTGAATTACGGAATCACCGACAACAGCCTGTAAACAAAAGATGGCGCTGTATATGCTCAAGCCCTTTTTTACAGCGTAATACGTCACAGGATCATATGGCAGGCATTGAAAGCATATAAGCACGGCAACTTTATCAGCTAACATGAGGTGGGCATCCCTAAAGAATATTATGCAAGCTTCGTAAACATCATGGCGTCATATCGCTCATTGTGACGCAATGATATAGAGAAGCGCCAAATTCCAAGCTTTCTGCTGTTCCCAAAACTTAAAATACATTCTCTTTGAATATTTCTATCGTGTTTTCTGGACGAAATGTATTGTCACACATCCTTTGAATAGTGTAGTAACCGCGACTTTGCATTTTGTAACCTGTACGTGTAGATATAATTATTTAAATATGCCTACCAACAATGTCTGAAACAAATAGTTTCTCTTCTATGAATATATGCTTCCGCGGTGATGCGGCTGTCAAACCCGCAGTTTCAATCAGAGAGCGTTTCTTGTGTTTTAATAGCCTCTGATTGACCAATCAGAATCGTGTAATTTCCAAATTCATGGTAGAATTAATCGTTAAATTTTCAGTAACATTATATATGTGCGTCTGTGAGGGTCAGCAATTATATTGTCAACACATGTTGTGGCTTGTATCGGGTTCAGAATTTGATATTTATCAATAATTATGGTTTATAATGGCTGTCTTAACAATACGTGAAGTGGTCGTAGAACACTAGTGTCAAATAGTGGCTTATTGTGCCATATTTGTGTAGTTCTTTTTTTCACTGGGACTTCTTTCGCCACGTCGCCTCTGTTTTCACAATTGTGTCCGGGAGTAATAATTTTCAAGTTGTTCTTAGACATATTTTGGTATAGAAAGCGACGATATCCAAACGTTTTAAGTGAAAATGATAATAAACTCTTTGCGAATGACGTGTCTTTTGTCTCACCAATCACATTTGTTGTCATATTTACTTCTGTTGTCATAGTCAGGAAGCAAACGCTCTTGTTGAACAATTCACATCTGTCATCAGTTCATAAACTTTTGGTCCTGATTTTAGATGCATCTTTTCCTGCATCATATAGACCGATTTCTCTCCCTTCAAATGTATGTAATATCATGGAGAGACTAGTAATTAATCGACTGAACTAGCTCCAGGAACGGATTGAGCTTCTCTGCCAAATTCAGTCAGTATTCCGAAAAATACCACCATGCATAGATCAGCATGACAGAAAGCTATTTGCAATCAAGAGTACATGATTGGTGTCTTTCTCAATATCGGAAAGGATTATGACATGAATTGGAGACAAGGCTTGCTTTTCAAATTACGGAAACTTAGAGTAAGAGGTAACATATGTTTGTGGATATGTTCTTTTTTCTATGGGGCATGCATGTGATTAAAAATGGTACCACAGGGGGGTGTTATAAGTTCGATTCTATTCAACATCATGATCAAGGACCTGCTTCGAAATATTAATGCTGCACATTTTGCCGACGATGAATCGTTTTGGAGACGATTTGGTTATTTTCAGTTTGTCTTTGAATCTGTCAAAAACTGTTTAAGTATAATTAGTGCCTGGTGTTCAAAATTTAAGACATTCCAATCAAAATTTGTGGCGATGATGCTCACAAAACGAAAAATCAATCTAACTCTTAACTTAAACTAGAAATAGTATTAGTGTCCAAATTTCCTGGTATTCATTTTCATCAAAGAGACATGGTCTTCTGATTTTTCTTTTCTTTACCCCGAAATTAAATTTCATATCTATCCGACTATCCAAATGAATAATACGATCCTGACGTCTCCTTTACGTTATCTAACCAATGTCGTGCTTTGTGCAATATAATACTTTGTGATTCTTATTACTTAAGTCAACGTGTTGGTCCACGTCACCCTGAAACTACACCACCACCACCATTGGTATGATATAGCTTCAATCTGCAAGTCCGTTTATTCGCCTCTCAAACTACACGTACAAGTGTCTTCTCTTCGCCAGCCTGCTAATCTGATTACATTTCTTCACCACTTTCTTTATATCCATTGATCCATAGTTGTTGAACCTCTCGAATGTCGAATATATTGATCTCCGTTAAAAAGCCAACTTCTATGTTGAATATGCCATGAAGTTGTGGCAAAGTTATGAAGACATCCAAATATGAAACTGATGCACAACTAAAATGAAAGGTCAAAACATTCAGATTGAACGTCATCGATATACTTCATCTGTCACTTAAATTGCTGACCCGTGAAGATACGGGATAGAATAGGTCTTCAGCGACCCATGCTTGTCGTAAAAGGTGACTATGCTTGTCGTAAGAGGCGACTAACGGGATCGGGTGGTCAGGCTCGCTGATTTGGTTGATGCATGTCATCGATCCGAATTGCGTGGATCGATGTTCATGATGCCAATCACTGGATTGTCTGGTCCAGAGTCGATTATAAACAGACCGCCGTCATATAGACGCAATATTGCTGAGTGCGGCGTTAAAAAACAAAAAAACAACAACTTAAATTGCTTAACGTTTTACCATGGTTACAGTGATCTTGATGTGTTAAATTGAGAACTTTAATATTTGCCTTGTTTTACCATCAGATTGGGTCATGTTATTAACTGAGTCGTTTCTTTGTTTTATTTATTTAGAATCCAGCTATTGAAAATGATATCGCAACGTTTGTCATAGCTGGAGATAAAGTGACTAAGATCCTGGTGGAGATAAAGGTCCTTCTTACAGTAACAGTTATCCATGACATCGTGGTGGAAGCGTGCTACGAGCCAGGTGGTATGTACCAGCGTGTGTTATTGGTATCGTATATATCCTGACGTACCCTAATTTCGAACAGTTCAGATGGCATTGCTAATATTTCGAGGGATGAGCGAATCAAAACCCAAATTCTGCTTCATGCCAGTAGGTGATGTCTTCAAGAATAGAATTTAGCTCCACTCTGAAAGAAAAACAATCCTCGATAAAAGGCATGACCTCATTTACATGGTCTGTAAACATCCGCTACACTCGAGTGACGTCATCTATTTTCGAACACCTGATTGGTTTAGTAATTTAGCGGGGTTTCCATAAATGAACACACGTGTTTTGGCATACAGTGCTCAACATATTTCTTGCAGGTTGACATTAAAACACAAAATATGAATATTTGTCAAATTATAATGTTCACACTATTCCCCTCTTCCTATTCTTCATGACACCGGCACCACAATTCTGAATGACGACGGACTGTTCTGACAGGTGTACAGTACTTCACATGAACCCAATGTTGACAGGCCATACATGTACACTCTTAAGGCGATAGCCTTGTTGTCGTCCCACCTCTCGTTATAACGCGACAAACTCACTTTCAATATGGCTGTTCGAAAATAGTGTACTCGGCGATAATAATGTACATCTATAATAAGCTCCCTTGGAACTCCGGGATTGGAGATTCAAAATAATCAACTAAAATAGGATCAGATGACATGGCTGATTGTTTAAATCATCGAACGCATGGATAGTTGATCCTGTGTTCAGTTATTGGTTTGCCTAGCACCGACTCAATTATTTTCTGGCCACTGTAATGTAGATGCAATAGTGCTGTCTATGTGGCCTTATACACAATATACGATACACTATACACAATTAATGACAATGTATTAAAGTAGTGTAAACATTATCCCTTATTAAATCAAAGAACGGCCCATGGAATAATTTATTTCATGCAAATACTTCTTATTTGTCAGAAACAACTATTCCCACCACAAGTGCCACAACAACAAGTGCCACAACAACAAGTGGTACAACAACAAGTGGGACCACGACTACGTCTTCAACTACACCTACAGGTGAGATATAAATAACGAGTTTGGTGGTTTGCCGGGTGATTAAAGAGTTAACAACGCTGGTAGGTAGCCTCGTGATTACGGTGATCATACCGAAGACCTGGGTTTTATTCCCCCCCATGGATACTCTGTGATGTAAAACCTTCTTAGGTACCCCACCGTGATATGGCTGGATCATATTTTCAAAGGTGGCGATACAAAAAAGATATATTTATCCATATAACATTGCTAACTTATGCTTTATTAAAATATGTACAACATGTATGACCGTAGACACGTTTAACTGACTGTCTTTATGACATGTTCATGCCTTTGCGCGCATTATTAATGTGTTTTTATTCATAACAGTGCCATGTACTAGTGAGGAAGAATGGTGCATGGAGGTGAATATTTGTATAAGCAAGAGTGCTGTCTGCGACGGTAAATGTGACTGCAATACAACACGGGCTGGGCAACCCTATTGCGAAGATGAAGACGATGACCGATGCGGTAAAATATATACAATATTTATTTATCAATACCCCTGAGAAATGCAAGAAACGTTTGACTCGATTAAAAGTTCATCGTCAATATTCTCCGTTATCTTCAAATTTACACAAAAGAATGCAAAATGTTATTAAATGTAAACCACGGTTATCGTAATAAGTCTCAGTTGTAGCACCAGCACATGGTCGCAATATGTTTTCATCATGAATATGTTTTTTTAATCTATGTCCGTGATGGCGCCATATTGATGTCACTGATGCGTCACATTTGGAAATGTCCTCCACATGTCTACCATAAAATGAAATGCTCTGTCGTCTTTTCAGCAACAACATCAGCTACCACTGTCACAGAAATTACGCAGACAACATCAGGTAAAGCATATAGCCATTATAATATTCTCATAGAGGGGATATTTGAACTTATTTTCTTTGTAGAGAGGACATTTGTATGTGTTTTGAAATCATGAAAACGTTTCAGAATGTTTGAAGGGACCATAATCTTAACTTTTTATAACCTATTTAAGTTCACAAGTCTATTGGCATGATTAGGTTCGAAAATAACAAAGCAGTAAGTGTTTAAGATGCATTAACCACGGGTACTAATCTACATATCGACCTATTTTTCAAACAATTGGGGCGGTCGGGTAGCCAAGTGGTTAAAGCGTTCGCTCGTCACGCGAAAGACCCGGGTTCGAATCCCGACATGGGTACAGTGTGTGAAGCCCATTTCTGGTGTCCCCCGCCGTGATATTGCTGGAATATTGCTAATAGCGGCGTAAAACCATACTCACTCACTCACAAATTATTTTATTTTGCGGTATATGTGTAATTTCAGTGAACTCTGGGTAGGGCGGAAGTGATTATAAATAATGATTGTGGTATGAGTGAAAAGAGACCAAATCAATGCCGTATTAGTATTTAGTAATTGATGAGTCAGACAACATTTATCAACTGTTGACAGGAGGCAAGTGTTTGTTTAAGGTAGTTTATCAACAGTCTTCTGAATACTGCAATGTAAGAGAGATACTGTATAAAACACGTTTTATAAATGGCTTATATAAAATCACTCTAAATGTAAGAAATATTACCTTAATGTTACAGCCACTGGTACTAAAACAACTTATTCAGGTACAAAATCTTATTACCTTGACAACATTCTATGAAAGTATTTTGAAATCCTATTATCACATCAATGACTATGACTGTTGTATTGGACAGCAATGATGCTATTTTACATTTACAGCTTCAGTTGTATCACGAGTTGGTATTTCAACCATTTGTGATAAGATAGAAAATTAAATAAGCATATTGACTTGTGTACAGCCCGGTTGCATTAGTCTTGAACTACACCTATTACTTTTTACTTTTCAGAGGTCACACCTTCAACTACTACTGGTAAGTTTACACGAAATCATCATGACAGGTAAAATGTAATCTGTGTGGAGGAAATGATAAATTCACAAAAGGAAATTCGCCAAGGTGTTTGAAAGTAAGTGATATATCAACGTTTTCGAATTTGCAACAGTACAAGTCTACACAGTGTTTACGATTGACTGAATAATCTTGTTACAGCTGGAACCCCATGTGAAAATATTATGGTAGGACAGGATCTCCCCTCTGCTCTTGAGAAGCTCGGCAAGTCTCTTGGTATTTATCCAAGTGGAGACATTGTCTCAGTCACAAATCCAACTGATGGCCAGATCTTGAACCCCCTTGAAGCGGAAGAAGTAAGTCGAATCTGCAATTGATAACAATTGGTTATTTTAAACATCTGTCTGTTTATTAAAATGTACATTTTCATGTCATTTGAGAAACCGGAAATAATTATAATTTCCAAAGCCATGGCCTATCATGAAACCATTTGAAACAGATGACCGGGTACGACATTGAACAAGACTGTTGGCGAAATGGTATTATTGGTGGTTCATAAATGTGGAGGCCTTGTTGTTTTCGTACTTCCGAATAATAGCATTAGTCACGATGCATGTTGTCTTTAGTCCAAATGTTAATTCGCCATCTAATTGGTAAGGTAAAAAATAAACTTAATGAAATGTTTGAATGTATCAATCAATATTTGCAATAATTGAAAATGCTTCTTGCCAATGAAATTAGAAACTCGTGAATGTCTAGTTCGCACGAAATGTGGGCCAACTCTGTTTCTCTGTTTAGAGATGGCTGCATATGGGCCTATGTTTTAGTCAGTGGTTGTAGTATGTTGGGTGTTATATGCATACCGTCATAGGTTGTTCATTGCTGCTGCACCTGTTGTGATCAAAATATGACGCCCCCCCTCCCCTTTCGAACCACTGACAATGCGATTTCACACACTTGTCTTTGTTTAGTTCGTTCGTGAATTCAATCCTTTAATGAATAAGAAGCAAATGAAAGTCACGATATTATTTCAGGCAACTGCTACTATTCCTGGCCAAAGGGACATTGTTGTTATACTAGATGCACCAAGAGTCGATGCTCTTAAGAAAGGTAAGAAACCTATTCTCTTGCTAAAACTTTAACAGGATATACGGTTGGTGATCTTAATAGCCATGAGCGCCACCATGATTTGTTAAAAGTCCTAGATTTTTCATGCATAATAAAGAAAATAATACTTTTTGACTAACCTGCCTTTCAAGTTAGACATTTCCAAGTTTTCAACGACTTGCTTGTAGACAACACTGACCTATCTCCAAGTGAAACACTTACTGGCACGGACAAGACGGTGTACGTGTACAGAGACGTTCAGGCAGGGACATACACACCGGCTCCTGGAAGTGAAACCTTTGTTGAAGAAAATGTACCACAGGTAAACCTGATATGGCAATTGATTAGTTCAATGAAGGAATGATTTCTATTATATCAGTCATTACCATCTCAAGAACTGGATATATTATCCAGTCCATGTAGTTGTGTTTTTGTGTATGTGATTATGGACATGTTTTGTAGTTTCAATTAAAGATCTGTGAAACATTGCTCGTGTGTGTGTGTGTGTGTGTGTGTGTGTGTGTGTGTGTGTGTGTGTGTGTGTGTGTGTGTGTGTGTGTGCGTTGGAGGTGTGGGGTCTACGAACATGGTGTAAACTCCTAATGTCATCTCAAAAATTACTTTTCAGAGTCTCAAGCCAGAGAATTTGTGTTTATTTCTCAAAACACGTCATACTGAAACTGTCGGTTATTACTAATCTCACATGCTATCTAAATGTTAGATGACATGTTGAACTTTCCTCTTACCAGGTACAACAGCAACTTGAACAGCAACAACAAGTCGAACAACTGAAGGTGCTACAGTGACATACAATATAACATTTCTTGAACTCTCTTTCTTCTCAGACCTCTTTGTTTTAAACCTGTGCATGAAGCTGAACAATTACTTTGATGCCGAGCCATGCAGCTTGAAAAGATGCTGTATATGATTTGAAAAGAAAGTAACAGATCTAAACTTGGGAGTATTGCGAGGTTTATCATCTGTGTATATGCATGGCTTCATTTCATTAGATCTGTCATGGAGCAGCTGTAATATATTTAGTTAAATATTTCGGGTGCTTGGATATGAGATGTTACACACATTTGTATCAATGCATGTATCAATATGATGGTAACAGAGGAATTAATACCAGTTTCTAAATAAATGCATGGATCTACAGCAATAGTGTACTGAAATAGTGTTGAGGTATAATCTGATTTTGAATGTCATCCTTTTCAGACTGGGGACGTGCCACTTTCTGGACCAAAATTTATTATTTTGTCTGCCAATCCTAACAACGCTGTCGATGAACTTGCTATTAAAGTCAAGATTTGCCAAGAGACAACAGGTACGACTTCAGATGTTTTGTGTGAAAATTACTATCAGTAATGTTCAATGAGGCCTGAATTTTAAATTTGTATTGACGACAGTCAAAGCATATTGACATCATTGAGATTCGGAATTGTTTCTCTTACCAGGTACAACAACTAGTGGAACAACCACAACCAGTGGTACAACAACAACAAGTGGAACAACAACTACAAGTGGAACAACAACAGGTGAATTCATTTATATAGACTCTTACATGTAATAGATCTTACTGGAAGCTTTTATTGTGCCTCAAGTTACAAGGCTTTGTCACACTTTGATACATATGCCATATTTTCCTTTTCTGAATGAATGGAAGAATGAAATGATATTTTGCGTTCACCCGACTCAAGAATGTATGAATCTTTACAGGAACGACTCCATGTGACAAGATTGATCTTATGGACTCAAGTGAGAACCCATCACCAGCACCGACATCATCCCCAGTCGGTAATACAGACAACCCTCTCTCGGAAATTCCATTGGAGGACTCACCTTTTGTTGACACAGTCAAAGTCACATCTAAAACAATCTTCACTTCAGTGCCATCTAAGGAAACCACAAACCCTCAGGTATGTCAGTATGGAACATGTGCTAAATGAGAAAACAATGTACAAAACATTGTTCAATGTGGATAAAACCTGATAAAATGAATGATACATATAATATCCTACAGGGATGAGTAGTTTCAATAGTATACACGAGAATATTGTATTAAGGAAAATATGACCACCAAGAAAATTAGCTTCTTAATGTTTGATTGTACAGAAACAGTGTGTAAGTGAAGGTAATAAAGTATTTCTTTGAACTCTTTAGGAGACTGAGTTCCCTGTCAAACCTTCGACTGATGAGATTATCTTGGTAACCGAGAAAAAACCCGATGGCTTCACAGTCAATGGTACACCAGTTGATACCTCCAGCAGTACCACTGGCACCATTGGGGGTGAACCTGTTTACCTCACTACCGTGAAAATAACTCCAAGTGAAAATCCAGTCACAGTGGAAAGTCCTTCTGGAGAAAAGAAACCTGAAGTCTTCCAAAAGATTGAGGGCACTCCAGATCCAACAGATTCTACTACTTTTGAAGTAATCATTTCTTTAATGTTTAGATGCTACACCTAAGAAGAGTGATTCTCAGTTCTTTTTAAGTTATTTCTTCAGAAAAACCTGATCTTCCTTTCTACTAATGTGCTGATGTTTTCCAAATTAATACTTTTTGAGAGTATGCTTTCCTTTCCAATTTGTGTTTTAAGACATAAGATGATTAGATGAAAACTGTAAATTTGCTTTTTAATATTCAGGTTCCCGTCAATGGCCCAGTATCAGACATTCTTGTGCCGAGTACTAGTAGTGTATCTGAAATTGTCATATGCGAGCACGAGACAACAGGTAAGACTCTAGACATTGAACTTGTATTGAAACTTATCCTTTATCTTTAATTCTTGGGAATGTAATTTTTGCTTGAAACTTAAGGATATGATATTTCTGCATGCAACCATCCATTTGATAGAAAGAACTTGTTTTGATTCAAGTTTTACAGAAGAGGTGCCATTAAGTCATTTAATTGAAATTTTCTTTGAAAAATCATGTTTAATGATATTATTTGTACACTTGGATAGTATCAGGTTTGTTTGTTGTTTAATGCTGAAAAGAGGTTTAAACATAGCCGATGTGCAAAATGATTCAACTGTAGTGTCAGACGAAAACTATAACCACTATTAAATGGACTATCTGAAGCAGACAGAATACAGTCTCTAAAAGGGGATACATGTTTCAATTGTTGACATTAGGAACAACAACCAGTGGTACAACAACCACAAGCGGGACGACCACAACAAGTGGTACAACAACCACAAGCGGGACGACCACAACAAGTGGTACAACAACCACAAGCGGGACAACTCAGGGTGAGTTCAATGATGTTGATGATGATATCCGATGGGTCAGTAATCTTGGTTTTAAGTTCGGTTTTCTTCGCCAGATTACAAAGCTTCATCACGAAGAATACATATGTAATCTTAGAAAAATTTTACGACTGCCTGATTAATCTTGTTACAGCTGGAACCCCATGTGAAAATATTATGGTAGGACAGGATCTCCCCTCTGCTCTTGAGAAGCTCGGCAAGTCTCTTGGTATTTATCCAAGTGGAGACATTGTCTCAGTCACAAATCCAACTGATGGCCAGATCTTGAACCCCCTTGAAGCGGAAGAAGTAAGTCGAATCTGCATTTGATAACAATTGTTTATTTTAAACATGTGTCTGTTTATTAAAATGAACATTTTCATGTCATTTGAGAAACCGGAAATAATTATAATTTCCAAAGCCATGGCCTATCATGAAACCATTTGAAACAGATGACCGGGTACGACATTGAACAAGACTGTTGGCGAAATGGTATTATTGGTGGTTCATAAATGTGGAGGCCTTGTTGTTTTCGTACTTCCGAATAATAGCATTAGTCACGATGCATGTTGTCTTTAGTCCAAATGTTAATTCGCCATCTAATTGGTAAGGTAAAAAATAAACTTAATGAAATGTTTGAATGTATCTATCCATAAGTTGCAATAATTGAAAATGCTTCTTGCCAATGAAATTAGAAACCCGTGAATGTCTATTTCATCCCAAATGTGGTCTAACTTTATTTCTCTGTGTAGAGATGGCTGCATATTGGCCTTCATTTAAGTCAGTGGTTGTAGTATGTTGGTTGTGATATGCATACCGTCATAGGTTGGTTCATTGCTGATACATTTTTTTCTAAATTGTTGGTCTACATTTTCCATCATCTGCTGTGGTATATGGCGCCCACATTTTTATAACACCAAGCTTCATTAGATTGTTAATGTTTTGGGAATGCAGCACATAATCTCAACAACGAGTTCTTTATCCCCCCTCCCCTTTCGAACCACTGACAATGCGATTTCACACACTTGTCATTGTTTAGTTCGTTCGTGAATTCAATCCTTTAATGAATAAGAAGCAAATGAAAGCCACGATATTATTTCAGGCAACTGCTACTATTCCTGGCCAAAGGGACATTGTTGTTATACTAGATGCACCAAGAGTCGATGCTCTTAAGAAAGGTAAGAAACCTATTCTCTTGCTAAAACTTTAACAGGATATACGGTTGGTGATCTTAATAGCCATGAGCGCCACCATGATTTGTTAAAAGTCCTAGATTTTTCATGCATAATAAAGAAAATAATACTTTTTGACTAACCTGCCTTTCAAGTTAGACATTTCCAAGTTTTCAACGACTTGCTTGTAGACAACACTGACCTATCTCCAAGTGAAACACTTACTGGCACGGACAAGACGGTGTACGTGTACAGAGACGTTCAGGCAGGGACATACACACCGGCTCCTGGAAGTGAAACCTTTGTTGAAGAAAATGTACCACAGGTAAACCTGATATGGCAATTGATTAGTTCAATGAAGGAATGATTTCTATTATACCAGTTATTACCATCTCAAGAACTGGATATATTATCCAGTCCATGTAGTTGTGTTTTTGTGTATGTGATTATGGACATGTTTTGTAGTTTCAATTAAAGATCTGTGATACATTGCTCGTGTGTAACATCCCAATGTGTGTGTGTGTGTGTGTGTGTGTGTGTGTGTGTGTGTGTGTGTGTGTGTGTGTGTGTGTGTGTGTGTGTGTGTGTGTGTGTATGTGTGCGTTGGAGGTGTGGGGTCTACGAACATGGTGTAAACTCCTAATGTCATCTCAAAAATTACTTTTCAGAGTCTCAAGCCAGAGAATTTGTGTTTATTTCTCAAAACACGTCATACTGAAACTGTCGGTTATTACTAATCTCACATGCTATCTAAATGTTAGATGACATGTTGAACTTTCCTCTTACCAGGTACAACAGCAACTTGAACAGCAACAACAAGTCGAACAACTGAAGGTGCTACAGTGACATACAATATAACATTTCTTGAACTCTCTTTCTTCTCAGACCTCTTTGTTATAAACCTGTGCATGAAGCTGAACAATTACTTTGATGCCGAGCCATGCAGCTTGAAAAGATGCTGTATATGATTTGAAAAGAAAGTAACAGATCTAAACTTGGGAGTATTGCGAGGTTTATCATCTGTGTATATGCATGGCTTCATTTCATTAGATCTGTTATGGAGCAGCTGTAATATATTTAGTTAAATATTTCGGGTGCTTGGATATGAGATGTTACATACATTTGTATCAATGCATGTATCAATATGATGGTAACAGAGGAATTAATACCAGTTTCTAAATAAATGCATGGATCTACAGCAATAGTGTACTGAAATAGTGTTGAGGTATAATCTGATTTTGAATATCATCCTTTTCAGACTGGGGACGTGCCACTTTCTGGACCAAAATTTATTATTTTGTCTGCCAATCCTAACAACGCTGTCGATGAACTTGCTATTAAAGTCAAGATTTGCCAAGAGACAACAGGTACGACTTCAGATGTTTTGTGTGAAAATTACTATCAGTAATGTTCAATGAGGCCTGAATTTTAAATTTGTATTGACGACAGTCAAAGCATATTGACGTCATTGAGATTCGGAATTGTTTCTCTTACCAGGTACAACAACTAGTGGAACAACCACAACCAGTGGTACAACAACAACAAGTGGAACAACAACTACAAGTGGAACAACAACAGGTGATTTCAGTTATATAGACTCTTACATGTAATAGATCTTACTGGAAGCTTTTCTTGTGTCTCAAGTTACAAGGCTTTGTCACACTTTGATACATATGCCATATTTTCCTTTTCTGAACGAATGGAAGAATGAAATGATATTTTGCGTTCACCCGACTCAAGAATGTATGAATCTTTACAGGAACGACTCCATGTGACAAGATTGATCTTATGGACTCAAGTGAGAACCCATCACCAGCACCGACATCATCCCCAGTCGGTAATACAGACAACCCTCTCTCGGAAATTCCATTGGAGGACTCACCTTTTGTTGACACAGTCAAAGTCACATCTAAAACAATCTTCACTTCAGTGCCATCTAAGGAAACCACAAACCCTCAGGTATGTCAGTATGGAACATGTGCTAAATGAGAAAACAATGTACAAAACATTGTTCAATGTGGATAAAACCTGATAAAATGAATGATACATATAATATCCTACAGGGATGAGTAGTTTCAATAGTATACACGAGAATATTGTATTAAGGAAAATATGACCACCAAGAAAATTAGCTTCTTAATGTTTGATTGTACAGAAACAGTGTGTAAGTGAAGGTAATAAAGTATTTCTTTGAACTCTTTAGGAGACTGAGTTCCCTGTCAAACCTTCGACTGATGAGATTATCTTGGTAACCGAGAAAAAACCCGATGGCTTCACAGTCAATGGTACACCAGTTGATACCTCCAGCAGTACCACTGGCACCATTGGGGGTGAACCTGTTTACCTCACTACCGTGAAAATAACTCCAAGTGAAAATCCAGTCACAGTGGAAAGTCCTTCTGGAGAAAAGAAACCTGAAGTCTTCCAAAAGATTGAGGGCACTCCAGATCCAACAGATTCTACTACTTTTGAAGTAATCATTTCTTTAATGTTTAGATGCTACACCTAAGAAGAGTGATTCTCAGTTCTTTTTAAGTTATTTCTTCAGAAAAACCTGATCTTCCTTTCTACTAATGTGCTGATGTTTTCCAAATTAATACTTTTTGAGAGTATGCTTTCCTTTCCAATTTGTGTTTTAAGACATAAGATGATTAGATGAAAACTGTAAATTTGCTTTTTAATATTCAGGTTCCCGTCAATGGCCCAGTATCAGACATTCTTGTGCCGAGTACTAGTAGTGTATCTGAAATTGTCATATGCGAGCACGAGACAACAGGTAAGACTCTAGACATTGAACTTGTATTGAAACTTATCCTTTATCTTTAATTCTTGGGAATGTAATTTTTGCTTGAAACTTAAGGATATGATATTTCTGCATGCAACCATCCATTTGATAGAAAGAACTTGTTTTGATTCAAGTTTTACAGAAGAGGTGCCATTAAGTCATTTAATTGAAATTTTCTTTGAAAAATCATGTTTAATGATATTATTTGTACACTTGGATAGTATCAGGTTTGTTTGTTGTTTAATGCTGAAAAGAGGTTTAAACATAGCCGATGTGCAAAATGATTCAACTGTAGTGTCAGACGAAAACTATAACCACTATTAAATGGACTATCTGAAGCAGACAGAATACAGTCTCTAAAAGGGGATACATGTTTCAATTGTTGACATTAGGAACAACAACCAGTGGTACAACAACCACAAGCGGGACGACCACAACAAGTGGTACAACAACCACAAGCGGGACGACCACAACAAGTGGTACAACAACCACAAGCGGGACAACTCAGGGTGAGTTCAATGATGTTGATGATGATATCCGATGGGTCAGTAATCTTGGTTTTAAGTTCGGTTTTCTTCGCCAGATTACAAAGCTTCATCACGAAGAATACATATGTAATCTTAGAAAAATTTTACGACTGCCTGATTAATCTTGTTACAGCTGGAACCCCATGTGAAAATATTATGGTAGGACAGGATCTCCCCTCTGCTCTTGAGAAGCTCGGCAAGTCTCTTGGTATTTATCCAAGTGGAGACATTGTCTCAGTCACAAATCCAACTGATGGCCAGATCTTGAACCCCCTTGAAGCGGAAGAAGTAAGTCGAATCTGCATTTGATAACAATTGTTTATTTTAAACATGTGTCTGTTTATTAAAATGAACATTTTCATGTCATTTGAGAAACCGGAAATAATTATAATTTCCAAAGCCATGGCCTATCATGAAACCATTTGAAACAGATGACCGGGTACGACATTGAACAAGACTGTTGGCGAAATGGTATTATTGGTGGTTCATAAATGTGGAGGCCTTGTTGTTTTCGTACTTCCGAATAATAGCATTAGTCACGATGCATGTTGTCTTTAGTCCAAATGTTAATTCGCCATCTAATTGGTAAGGTAAAAAATAAACTTAATGAAATGTTTGAATGTATCTATCCATAAGTTGCAATAATTGAAAATGCTTCTTGCCAATGAAATTAGAAACCCGTGAATGTCTATTTCATCCCAAATGTGGTCTAACTTTATTTCTCTGTGTAGAGATGGCTGCATATTGGCCTTCATTTAAGTCAGTGGTTGTAGTATGTTGGTTGTGATATGCATACCGTCATAGGTTGGTTCATTGCTGATACATTTTTTTCTAAATTGTTGGTCTACATTTTCCATCATCTGCTGTGGTATATGGCGCCCACATTTTTATAACACCAAGCTTCATTAGATTGTTAATGTTTTGGGAATGCAGCACATAATCTCAACAACGAGTTCTTTATCCCCCCTCCCCTTTCGAACCACTGACAATGCGATTTCACACACTTGTCATTGTTTAGTTCGTTCGTGAATTCAATCCTTTAATGAATAAGAAGCAAATGAAAGCCACGATATTATTTCAGGCAACTGCTACTATTCCTGGCCAAAGGGACATTGTTGTTATACTAGATGCACCAAGAGTCGATGCTCTTAAGAAAGGTAAGAAACCTATTCTCTTGCTAAAACTTTAACAGGATATACGGTTGGTGATCTTAATAGCCATGAGCGCCACCATGATTTGTTAAAAGTCCTAGATTTTTCATGCATAATAAAGAAAATAATACTTTTTGACTAACCTGCCTTTCAAGTTAGACATTTCCAAGTTTTCAACGACTTGCTTGTAGACAACACTGACCTATCTCCAAGTGAAACACTTACTGGCACGGACAAGACGGTGTACGTGTACAGAGACGTTCAGGCAGGGACATACACACCGGCTCCTGGAAGTGAAACCTTTGTTGAAGAAAATGTACCACAGGTAAACCTGATATGGCAATTGATTAGTTCAATGAAGGAATGATTTCTATTATACCAGTTATTACCATCTCAAGAACTGGATATATTATCCAGTCCATGTAGTTGTGTTTTTGTGTATGTGATTATGGACATGTTTTGTAGTTTCAATTAAAGATCTGTGATACATTGCTCGTGTGTAACATCCCAATGTGTGTGTGTGTGTGTGTGTGTGTGTGTGTGTGTGTGTGTGTGTGTGTGTGTGTGTGTGTGTGTGTGTGTGTGTGTGTGTGTATGTGTGCGTTGGAGGTGTGGGGTCTACGAACATGGTGTAAACTCCTAATGTCATCTCAAAAATTACTTTTCAGAGTCTCAAGCCAGAGAATTTGTGTTTATTTCTCAAAACACGTCATACTGAAACTGTCGGTTATTACTAATCTCACATGCTATCTAAATGTTAGATGACATGTTGAACTTTCCTCTTACCAGGTACAACAGCAACTTGAACAGCAACAACAAGTCGAACAACTGAAGGTGCTACAGTGACATACAATATAACATTTCTTGAACTCTCTTTCTTCTCAGACCTCTTTGTTATAAACCTGTGCATGAAGCTGAACAATTACTTTGATGCCGAGCCATGCAGCTTGAAAAGATGCTGTATATGATTTGAAAAGAAAGTAACAGATCTAAACTTGGGAGTATTGCGAGGTTTATCATCTGTGTATATGCATGGCTTCATTTCATTAGATCTGTTATGGAGCAGCTGTAATATATTTAGTTAAATATTTCGGGTGCTTGGATATGAGATGTTACATACATTTGTATCAATGCATGTATCAATATGATGGTAACAGAGGAATTAATACCAGTTTCTAAATAAATGCATGGATCTACAGCAATAGTGTACTGAAATAGTGTTGAGGTATAATCTGATTTTGAATATCATCCTTTTCAGACTGGGGACGTGCCACTTTCTGGACCAAAATTTATTATTTTGTCTGCCAATCCTAACAACGCTGTCGATGAACTTGCTATTAAAGTCAAGATTTGCCAAGAGACAACAGGTACGACTTCAGATGTTTTGTGTGAAAATTACTATCAGTAATGTTCAATGAGGCCTGAATTTTAAATTTGTATTGACGACAGTCAAAGCATATTGACGTCATTGAGATTCGGAATTGTTTCTCTTACCAGGTACAACAACTAGTGGAACAACCACAACCAGTGGTACAACAACAACAAGTGGAACAACAACTACAAGTGGAACAACAACAGGTGATTTCAGTTATATAGACTCTTACATGTAATAGATCTTACTGGAAGCTTTTCTTGTGTCTCAAGTTACAAGGCTTTGTCACACTTTGATACATATGCCATATTTTCCTTTTCTGAACGAATGGAAGAATGAAATGATATTTTGCGTTCACCCGACTCAAGAATGTATGAATCTTTACAGGAACGACTCCATGTGACAAGATTGATCTTATGGACTCAAGTGAGAACCCATCACCAGCACCGACATCATCCCCAGTCGGTAATACAGACAACCCTCTCTCGGAAATTCCATTGGAGGACTCACCTTTTGTTGACACAGTCAAAGTCACATCTAAAACAATCTTCACTTCAGTGCCATCTAAGGAAACCACAAACCCTCAGGTATGTCAGTATGGAACATGTGCTAAATGAGAAAACAATGTACAAAACATTGTTCAATGTGGATAAAACCTGATAAAATGAATGATACATATAATATCCTACAGGGATGAGTAGTTTCAATAGTATACACGAGAATATTGTATTAAGGAAAATATGACCACCCAGAAAATTAGCTTCTTAATGTTTGATTGTACAGAAACAGTGTGTAAGTGAAGGTAATAAAGTATTTCTTTGAACTCTTTAGGAGACTGAGTTCCCTGTCAAACCTTCGACTGATGAGATTATCTTGGTAACCGAGAAAAAACCCGATGGCTTCACAGTCAATGGTACACCAGTTGATACCTCCAGCAGTACCACTGGCACCATTGGGGGTGAACCTGTTTACCTCACTACCGTGAAAATAACTCCAAGTGAAAATCCAGTCACAGTGGAAAGTCCTTCTGGAGAAAAGAAACCTGAAGTCTTCCAAAAGATTGAGGGCACTCAAGATCCAACAGATTCTACTACTTTTGAAGTAATCATTTCTTTGATGTTTAGATGCTACACCTAAGAAGAGTGATTCTCAGTTCTTTTTAAGTTATTTCTTCAGAAAAACCTGATCTTCCTTTCTACTAATGTGCTGATGTTTTCCAAATTAATACTTTTTGAGAGTATGCTTTCCTTTCCAATTTGTGTTTTAAGACATAAGATGATTAGATGAAAACTGTAAATTTGCTTTTTAATATTCAGGTTCCCGTCAATGGCCCAGTATCAGACATTCTTGTGCCGAGTACTAGTAGTGTATCTGAAATTGTCATATGCGAGCACGAGACAACAGGTAAGACTCTAGACATTGAACTTGTATTGAAACGTATCCTTTATTTTTAATTCTTGGGAATGTAATTTTTGCTTGAAACTTAAGGATATGATATTTCTGCATGCAACCGTCCATTTGATAGAAAGAACTTGTTTTGATTCAAGTTTTACAGAAGAGTTGCCATTAAGTCATTTAATTGAAATTTTCTTTGAAAAATCGTGTTTAATGATATTATTTGTACACTTGGATAGTATCAGATTTGTTTGTTGTTTAATGCTGAAAAGAGGTTTAAACATAGCCGATGTGCAAAATGATTCAACTGTAGTGTCAGACGAAAACTTTAACCACTATTAAATGGACTATCTGAAGCAGACAGAATACAGTCTCTAAAAGGGGATACATGTTTCAATTGTTGACATTAGGAACAACAACCAGTGGTACAACAACCACAAGCGGGACGACCACAACAAGTGGTACAACAACCACAAGCGGGACGACCACAACAAGTGGTACAACAACCACAAGCGGGACAACTCAGGGTGAGTTCAATGATGTTGATGATGATATCCGATGGGTCAGTAATCTTGGTTTTAAGTTCGGTTTTCTTCGCCAGATTACAAAGCTTCATCACGAAGAATACATATGTAATCTTAGAATAATTTTACGACTGCCTGATTAATCTTGTTACAGCTGGAACCCCATGTGAAAATATTATGGTAGGACAGGATCTCCCCTCTGCTCTTGAGAAGCTCGGCAAGTCTCTTGGTATTTATCCAAGTGGAGACATTGTCTCAGTCACAAATCCAACTGATGGCAAAATCTTGAACCCCCTTGAAGCGGAAGAAGTAAGTCGAATCTGCATTTGATAACAATTGGTTATTTTAAACATCTGTCTGTTTATTAAAATGAACATTTTCATGTAAGTTGAGAAACTGGAAATAATTATTATTTCTAAAGCCATGGCCTATCATGAAACCATTTGAAACAGATGACCGGGTACGACATTGAACAAGACTGTTGGCGAAATGGTATTATTGGTGGTTCATAAATGTGGAGGCTTTGTTGTTTTCGTACTTCCGAATAATAGCATTAGTCACAATGCATGTTGTCTTTAGTCCAAATGTTAATTCGCCATCTAATTGGTAAGGTAAAAAATAAACTTAATGAAATGTTTGAATGTATCCATCCATAAGTTGCAATAATTGAAAATGCTTCTTGCCAATGAAATTAGAAACCCGTGAATGTCTATTTCATCCCAAATGTGGTCCAACTTTATATCTCTGTTTAGAGATGGCTGCATATTGGCCTACATTTAAGTCAGTGGTTGTAGTATGTTGGTTGTGATATGCATACCGTCATAGGTTGGTTCATTGCTGATACATTTTTTTCTAAATTGTTGGTCTACATTTTCCATCATCTGCTGTGGTATATGGCGCCCACATTTTTATAACACCAAGCTTCATTAGATTGTTAATGTTTTGGGAATGCAGCACATAATCTCAACAACGAGTTCTTTATCCCCCCTCCCCTTTCGAACCACTGACAATGCGATTTCACACACTTGTCATTGTTTAGTTCGTTCGTGAATTCAATCCTTTAATGAATAAGAAGCAAATGAAAGCCACGATATTATTTCAGGCAACTGCTACTATTCCTGGCCAAAGGGACATTGTTGTTATACTAGATGCACCAAGAGTCGATGCTCTTAAGAAAGGTAAGAAACCATTTCTCTTGCTAAAACTTTAACAGGATATACGGTTGGTGATCTTAATAGCCATGAGCGCCACCATGATTTGTTAAAAGTCCTAGATTTTTCATGCATAATAAAGAAAATAATACTTTTTGACTAACCTGCCTTTCAAGTTAGACATTTCCAAGTTTTCAACGACTTGCTTGTAGACAACACTGACCTATCTCCAAGTGAAACACTTACTGGCACGGACAAGACGGTGTACGTGTACAGAGACGTTCAGGCAGGGACATACACACCGGCTCCTGGAAGTGAAACCTTTGTTGAAGAAAATGTACCACAGGTAAACCTGATATGGCAACTGATAAGTTCAAGGAAGGAATGATTTCTATTATATCAGTCATTACCATCTCAAGAACTGGATATATTATCCAGTCCATGTAGTTGTGTTTTTGTGTATGTGATTATGGACATGTTTTGTAGTTTCAATTAAAGATCTGTGATACATTGCTCGTGTGTAACATCCCAATGTGTGTGTGTGTGTGTGTGTGTGTGTGTGTGTGTGTGTGTGTGTGTGTGCGTGTGCGTTGGAGGTGTGGGGTCTACGAACATGGTGTAAACTCCTAATGTCATCTCAAAAATTACTTTTCAGAGTCTCAAGCCAGAGAATTTGTGTTTATTTCTCAAAACACGTCATACTGAAACTGTCGGTTATTACTAATCTCACATGCTATCTAAATGTTAGATGACATGTTGAACTTTCCTCTTACCAGGTACAACAGCAACTTGAACAGCAACAACAAGTCGAACAACTGAAGGTGCTACAGTGACATACAATATAACATTTCTTGAACTCTCTTTCTTCTCAGACCTCTTTGTTTTACACCTGTGCATGAAGCTGAACAATTACTTTGATGCCGAGCCATGCAGCTTGAAAATATGCTGTATATGATTTGAAAATAAAGTAACAGATCTAAACTTGGGAGTATTGCGAGGTTTATCATCTGTGTATATGCATGGCTTCATTTCATTAGATCTGTTATGGGGCAGCTGTAATATATTCCGGGTGCTTGGATATGAGACGTTACACACATTTGTATCAATGCATGTATCAATATAATTTTAACAGAGGAATTAATACCAGTTTCTAAATAAATGCATGTATCTACAGCAATAGTGTTCTGAAATAGTGTTGAGGTATAATCTGATTTTGAATGTCATCCTTTTCAGACTGGGGACGTGCCACTTTCTGGACCAAAATTTATTATTTTGTCTGCCAATCCCAACAACGCTGTCGATGAACTTGCTATTAAAGTCAAGATTTGCCAAGAGACAACAGGTACGACTTCAGATGTTTTGTGTGAAAATTACTATCAGTAATGTTCAATGAGGCCTGAATTTTAAATTTGTATTGACGACAGTCAAAGCATATTGACGTCATTGAGATTCGGAATTGTTTCTCTTACCAGGTACAACAACTAGTGGAACAACCACAACCAGTGGTACAACAACAACAAGTGGAACAACAACTACAAGTGGAACAACAACAGGTGAATTCATTTATATAGACTCTTACATGTAATAGATCTTACTGGAAGCTTTTATTGTGCCTCAAGTTACAAGGCTTTGTCACACTTTGATACATATGCCATATTTTTCTTTTCTGAATGAATGGAAGAATGAAATGATATTTTGCGTTCACCCGACTCAAGAATGTATGAATCTTTACAGGAACGACTCCATGTGACAAGATTGATCTTATGGACTCAAGTGAGAACCCATCACCAGCACCGACATCATCCCCAGTCGGTAATACAGACAACCCTCTCTCGGAAATTCCATTGGAGGACTCACCTTTTGTTGACACAGTCAAAGTCACATCTAAAACAATCTTCACTTCAGTGCCATCTAAGGAAACCACAAACCCTCAGGTATGTCAGTATGGAGCATGTGCTAAATGAGAAAACAATGTACAAAACATTGTTCAATGTGGATAAGACCTGATAAAATGAATGATACATATAATATCCTACAGGGATGAGTAGTTTCAATAGTATGCACGAGAATATTGTATTAAGGAAAACACGACCACCAAGAAAATTGGCCTCTTAATGTTTGTTTGTACAGAAACAGTGTGTAAGTGAAGATAATAAAGTATTTCTTTGAACTCCTCAGGTGACTGAGTTCCCTGTCAAACCTTCGACTGATGAGATTATCTTGGTAACCGAGAAAAAACCCGATGGCTTCACAGTCAATGGTACACCAGTTGATACCTCCAGCAGTACCACTGGCACCATTGGGGGTGAACCTGTTTACCTCACTACCGTGAAAATAACTCCAAGTGAAAATCCAGTCACAGTGGAAAGTCCTTCTGGAGAAAAGAAACCTGAAGTCTTCCAAAAGATTGAGGGCACTCCAGATCCAACAGATTCTACTACTTTTGAAGTAATCATTTCTTTAATGTTTAGATGCTACACCTAAGAAGAGTGATTCTCAGTTCTTTTTTAAGTTATTCCTTCTGAAAAACCTGATCTTCCTTTCTACTAATGTGCTGATGTTTTCCAAATTAATACTTTTTGAGAGTAAGCCTTCCTTTACAATTTGTGTTTTAAGACATAGGATTATTAGATGAAAACTGTAAATTGCTTCTTAATTTTCAGGTTCCCGTCAATGGTCCAGTATCAGACATTCTTGTGCCGAGTACTAGTAGTGTATCTGAAATTGTCATATGCGAGCACGAGACAACAGGTAAGACTACATATATTGACTTTGTGTTTAAGGATATCCTTAATTTATAGTTCTTGGGAATGTAATTTTTGCTTGAAAATGAAGGATATGATATTTCTGCATGCAACCATCCATCTGATTTCAGGGAACTCTCTTCTACAGATACAAATTACAAAAAAATTACATGGAGTCATTAACACTGAAAATTTCTGATACAATTCATGTTTAATTATTCAATGTGTGCACTTTCACAATATTCTGGCCTGGTCGGGTTTGTTTATTTGGTGTGTAACGCCTTTAAGAAGAACGATTAACTTCGTCAGGGTATTATGACGTGTAAAATCAACCATGTCACCGAACCTGACCACCCAATCCACTAGGACCAATCCCTGCGGAGAGTACTTAATGGTTCTAGTCAATTGAAATATCCATATATAGGTGTAAACTTAAAACTTGTCCATTAACTTACATGTTAAGACTCACAAACATATACATGAACTGATATTTTAAGACTTACAAACATATTCATTATTTTACATTTTAAGACTCATAAGACGCCACTAGTGAAATCGAGAACAAGATTATCTATCATTTATATCTACAACCAAAATGTTGTGCTCAACTATATTGATCAACATGTTATAAAAAGATAAAGACATATACATCTATCATGAGTTATTCATTTAAATTTACTAAGGTACAACGACAAGTGGAACAACTACCACAAGTGGAACAACTACAAGTGGAACAACTACCACAAGTGGAACAACTACCACAAGTGGAACAACAGGTATACCATGATACAGCTTCCTCACAATGTCTTTTTATATTCTTGGAATAGATTAAAAACAATGTGGAGAGTTTTATACCGTTAGGATTCCGGGGTAGAATAGGTCTTCAGCAACCCATGCTTGCCGTAAAAGGCGATTATGGGATCGATGTTCATGATGAGTCTGGTCCAGACTCGATTATTTACAGACCGTCGTCATACAGCTGGAAATTTCTGAGTGAGGCGTTAAACTACAAACAAACAAACAAACAAATATAAAGAGAAGCTCAATCACTTATATGAATAGATGAATATTATGGCATATTTGCTTGTACTTATAGTTGCTATCAGACCAAATGTGTAGAATCTTACGTACGTGCACACAATCGTGTCTTGACATGACACGATGACACGCAATGAACTGTTTGTGTGTGTGTGTGTGTGTGTGTGTGTGTGTGTGTGTGTGTGTGTGTGTGTGTGTGTGTGTGTGTGTGTGTGTGTGTGTGTGTGTTTGTGACCTTAACCCACATTTTGATGAGCTATTTTGTATGGGAAATTGTATAATGGTAAGAAGATTAAACATATGAACATCGTGGTACGAACATGGTCTCATTTATCTGATTAAATTTGATATAATACTTTTCTTTGCACTCCTTCTTCCTGATTCATTGATTCATAACAAATTGTATCGAAGATAATTCGCAATGATTTTGCTGTTGCATTTAGGAACAACACCTTGTGAGAAGAGTGACTTAATGAAACCTACAGATGGTTCCACTGCACCAACTCCTGCTGAAGTTACAGCCACCCTGGAAGAAATTATCCTCAGTGGTAAACCACTGGTGGATTCTGTAACTTCCACAGAAGAAAACATCTATGTGCCTTTAGAACCCAAGACATCAACCGATCAGGTACTGAAACTATGAGCGAGTGAGTGAGTAATGTCTTTATGTGATAATCGATATGACAGATCGTCTTCAGACATTGTTTCCATTGAATCGAACTCGGGTAGTGAACTTGTAACCCCCTAAAAATGTAACAATTTGGCTACACTGTCGCCCATTGATTCTACGAAATAGAAAGATCTCCAGGTTTTCAATTATATTGTATCTGGATGACAAAATCGTATATAATGTCATACAAAATACTGGATAATTTGTATCGCTATTTTCCCCAGGAAAAATCCTTTACAGTGGATCCTGGTACGGATGAAATAACCTTATTTACAAAGAAAGATTCAACAGACATTAGAGTAAACAACGTTCCAGTCGATTCGACAAAAGTTGTCCAAGGAACAAAAGACGGAAGTTCTGTTTTCATAACAACTGTCGATATTGCTAAAGGAAGCACCGAGGTTACGGTCGTGCTCGCTGGAGTTGAGATAGTAGCCGTATTTGAAAAGGTCACAGGAGAATCAGTTCAACCCAATTTATATAAGGTAAGAAGAATTTTGTAACGAAGTGTTTACATTATAAAAAAAAGTGGATATTCAATGTTAAGTTTACGTCTCAGTCAGCAATATTTCAGCTGTATCACCGCGGGCTGATGATAATCAAGACTGAACCAAACAAGCGAGTGAATGAGAGCCAGTGTGTGATCACCACCACTGGGGCACAATGATAAACGATGAGAGGCAGTGTGTGATCACCACCACTGGGGCACAATGATAAACGATGAGAGGCAGTGTGTGATCACCACCACTGGGGCACAATGATAAACGATGAGAGGCAGTGTGTGATCACCACCACTGGGGCACAATGATAAACGATGAGAGCCAGTGTGTGATCACCACCACTGGGGCACAATGATAAACGATGAGAGCCAGTGTGTGATCACCACCACTGGGGCACAATGATAAACGATGAGAGCCAGGCAATATGTCATGCTAGCTGACTCCTAAGACACAAAGTGGAGTCTATTCCAGAATCCCAGAGAGGGAATACGTTGTCAGTAATTATTGCTTATATTTTTATACAGTGATGGTATTTCTTGGTAGACAGCGAGTTTTATCGCACGCCTGGTTTACAAATAACAGTTGTTCCTTATCAACAGTTCCGTCTCAACAGACCTGTTGAAAGCATCATTGTGCCAAAAAGCGCGACAGTTTCCAGTATTGATATCTGTGAACATGAAACAACAGGTAAATACAACGAATGTTTTGAAAGTATCATTATTTTGTCAAGTATGAGATATATTTACAAATCATGTAATCTACATTGATGCGGACTAAAAGTAGTTTATTGAGTAAGTTCACCAACGAACCATTTCGGATTGTTTCGGATTGTCTAATATTCTAGCATTATGAAAAAAATGTATTATGTGTTTGATATTTGCTGTAGGAACAACAACAACAAGTGGAACAACCACAAGTGGAACAACTTCAACCTCAACAACGACTACTGGTGAGCACATAGTATATGGCTAGAAAATGTAAAATGTTGAGATTGCACCAGACATTTGTCATTTCTAGAGACTCCCTGTGGCGTTCGCAAGCCTAGTAGCGTTCAAAAGGTGTTAACTACTTTTTAATATGCCAATCAATAACATATTCACAGTGCTATCTCTATCACATGACCACATATGGCAAATGATGGTTCTGTTCATTAGGCAATTTGATCAGTGTTTCTGGGTTAAACATAAACTTTTATGTAGATTGACATACATTGAGCGAGTATGGAATAAAATGATTTTTAAAAATACAACATTTTAAAAATACAGTATACAGCCCGAAGTTAGTCCATGTGAGCTTCAACGGAGAGAATTCGTCTCACATATCAAAATTGATTAAGGCATTTACCAAGATCCTCTGACCGCCTCTGTGGTCTAGTGAGCGTCCGCCCGGAGAGCGGAAAGTCCGGGGTTCGATTCCCGGCCTCGTCATACCAAAAGACTTTAAAAGATGGTACTTGTTGTTACCCTGTGTGGCGCTCGGCATTAAGGGGCTAAAACAAGGAAGGACCGGTCGGCTCGGAGTCAGTATACTGTGTCTGACTGGGGTATTCATGTTAAACTGCGGCATGGTATCTCAGTGTGCTAGCACTATACATCGGCAGTCACACACACGCAGCCACACACGTGCATGCACGTCGCTATATAAGTGCAAGAATCTTGGACGCGACGTTAACCCCATTTCACCTCACCAAGATCCTTTGTTATCTGCCTCGCTGACGTATTAAGTTTTACCCTTGGCAATGGCAAAACTATTTTTATTATATGCACGTGTCGTTTCTTAGAAATCGATTTGCAGAAATTTCTATTAATTCGTCTTGTTTATGGACAACTTGATATACAAAACAACTTTTGATTTAGTAATCATTGATATGTATGGTTTTGGCTCACCAAAGTATTACAATTCATCATACATTCCTAAAATCATTGTTGGGTCACTACAATCCATATTTAGTGAAACGCTTCTTATGATGAAGCTGTCCAGAGATAGATACCCAGAATGTTGACCGCAGATCAGAAGCTGACTAAGCGGAACATATACAATCACTTTGGATCAGCCAGCAGCAAAATCCTATCACATGCATTTTTGCGAATTGTAACCCAGGATATAACATGGGTCCATCACTTAGTCACAACTTCAGAAGAAATTGTGGAAAAGGTTGTCCTCGTCCCCAGGTGGATGGGGTAAGTTGGATAACTCTTGGATTCTGATTTTCTGTAGAGTAAGGACATAGTAATGACGTGCAAAGATGCTAAATTTGTCCATGAGCAAAGTTGTGCCACAGAACTACGCCGGTTGAGATAAGCTATCAAGGAAAAACGCCGAATAGCTCCATTCGGGTGTTCTTGTAGCTTATCTTCACCTATCTCAGCTCTGAATTTTCTCAGTATCCTAAGCTCAAATCACACCTGCGTGATAGAGCTTATAACGACGGTCACAGCCAGTTCTTGACATCAGCCATTTCCATCAAAGATAACAGAACCGGAGTGTTCATGCTGAAGCTTTATCCTTACATCGAAAAAAGCTCCATATAACAATTTCACGGACATTGCACCATGAGGCGAAACGTCGCACCAGACAGGCACCATTCTGTCATGTGCTTGTTTCCAAAACAAGCTTAATTCTTCCATGGGGTATAACTTTTGACCAGTAATGACTCATACCACTGAGTACAAACTGCATGATTGCAGTAATAGCGATTTTACTAGTTATGACGACATGATTACAACCTATGGGGCCTGTTTCCGTACCCAGATAAAGACTTAAATTGGGCAGAAAAAAACCCCTGGACCTTAGTGTTTTGAAGCGTAATGAAATTAAATTGAAATATAGTGTGTGAACAATTTTTATTTTGAACTTTTTACTATGTGAGACCACGAGCTATTTGATTTACTCTGACGTACTTTGTTCTAATCAAATGAGACAGGATAGTATCATCAAGACGATGAATGTTTTGTGCCAGCAATCCACTTAGACTGCGGCTTCATGACATTGTTTTTTTAAAAGAAATCTGATCACAAGAGTGAATGCAGATTGTTGATGAGATCACAATGGTCACTGCAAGATGATATGTATTTAGGTTGCATGTCTTTGGGTGTCTCCTTATAGTAACCCGCCTACAGTTTGTGTGTCAATTTTATTTTCATGCATAGAGGGTACAGCAGGAGGTCAGACAACGGAAGCTCCAACATCAACAACAACGCCAACAACAAGGCCAACAACAGGTTTTACATTACAATATTCGATACATATATTCTCAGCCATTAAGGTCCGTGAGTTCATAGTAGGTTTTCAAAGGTGATTTGAAGATTATTCATGGCGTTTACGCCTTTTGTGAAATCAATGTGATTGGGAATGCTCATCCGCACACAAACAGACTTCTGCATAGACGACTGGGGGTTGTATTTCCTTGATAAGATTTAAACACAAATTACTCATGGATTTATGATATATTTACAGGAACAACTCCATGTAATTATCAGCTATGAGTTTAAGGATGTCCCTTATCCATATTTCTGGAAAAGAATGCAACAATCAATGTGATTGAAGTAAACCCAGTTTAACATTAATTCATGAAAGATACTTAAAAGAAGTCACTTTGAATCATTAAAACTAAAACCTTTTTAAAAAATATCGTGTTTAATGAGTCCACTTGTACACTATCCTGGCATTGTCAGATTTGTTTGTTGTTTAACGCTCGAAAGAGGATTAATCATCAATGTTTTGGAAAATAAATCAAATATAATGTCAGAAGATAACGATTATTAAATGTACTATCTAAAGTCAACAGAATCCAGACTCCAAAGGGGGATACATATTTCAATTGTTTTCATCAGGAACAACTACAAGTGGAACAACGACAACCAGTGGAACAACCACCACAAGTGGAACAACAACGGGTGAATTAAATTCTGTTGACTGTTATATGCAATTCATCAGGAGTGAAGATTGTATAGTGCATCAATTTACAATGCTTTATCACAAAGAATACTTACTGCCCTTCACAATTATGCCATTATTTCTCTTTGTAAATGGATAATAGACTAGAATGATAGCCTTAGCTAGGATGTGCTTAGTTGTGATATGGTTGTTCTGATTAATGTAGTTTTGGTTGTAATATCCACTATGTGCTGGGTTAGTTAGTTTGAATATTGTGAACACATACAACCTGTTTTAAAATATAGTAACAGAGGATTTTGTAACTCACGGATGTATGGCGCATTTACAGGAACGACTCCATGTGACAAGATTGATCTTATGGACTCAAGTGAGAACCCATCACCAGCACCGACATCCTCCCCAGTCGGTAATACAGACAACCCTCTCTCGGAAATTCCATTGGAGGACTCACCTTTTGTTGACACAGTCAAAGTCACATCTAAAACAATCTTCACTTCAGTGCCATCTAAGGAAACCACAAACCCTCAGGTATGTCATTAGAGAGCATGTGCTAAATGAGAAGACAATGTACAAAACATTTTTCAATGTGGATAAAAGCTGATGGAATGAATGATACATATAATATCCTACAGGCACGAGAATATTGGATTAAGGAAAACATGACCACCAAGAAAGTTGGCCTCTTAATGTTTGTTTGTACAGAAACAGTGTGTAAGTGAAGATAATAAAGTATTTCTTTGAACTCCTCAGGCGACTGAGTTCCCTGTCAAACCTTCGACTGATGAGATTATCTTGGTAACCGACAAGAAACCCGATGGCTTCACAGTCAATGGTACACCAGTTGATACCTCCAGCAGTACCACTGGCACCATTGGGGGTCAACCTGTTTACCTCACTACCGTGAAAATAACTCCAAGTGAAAATCCAGTCACAGTGGAAAGTCCTTCTGGAGAAAAGAAACCTGAAGTCTTCCAAAAGATTGAGGGCACTCCAGATCCAACAGATTCTACTACTTTTGAAGTAATCATTTCTTTAATGTTTAGATGCTACACCTAAGAAGAGTGATTCTCAGTTCTTTTTAAGTTATTTCTTCAGAAAAACCCGATCTTCCTTTGTACTAATTTGCTGATGTTTTCCAAATTAATACTTTTTGAGAGTAAGCTTTCCTTTCCAATTTGTGTTTTAAGACATAAGATGATTAGATGAAAACTGTAAATTGCTTCTTAATTTTCAGGTTCCCGTCAATGGTCCAGTATCAGACATTCTTGTGCCGAGCACTAGTAGTGTATCTGAAATTGTCATATGCCAGCACGAGACAACAGGTAAGGATGTAAATATTAGCTTTGTGTTTAAGGATGTCCCTAATCCATATTTCTGGAAAAGAATGCAACAATCAATGTGATTGAAGTAAACCCAGTTTAACATTAATTCATGAAAGATACTTAAAAGAAGTCACTTTGAATCATTAAAACTAAAACCTTTTTCAAAAATATCGTGTTTAATGAGTCCACTTGTACACTATCCTGGCATTGTCAGATTTGTTTGTTGTTTAACGCTCGAAAGAGGATTAATCATCAATGTTTTGGAAAATAAATCAAATATAATGTCAGAAGATAACGATTATTAAATGTACTATCTAAAGTCAACAGAATACAGACTCCAAAGGGGGATACATATTTCAATTGTTTTCAACAGGAACAACTACAAGTGGAACAACGACAACCAGTGGAACAACCACCACAAGTGGAACAACAACGGGTGAATTAAATTCTGTTGACTGTTATATGCAATTCATCAGGAGTGAAGATTGTATAGTGCATCAATTTACAATGCTTTATCACAAAGAATACTTACTGCCCTTCACAATTATGCCATTATTTCTCTTTGTAAATGGATAATAGACTAGAATGATAGCCTTAGCTAGGATGTGCTTAGTTGTGATATGGTTGATCTGATTAATGTAGTTTTGGTTGTAATATCCACTATGTGCTGGGTTAGTTAGTTTGAATATTGTGAACACATACAACCTGTTTTAAAATAAAGTAACAGAGGATTTTGTAACTCACGGATGTATGGCACATTTACAGGAACGACTCCATGTGACAAGATTGATCTTATGAACTCAAGTGAGAACCCATCACCAGCACCGACATCCTCCCCAGTCGGTAATACAGACAACCCTCTCTCGGAAATTCCATTGGAGGACTCACCTTTTGTTGACACAGTCAAAGTCACATCTAAAACAATCTTCACTTCAGTGCCATCTAAGGAAACCACAAACCCTCAGGTATGTCATTAGAGAGCATGTGCTAAATGAGAAGACAATGTACAAAACATTTTTCAATGTGGATAAAACCTGATGGAATGAATGGTACATATAATATCCTACAGGCACGAGAATATTGGATTAAGGAAAACATGACCACCAAGAAAATTGGCCTCTTAATGTTTGTTTGCACAGAAACAGTGTGTAAGTGAAGGTAATAAAGTATTTCTTTGAACTCCTCAGGCGACTGAGTTCCCTGTCAAACCTTCGACTGATGAGATTATCTTGGTAACCGACAAGAAACCCGATGGCTTCACAGTCAATGGTACACCAGTTGATACCTCCAGCAGTACCACTGGCACCATTGGGGGTGAACCTGTTTACCTCACTACCGTGAAAATAACTCCAAGTGAAAATCCAGTCACAGTGGAAAGTCCTTCTGGAGAAAAGAAACCTGAAGTCTTCCAAAAGATTGAGGGCACTCCAGATCCAACAGATTCTACTACTTTTGAAGTAATCATTTCTTTAATGTTTAGATGCTACACCTAAGAAGAGTGATTCTCAGTTCTTTTTAAGTTATTTCTTCAGAAAAACCCGATCTTCCTTTGTACTAATTTGCTGATGTTTTCCAAATTAATACTTTTTGAGAATAAGCTTTCCTTTCCAATTTGTGTTTAAGACATAAGATGATTAGATGAAAACTGTAAATTGCTTCTTAATTTTCAGGTTCCCGTCAATGGTCCAGTATCAGACATTCTTGTGCCGAGTACTAGTAGTGTATCTGAAATTGTCATATGCCAGCACGAGACAACAGGTAAGGATGTAAATATTAGCTTTGTGTTTAAGGATGTCCCTAATTTATATTTCTAGGACATAATGCAACCATCAATCTGATTGGAGTGAGTCCATTTTTCAGACTTATTCATGAAATATACATAAAACTGAAGATTCTTTAGAAATATGGTGTTTAATGATTTAATGTGTCCACTTGTACACTATCCTTGCGTTTGTATATTTGTTTGTTGTTTCATGCTCGAAAGAGGCGTAAAGATCACTGATTTGGAAAATAAATCAAACACAGTATGAGAAGATAACAATTATGGAATATCCTATGTAGTTTTAGTAGAATACAGGCTGCAAGATGGGATACATATTTCAATCGTTTCCATTAGGAACAACTACAAGTGGAACAACAACCAGTGGAACAACAACCAGTGGAACTACAACAAGTGGAACAACAACCAGTGGAACAACAACAACCAGTGGAACAACAACGGGTGAATTAAATTCTGTTGACTGTTATATGCAATTCATCAGGAGTGAAGATTGTATAGTGCATCAATTTACAATGCTTTATCACAAAGAATTCTTACTGCCCTTCACAATTATGCCATTATTTCTCTTTGTAAATGGATAATAGACTAGAATGATAGCCTTAGCTAGGATGTGCTTAGTTGTGATATGGTTGATCTGATTAATGTAGTTTTGGTTGTAATATCCACTATGTGCTGGGCTAGTTAGTTTGAATATTGTGAACACATACAACCTGTTTTAAAATAAAGTAACAGAGGATTTTGTAACTCACGGATGTATGGCATATTTACAGGAACGACTCCATGTGACAAGATTGATCTTATGAACTCAAGTGAGAACCCATCACCAGCACCGACATCCTCCCCAGTCGGTAATACAGACAACCCTCTCTCGGAAATTCCATTGGAGGACTCACCTTTTGTTGACACAGTCAAAGTCACATCTAAAACAATCTTCACTTCAGTGCCATCTAAGGAAACCACAAACCCTCAGGTATGTCATTAGAGAGCATGTGCTTAATGAGAAGACAATGTACAAAACATTTTTCAATGTGTTTAAAACCTGATGGAATGAATGGTACATATAATATCCTACAGGCACGAGAATATTGTATTAAGGAAAACATGACCACCAAGAAAATTGGCCTCTTAATGTTTGTTTGTACAGAAACAGTGTGTAAGTGAAGGTAATAAAGTATTTCTTTGAACTCCTCAGGCGACTGAGTTCCCTGTCAAACCTTCGACTGATGAGATTATCTTGGTAACCGACAAGAAACCCGATGGCTTCACAGTCAATGGTACACCAGTTGATACCTCCAGCAGTACCACTGGCACCATTGGGGGTGAACCTGTTTACCTCACTACCGTGAAAATAACTCCAAGTGAAAATCCAGTCACAGTGGAAAGTCCTTCTGGAGAAAAGAAACCTGAAGTCTTCCAAAAGATTGAGGGCACTCCAGATCCAACAGATTCTACTACTTTTGAAGTAATCATTTCTTTAATGTTTAGATGCTACACCTAAGAAGAGTGATTCTCAGTTCTTTTTAAGTTATTTCTTCAGAAAAACCCGATCTTCCTTTGTACTAATTTGCTGATGTTTTCCAAATTAATACTTTTTGAGAGTAAGCTTTCCTTTCCAATTTGTGTTTTAAGACATAAGATGATTAGATGAAAACCGTAAATTGCTTCTTAATTTTCAGGTTCCCGTCAATGGTCCAGTATCAGACATTCTTGTGCCGAGTACTAGTAGTGTATCTGAAATTGTCATATGCCAGCACGAGACAACAGGTAAGGATGTAAATATTAGCTTTGTGTTTAAGGATGTCCCTCATCCATATTTCTTGAAAAGAATGCAACAATCAATGTGTTTGAAGTAAACCCAGTTTAACATTAATTCATGAAAGATACTTAAAAGAAGTCACTTTGAATCATTAAAACTAAAACCTTTTTCAAAAATATCGTGTTTAATGAGTCCACTTGTACACTATCCTGGCATTGTCAGATTTGTTTGTTGTTTAACGCTCGAAAGAGGATTAATCATCAATGTTTTGGAAAATAAATCAAATATAATGTCAGAAGATAACGATTATTAAATGTACTATCTAAAGTCAACAGAATACAGACTCCAAAGGGGGATACATATGTCAATTATTTTCATCAGGAACAACTACAAGTGGAACAACGACAACCAGTGGAACAACCACCACAAGTGGTACAACCACAACAAGTGGTACAACCACTACAAGTGGAACAACAACCAGTGGAACAACAACCAGTGGAACTACAACCAGTGGAACAACAACAACCAGTGGAACAACAACGGGTGAATTAAATTCTGTTGACTGTTATATGCAATTCATCAGGAGTGAAGATTGTATAGTGCATCAATTTACAATGCTTTATCACAAAGAATTCTTACTGCCCTTCACAATTATGCCATTATTTCTCTTTGTAAATGGATAATAGACTAGAATGATAGCCTTAGCTAGGATGTGCTTAGTTGTGATATGGTTGATCTGATTAATGTAGTTTTGGTTGTAATATCCACTATGTGCTGGGTTAGTTAGTTTGAATATTGTGAACACATACAACCTGTTTTAAAATATAGTAACAGAGGATTTTGTAACTCACGGATGTATGGCATATTTACAGGAACGACTCCATGTGACAAGATTGATCTTATGGACTCAAGTGAGAACCCATCACCAGCACCGACATCCTCCCCAGTCGGTAATACAGACAACCCTCTCTCGGAAATTCCATTGGAGGACTCACCTTTTGTTGACACAGTCAAAGTCACATCTAAAACAATCTTCACTTCAGTGCCATCTAAGGAAACCACAAACCCTCAGGTATGTCAGTAGAGAGCATGTGCTTAATGAGAAGACAATGTACAAAACATTTTTCAATGTGTTTAAAACCTGATGGAATGAATGGTACATATAATATCCTACAGGCACGAGAATATTGGATTAAGGAAAACATGACCACCAAGAAAATTGGCCTCTTAATGTTTGTTTGTACAGAAACAGTGTGTAAGTGAAGGTAATAAAGTATTTCTTTGAACTCCTCAGGCGACTGAGTTCCCTGTCAAACCTTCGACTGATGAGATTATCTTGGTAACCGACAAGAAACCCGATGGCTTCACAGTCAATGGTACACCAGTTGATACCTCCAGCAGTACCACTGGCACCATTGGGGGTGAACCTGTTTACCTCACTACCGTGAAAATAACTCCAAGTGAAAATCCAGTCACAGTGGAAAGTCCTTCTGGAGAAAAGAAACCTGAAGTCTTCCAAAAGATTGAGGGCACTCCAGATCCAACAGATTCTACTACTTTTGAAGTAATCATTTCTTTAATGTTTAGATGCTACACCTAAGAAGAGTGATTCTCAGTTCTTTTTAAGTTATTTCTTCAGAAAAACCCGATCTTCCTTTGTACTAATTTGCTGATGTTTTCCAAATTAATACTTTTTGAGAGTAAGCTTTCCTTTCCAATTTGTGTTTTAAGACATAAGATGATTAGATGAAAACTGTAAATTGCTTCTTAATTTTCAGGTTCCCGTCAATGGTCCAGTATCAGACATTCTTGTGCCGAGTACTAGTAGTGTATCTGAAATTGTCATATGCCAGCACGAGACAACAGGTAAGGATGTAAATATTAGCTTTGTGTTTAAGGATGTCCCTAATCCATATTTCTGGAAAAGAATGCAACAATCAATGTGTTTGAAGTAAACCCAGTTTAACATTAATTCATGAAAGATACTTAAAAGAAGTCACTTTGAATCATTAAAACTAAAACCTTTTTCAAAAATATCGTGTTTAATGAGTCCACTTGTACACTATCCTGGCATTGTCAGATTTGTTTGTTGTTTAACGCTCGAAAGAGGATTAATCATCACTGTTTTGGAAAATAAATCAAATATAATGTCAGAAGATAACGATTATTAAATGTACTATCTAAAGTCAACAGAATACAGACTCCAAAGGGGGATACATATGTCAATTATTTTCATCAGGAACAACTACAAGTGGAACAACGACAACCAGTGGAACAACCACCACAAGTGGTACAACCACAACAAGTGGTACAACCACTACAAGTGGAACAACAACCAGTGGAACAACAACCAGTGGAACTACAACCAGTGGAACAACAACAACCAGTGGAACAACAACGGGTGAATTAAATTCTGTTGACTGTTATATGCAATTCATCAGGAGTGAAGATTGTATAGTGCATCAATTTACAATGCTTTATCACAAAGAATTCTTACTGCCCTTCACAATTATGCCATTATTTCTCTTTGTAAATGGATAATAGACTAGAATGATAGCCTTAGCTAGGATGTGCTTAGTTGTGATATGGTTGATCTGATTAATGTAGTTTTGGTTGTAATATCCACTATGTGCTGGGTTAGTTAGTTTGAATATTGTGAACACATACAACCTGTTTTAAAATAAAGTAACAGAGGATTTTGTAACTCACGGATGTATGGCATATTTACAGGAACGACTCCATGTGACAAGATTGATCTTATGGACTCAAGTGAGAACCCATCACCAGCACCGACATCCTCCCCAGTCGGTAATACAGACAACCCTCTCTCGGAAATTCCATTGGAGGACTCACCTTTTGTTGACACAGTCAAAGTCACATCTAAAACAATCTTCACTTCAGTGCCATCTAAGGAAACCACAAACCCTCAGGTATGTCAGTAGAGAGCATGTGCTTAATGAGAAGACAATGTACAAAACATTTTTCAATGTGTTTAAAACCTGATGGAATGAATGGTACATATAATATCCTACAGGCACGAGAATATTGGATTAAGGAAAACATGACCACCAAGAAAATTGGCCTCTTAATGTTTGTTTGTACAGAAACAGTGTGTAAGTGAAGGTAATAAAGTATTTCTTTGAACTCCTCAGGCGACTGAGTTCCCTGTCAAACCTTCGACTGATGAGATTATCTTGGTAACCGACAAGAAACCCGATGGCTTCACAGTCAATGGTACACCAGTTGATACCTCCAGCAGTACCACTGGCACCATTGGGGGTGAACCTGTTTACCTCACTACCGTGAAAATAACTCCAAGTGAAAATCCAGTCACAGTGGAAAGTCCTTCTGGAGAAAAGAAACCTGAAGTCTTCCAAAAGATTGAGGGCACTCCAGATCCAACAGATTCTACTACTTTTGAAGTAATCATTTCTTTAATGTTTAGATGCTACACCTAAGAAGAGTGATTCTCAGTTCTTTTTAAGTTATTTCTTCAGAAAAACCCGATCTTCCTTTGTACTAATTTGCTGATGTTTTCCAAATTAATACTTTTTGAGAGTAAGCTTTCCTTTCCAATTTGTGTTTTAAGACATAAGATGATTAGATGAAAACTGTAAATTGCTTCTTAATTTTCAGGTTCCCGTCAATGGTCCAGTATCAGACATTCTTGTGCCGAGTACTAGTAGTGTATCTGAAATTGTCATATGCCAGCACGAGACAACAGGTAAGGATGTAAATATTAGCTTTGTGTTTAAGGATGTCCCTAATCCATATTTCTGGAAAAGAATGCAACAATCAATGTGTTTGAAGTAAACCCAGTTTAACATTAATTCATGAAAGATACTTAAAAGAAGTCACTTTGAATCATTAAAACTAAAACCTTTTTCAAAAATATCGTGTTTAATGAGTCCACTTGTACACTATCCTGGCATTGTCAGATTTGTTTGTTGTTTAACGCTCGAAAGAGGATTAATCATCACTGTTTTGGAAAATAAATCAAATATAATGTCAGAAGATAACGATTATTAAATGTACTATCTAAAGTCAACAGAATACAGACTCCAAAGGGGGATACATATGTCAATTATTTTCATCAGGAACAACTACAAGTGGAACAACGACAACCAGTGGAACAACCACCACAAGTGGTACAACCACAACAAGTGGTACAACCACTACAAGTGGAACAACAACCAGTGGAACAACAACCAGTGGAACTACAACCAGTGGAACAACAACAACCAGTGGAACAACAACGGGTGAATTAAATTCTGTTGACTGTTATATGCAATTCATCAGGAGTGAAGATTGTATAGTGCATCAATTTACAATGCTTTATCACAAAGAATTCTTACTGCCCTTCACAATTATGCCATTATTTCTCTTTGTAAATGGATAATAGACTAGAATGATAGCCTTAGCTAGGATGTGCTTAGTTGTGATATGGTTGATCTGATTAATGTAGTTTTGGTTGTAATATCCACTATGTGCTGGGTTAGTTAGTTTGAATATTGTGAACACATACAACCTGTTTTAAAATATAGTAACAGAGGATTTTGTAACTCACGGATGTATGGCATATTTACAGGAACGACTCCATGTGACAAGATTGATCTTATGGACTCAAGTGAGAACCCATCACCAGCACCGACATCCTCCCCAGTCGGTAATACAGACAACCCTCTCTCGGAAATTCCATTGGAGGACTCACCTTTTGTTGACACAGTCAAAGTCACATCTAAAACAATCTTCACTTCAGTGCCATCTAAGGAAACCACAAACCCTCAGGTATGTCAGTAGAGAGCATGTGCTAAATGAGAAGACAATGTACAAAACATTTTTCAATGTGGATAAAACCTGATGGAATGAATGGTACATATAATATCCTACAGGCGCAAGAATATTGGATTAAGGAAAACATGACCACCAAGAAAATTGGCCTCTTAATGTTTGTTTGTACAGAAACAGTGTGTAAGTGAAGGTAATAAAGTATTTCTTTGAACTCCTCAGGCGACTGAGTTCCCTGTCAAACCTTCGACTGATGAGATTATCTTGGTAACCGACAAGAAACCCGATGGCTTCACAGTCAATGGTACACCAGTTGATACCTCCAGCAGTACCACTGGCACCATTGGGGGTGAACCTGTTTACCTCACTACCGTGAAAATAACTCCAAGTGAAAATCCAGTCACAGTGGAAAGTCCTTCTGGAGAAAAGAAACCTGAAGTCTTCCAAAAGATTGAGGGCACTCCAGATCCAACAGATTCTACTACTTTTGAAGTAATCATTTCTTTAATGTTTCTATGCTACACCTAAGAAGAGTGATTCTCAGTTCTTTTTAAGTTATTTCTTCAGAAAAACCCGATCTTCCTTTGTACTAATTTGCTGATGTTTTCCTAATTTATACTTTTTGAGAATCAGCTTTCCTTTCCAATTTGTGTTTTAAAGCATAATATGATTAGATGAAAACTGTAAATTGCTTCTTAATTTTCAGGTTCCCGTCAATGGTCCAGTATCAGACATTCTTGTGCCGAGCACTAGTAGTGTATCTGAAATTGTCATATGCGAGCACGAGACAACAGGTAAGGATGTAAATATTAGCTTTGTGTTTAAGGATGTCCCTAATCCATATTTCTGGAAAAGAATGCAACAATCAATGTGATTGAAGTAAACCCAGTTTAACATTAATTCATGAAAGATACTTAAAAGAAGTCACTTTGAATCATTAAAACTAAAACCTTTTTCAAAAATATCGTGTTTAATGAGTCCACTTGTACACTATCCTGGCATTGTCAGATTTTGTTGTTGTTTAACTCTCGAAAGAGGATTAATCATCACTGTTTTGGAACATAAATCAAATATAATGTCAGAAGATAACGATTATTAAATGTACTATCCAAAGTCAACAGAATCCAGACTCCAAAGGGGGATACATATTTCAATTATTTTCATCAGGAACAACTACAAGTGGAACAACGACAACCAGTGGAACAACCACCACAAGTGGTACAACCACAACAAGTGGTACAACCACTACAAGTGGAACAACAACCAGTGGAACAACAACAACCAGTGGAACAACAACAACCAGTGGAACAACAACGGGTGAATTAAATTCTGTTGACTGTTATATGCAATTCATCAGGAGTGAAGATTGTATAGTGCATCAATTTACAATGCTTTATCACAAAGAATTCTTACTGCCCTTCACAATTATGCCATTATTTCTCTTTGTAAATGGATAATAGACTAGAATGATAGCCTTAGCTAGGATGTGCTTAGTTGTGATATGGTTGATCTGATTAATGTAGTTTTGGTTGTAATATCTACTATGTGCTGGGCTAGTTAGTTTGAATATTGTGAACACATACAACCTGTTTTAAAATATAGTAACAGAGGATTTTGTAACTCACGGATGTATGGCATATTTACAGGAACGACTCCATGTGACAAGATTGATCTTATGAACTCAAGTGAGAACCCATCACCAGCACCGACATCCTCCCCAGTCGGTAATACAGACAACCCTCTCTCGGAAATTCCATTGGAGGACTCACCTTTTGTTGACACAGTCAAAGTCACATCTAAAACAATCTTCACTTCAGTGCCATCTAAGGAAACCACAAACCCTCAGGTATGTCAGTAGAGAGCATGTGCTAAATGAGAAGACAATGTACAAAACATTTTTCAATGTGGATAAAACCTGATGGAATGAATGGTACATATAATATCCTACAGGCACGAGAATATTGGATTAAGGAAAACATGACCACCAAGAAAATTGGCCTCTTAATGTTTGTTTGTACAGAAACAGTGTGTAAGTGAAGGTAATAAAGTATTTCTTTGAACTCCTCAGGCGACTGAGTTCCCTGTCAAACCTTCGACTGATGAGATTATCTTGGTAACCGACAAGAAACCCGATGGCTTCACAGTCAATGGTACACCAGTTGATACCTCCAGCAGTACCACTGGCACCATTGGGGGTCAACCTGTTTACCTCACTACCGTGAAAATAACTCCAAGTGAAAATCCAGTCACAGTGGAAAGTCCTTCTGGAGAAAAGAAACCTGAAGTCTTCCAAAAGATTGAGGGCACTCCAGATCCAACAGATTCTACTACTTTTGAAGTAATCATTTCTTTAATGTTTAGATGCTACACCTTAGAAGAGTGATTCTCAGTTCTTTTTAAGTTATTTCTTCAGAAAAACCCGATCTTCCTTTGTACTAATTTGCTGATGTTTTCCAAATTAATACTTTTTGAGAGTAAGCTTTTCTTTCCAATTTGTGTTTTAAGACATAATATGATTAGATGAAAACTGTAAATTGCTTCTTAATTTTCAGGTTCCCGTCAATGGTCCAGTATCAGACATTCTTGTGCCGAGTACTAGTAGTGTATCTGAAATTGTCATATGCCAGCACGAGACAACAGGTAAGGATGTAAATATTAGCTTTGTGTTTAAGGATGTCCCTAATCCATATTTCTGGAAAAGAATGCAACAATCAATGTGTTTGAAGTAAACCCAGTTTAACATTAATTCATGAAAGATACTTAAAAGAAGTCACTTTGAATCATTAAAACTAAACCCTTTTTCAAAAATATCGTGTTTAATGAGTCCACTTGTACACTATCCTGGCATTGTCAGATTTGTTTGTTGTTTAACGCTCGAAAGAGGATTAATCATCACTGTTTTGGAAAATAAATCAAATATAATGTCAGAAGATAACGATTATTAAATGTACTATCTAAAGTCAACAGAATACAGACTCCAAAGGGGGATACATATTTCAATTATTTTCATCAGGAACAACTACAAGTGGAACAACGACAACCAGTGGAACAACCACCACAAGTGGTACAACCACAACAAGTGGTACAACAACTACAAGTGGAACAACAACCAGTGGAACAACAACCAGTGGAACAACAACAACCAGTGGAACAACAACGGGTGAATTAAATTCTGTTGACTGTTATATGCAATTCATCAGGAGTGAAGATTGTATAGTGCATCAATTTACAATGCTTTATCACAAAGAATTCTTACTGCCCTTCACAATTATGCCATTATTTCTCTTTGTAAATGGATAATAGACTAGAATGATAGCCTTAGCTAGGATGTGCTTAGTTGTGATATGGTTGATCTGATTAATGTAGTTTTGGTTGTTATATCTACTATGTGCTTGGCTAGTTAGTTTGAATATTGTGAACACATACAACCTGTTTTAAAATATAGTAACAGAGGATTTTGTAACTCACGGATGTATGGCATATTTACAGGAACGACTCCATGTGACAAGATTGATCTTATGGACTCAAGTGAGAACCCATCACCAGCACCGACATCCTCCCCAGTCGGTAATACAGACAACCCTCTCTCGGAAATTCCATTGGAGGACTCACCTTTTGTTGACACAGTCAAAGTCACATCTAAAACAATCTTCACTTCAGTGCCATCTAAGGAAACCACAAACCCTCAGGTATGTCAGTAGAGAGCATGTGCTAAATGAGAAGACAATGTACAAAACATTTTTCAATGTGGATAAAACCTGATGGAATGAATGGTACATATAATATCCTACAGGCACGAGAATATTGTATTAAGGAAAACATGACCACCAAGAAAATTGGCCTCTTAATGTTTGTTTGTACAGAAACAGTGTGTAAGTGAAGGTAATAAAGTATTTCTTTGAACTCCTCAGGCGACTGAGTTCCCTGTCAAACCTTCGACTGATGAGATTATCTTGGTAACCGACAAGAAACCCGATGGCTTCACAGTCAATGGTACACCAGTTGATACCTCCAGCAGTACCACTGGCACCATTGGGGGTGAACCTGTTTACCTCACTACCGTGAAAATAACTCCAAGTGAAAATCCAGTCACAGTGGAAAGTCCTTCTGGAGAAAAGAAACCTGAAGTCTTCCAAAAGATTGAGGGCACTCCAGATCCAACAGATTCTACTACTTTTGAAGTAATCATTTCTTTAATGTTTAGATGCTACACCTAAGAAGAGTGATTCTCAGTTCTTTTTAAGTTATTTCTTCAGAAAAACCCGATCTTCCTTTGTACTAATTTGCTGATGTTTTCCAAATTAATACTTTTTGAGAGTAAGCTTTCCTTTCCAATTTGTGTTTTAAGACATAAGATGATTAGATGGAAACTGTAAATTGCTTCTTAATTTTCAGGTTCCCGTCAATGGTCCAGTATCAGACATTCTTGTGCCGAGTACTAGTAGTGTATCTGAAATTGTCATATGCCAGCACGAGACAACAGGTAAGGATGTAAATATTAGCTTTGTGTTTAAGGATGTCCCTAATCCATATTTCTGGAAAAGAATGCAACAATCAATGTGATTGAAGTAAACCCAGTTTAACATTAATTCATGAAAGATACTTAAAAGAAGTCACTTTGAATCATTAAAACTAAAACCTTTTTCAAAAATATCGTGTTTAATGAGTCCACTTGTACACTATCCTGGCATTGTCAGATTTGTTTGTTGTTTAACGCTCGAAAGAGGATTAATCATCACTGTTTTGGAACATAAATCAAATATAATGTCAGAAGATAACGATTATTAAATGTACTATCTAAAGTCAACAGAATCCAGACTCCAAAGGGGGATACATATTTCAATTGTTTTCATCAGGAACAACAACCAGTGGAACAACGACAACCAGTGGAACAACCACCACAAGTGGAACAACAACGGGTGAATTAAATTCTGTTGACTGTTATATGCAATTCATCAGGAGTGAAGATTGTATAGTGCATCAATTTACAATGCTTTATCACAAAGAATACTTACTGCCCTTCACAATTATGCCATTATTTCTCTTTGTAAATGGATAATAGACTAGAATGATAGCCTTAGCTAGGATGTGCTTAGTTGTGATATGGTTGTTCTGATTAATGTAGTTTTGGTTGTAATATCCACTATGTGCTGGGTTAGTTAGTTTGAATATTGTGAATACATACAACCTGTTTTAAAATATAGTAACAGAGGATTTTGTAACTCACGGATGTATGGCACATTTACAGGAACGACTCCATGTGACAAGATTGATCTTATGAACTCAAGTGAGAACCCATCACCAGCACCGACATCCTCCCCAGTCGGTAATACAGACAACCCTCTCTCGGAAATTCCATTGGAGGACTCACCTTTTGTTGACACAGTCAAAGTCACATCTAAAACAATCTTCACTTCAGTGCCATCTAAGGAAACCACAAACCCTCAGGTATGTCAGTAGAGAGCATGTGCTAAATGAGAAGACAATGTACAAAACATTTTTCAATGTGGATAAAACCTGATGGAATGAATGGTACATATAATATCCTACAGGCACGAGAATATTGGATTAAGGAAAACATGACCACCAAGAAAATTGGCCTCTTAATGTTTGTTTGTACAGAAACAGTGTGTAAGTGAAGGTAATAAAGTATTTCTTTGAACTCCTCAGGCGACTGAGTTCCCTGTCAAACCTTCGACTGATGAGATTATCTTGGTAACCGACAAGAAACCCGATGGCTTCACAGTCAATGGTACACCAGTTGATACCTCCAGCAGTACCACTGGCACCATTGGGGGTGAACCTGTTTACCTCACTACCGTGAAAATAACTCCAAGTGAAAATCCAGTCACAGTGGAAAGTCCTTCTGGAGAAAAGAAACCTGAAGTCTTCCAAAAGATTGAGGGCACTCCAGATCCAACAGATTCTACTACTTTTGAAGTAATCATTTCTTTAATGTTTAGATGCTACACCTTAGAAGAGTGATTCTCAGTTCTTTTTAAGTTATTTCTTCAGAAAAACCCGATCTTCCTTTGTACTAATTTGCTGATGTTTTCCAAATTAATACTTTTTGAGAGTAAGCTTTTCTTTCCAATTTGTGTTTTAAAGCATAATATGATTAGATGAAAACTGTAAATTGCTTCTTAATTTTCAGGTTCCCGTCAATGGTCCAGTATCAGACATTCTTGTGCCGAGTACTAGTAGTGTATCTGAAATTGTCATATGCCAGCACGAGACAACAGGTAAGGATGTAAATATTAGCTTTGTGTTTAAGGATGTCCCTAATCCATATTTCTGGAAAAGAATGCAACAATCAATGTGATTGAAGTAAACCCAGTTTAACATTAATTCATGAAAGATACTTAAAAGAAGTCACTTTGAATCATTAAAACTAAACCCTTTTTCAAAAATATCGTGTTTAATGAGTCCACTTGTACACTATCCTGGCATTGTCAGATTTGTTTGTTGTTTAACGCTCGAAAGAGGATTAATCATCACTGTTTTGGAAAATAAATCAAATATAATGTCAGAAGATAACGATTATTAAATGTACTATCTAAAGTCAACAGAATACAGACTCCAAAGGGGGATACATATTTCAATTATTTTCATCAGGAACAACTACAAGTGGAACAACGACAACCAGTGGAACAACCACCACAAGTGGTACAACCACAACAAGTGGTACAACAACTACAAGTGGAACAACAACCAGTGGAACAACAACCAGTGGAACAACAACCAGTGGAACAACAACAACCAGTGGAACAACAACGGGTGAATTAAATTCTGTTGACTGTTATATGCAATTCATCAGGAGTGAAGATTGTATAGTGCATCAATTTACAATGCTTTATCACAAAGAATTCTTACTGCCCTTCACAATTATGCCATTATTTCTCTTTGTAAATGGATAATAGACTAGAATGATAGCCTTAGCTAGGATGTGCTTAGTTGTGATATGGTTGATCTGATTAATGTAGTTTTGGTTGTTATATCTACTATGTGCTTGGCTAGTTAGTTTGAATATTGTGAACACATACAACCTGTTTTAAAATATAGTAACAGAGGATTTTGTAACTCACGGATGTATGGCATATTTACAGGAACGACTCCATGTGACAAGATTGATCTTATGGACTCAAGTGAGAACCCATCACCAGCACCGACATCCTCCCCAGTCGGTAATACAGACAACCCTCTCTCGGAAATTCCATTGGAGGACTCACCTTTTGTTGACACAGTCAAAGTCACATCTAAAACAATCTTCACTTCAGTGCCATCTAAGGAAACCACAAACCCTCAGGTATGTCAGTAGAGAGCATGTGCTAAATGAGAAGACAATGTACAAAACATTTTTCAATGTGGATAAAACCTGATGGAATGAATGGTACATATAATATCCTACAGGCACGAGAATATTGTATTAAGGAAAACATGACCACCAAGAAAATTGGCCTCTTAATGTTTGTTTGTACAGAAACAGTGTGTAAGTGAAGGTAATAAAGTATTTCTTTGAACTCCTCAGGCGACTGAGTTCCCTGTCAAACCTTCGACTGATGAGATTATCTTGGTAACCGACAAGAAACCCGATGGCTTCACAGTCAATGGTACACCAGTTGATACCTCCAGCAGTACCACTGGCACCATTGGGGGTGAACCTGTTTACCTCACTACCGTGAAAATAACTCCAAGTGAAAATCCAGTCACAGTGGAAAGTCCTTCTGGAGAAAAGAAACCTGAAGTCTTCCAAAAGATTGAGGGCACTCCAGATCCAACAGATTCTACTACTTTTGAAGTAATCATTTCTTTAATGTTTAGATGCTACACCTAAGAAGAGTGATTCTCAGTTCTTTTTAAGTTATTTCTTCAGAAAAACCCGATCTTCCTTTGTACTAATTTGCTGATGTTTTCCAAATTAATACTTTTTGAGAGTAAGCTTTCCTTTCCAATTTGTGTTTTAAGACATAAGATGATTAGATGGAAACTGTAAATTGCTTCTTAATTTTCAGGTTCCCGTCAATGGTCCAGTATCAGACATTCTTGTGCCGAGTACTAGTAGTGTATCTGAAATTGTCATATGCCAGCACGAGACAACAGGTAAGGATGTAAATATTAGCTTTGTGTTTAAGGATGTCCCTAATCCATATTTCTGGAAAAGAATGCAACAATCAATGTGATTGAAGTAAACCCAGTTTAACATTAATTCATGAAAGATACTTAAAAGAAGTCACTTTGAATCATTAAAACTAAAACCTTTTTCAAAAATATCGTGTTTAATGAGTCCACTTGTACACTATCCTGGCATTGTCAGATTTGTTTGTTGTTTAACGCTCGAAAGAGGATTAATCATCAATGTTTTGGAAAATAAATCAAATATAATGTCAGAAGATAACGATTATTAAATGTACTATCTAAAGTCAACAGAATCCAGACTCCAAAGGGGGATACATATTTCAATTATTTTCATCAGGAACAACTACAAGTGGAACAACGACAACCAGTGGAACAACCACCACAAGTGGTACAACCACAACAAGTGGTACAACAACTACAAGTGGAACAACAACCAGTGGAACAACAACCAGTGGAACAACAACCAGTGGAACAACAACAACCAGTGGAACAACAACGGGTGAATTAAATTCTGTTGACTGTTATATGCAATTCATCAGGAGTGAAGATTGTATAGTGCATCAATTTACAATGCTTTATCACAAAGACTTCTTACTGCCCTTCACAATTATGCCATTATTTCTCTTTGTAAATGGATAATAGACTAGAATGATAGCCTTAGCTAGGATGTGCTTAGTTGTGATATGGTTGATCTGATTAATGTAGTTTTGGTTGTAATATCCACTATGTGCTGGGCTAGTTAGTTTGAATATTGTGAACACATACAACCTGTTTTAAAATATAGTAACAGAGGATTTTGTAACTCACGGATGTATGGCATATTTACAGGAACGACTCCATGTGACAAGATTGATCTTATGGACTCAAGTGAGAACCCATCACCAGCACCGACATCCTCCCCAGTCGGTAATACAGACAACCCTCTCTCGGAAATTCCATTGGAGGACTCACCTTTTGTTGACACAGTCAAAGTCACATCTAAAACAATCTTCACTTCAGTGCCATCTAAGGAAACCACAAACCCTCAGGTATGTCAGTAGAGAGCATGTGCTAAATGAGAAGACAATGTACAAAACATTTTTCAATGTGGATAAAACCTGATGGAATGAATGGTACATATAATATCCTACAGGCACGATAATATTGTATTAAGGAAAACATGACCACCAAGAAAATTGGCCTCTTAATGTTTGTTTGTACAGAAACAGTGTGTAAGTGAAGGTAATAAAGTATTTCTTTGAACTCCTCAGGCGACCGAGTTCCCTGTCAAACCTTCGACTGATGAGATTATCTTGGTAACCGACAAGAAACCTGATGGCTTCACAGTCAATGGTACACCAGTTGATACCTCCAGCAGTACCACTGGCACCATTGGGGGTGAACCTGTTTACCTCACTACCGTGAAAATAACTCCAAGTGAAAATCCAGTCACAGTGGAAAGTCCTTCTGGAGAAAAGAAACCTGAAGTCTTCCAAAAGATTGAGGGCACTCCAGATCCAACAGATTCTACTATTTTTGAAGTAATCATTTCTTTAATGTTTAGATGCTACACCTAAGAAGAGTGATTCTCAGTTCTTTTTAAGTTATTTCTTCAGAAAAACCCGATCTTCCTTTGTACTAATTTGCTGATGTTTTCCAAATTAATACTTTTTGAGAGTGAGCTTTCCTTTCCAATTTGTGTTTTAAGACATAAGATGATTAGATGAAAACTGTAAATTGCTTCTTAATTTTCAGGTTCCCGTCAATGGTCCAGTATCAGACATTCTTGTGCCGAGTACTAGTAGTGTATCTGAAATTGTCATATGCCAGCACGAGACAACAGGTAAGGATGTAAATATTAGCTTTGTGTTTAAGGATGTCCCTAATCCATATTTCTGGAAAAGAATGCAACAATCAATGTGATTGAAGTAAACCCAGTTTAACATTAATTCATGAAAGATACTTAAAAGAAGTCACTTTGAATCATTAAAACTAAAACCTTTTTCAAAAATATCGTGTTTAATGAGTCCACTTGTACACTATCCTGACATTGTCAGATTTGTTTGTTGTTTAACGCTCGAAAGAGGATTAATCATCACTGTTTTGGAACATAAATCAAATATAATGTCGGAAGATAACGATTATTAAATGTACTATCCAAAGTCAACAGAATACAGACTCCAAAGGGGGATACATATTTCAATTATTTTCATCAGGAACAACTACAAGTGGAACAACGACAACCAGTGGAACAACCACCACAAGTGGTACAACCACAACAAGTGGTACAACAACTACAAGTGGAACAACAACCAGTGGAACAACAACCAGTGGAACAACAACCAGTGGAACAACAACAACCAGTGGAACAACAACGGGTGAATTAAATTCTGTTGACTGTTATATGCAATTCATCAGGAGTGAAGATTGTATAGTGCATCAATTTACAATGCTTTATCACAAAGAATTCTTACTGCCCTTCACAATTATGCCATTATTTCTCTTTGTAAATGGATAATAGACTAGAATGATAGCCTTAGCTAGGATGTGCTTAGTTGTGATATGGTTGATCTGATTAATGTAGTTTTGGTTGTAATATCCACTATGTGCTGGGCTAGTTAGTTTGAATATTGTGAACACATACAACCTGTTTTAAAATATAGTAACAGAGGATTTTGTAACTCACGGATGTATGGCATATTTACAGGAACGACTCCATGTGACAAGATTGATCTTATGGACTCAAGTGAGAACCCATCACCAGCACCGACATCCTCCCCAGTCGGTAATACAGACAACCCTCTCTCGGAAATTCCATTGGAGGACTCACCTTTTGTTGACACAGTCAAAGTCACATCTAAAACAATCTTCACTTCAGTGCCATCTAAGGAAACCACAAACCCTCAGGTATGTCAGTAGAGAGCATGTGCTAAATGAGAAGACAATGTACAAAACATTTTTCAATGTGGATAAAACCTGATGGAATGAATGGTACATATAATATCCTACAGGCACGATAATATTGTATTAAGGAAAACATGACCACCAAGAAAATTGGCCTCTTAATGTTTGTTTGTACAGAAACAGTGTGTAAGTGAAGGTAATAAAGTATTTCTTTGAACTCCTCAGGCGACCGAGTTCCCTGTCAAACCTTCGACTGATGAGATTATCTTGGTAACCGACAAGAAACCCGATGGCTTCACAGTCAATGGTACACCAGTTGATACCTCCAGCAGTACCACTGGCACCATTGGGGGTGAACCTGTTTACCTCACTACCGTGAAAATAACTCCAAGTGAAAATCCAGTCACAGTGGAAAGTCCTTCTGGAGAAAAGAAACCTGAAGTCTTCCAAAAGATTGAGGGCACTCCAGATCCAACAGATTCTACTATTTTTGAAGTAATCATTTCTTTAATGTTTAGATGCTACACCTAAGAAGAGTGATTCTCAGTTCTTTTTAAGTTATTTCTTCAGAAAAACCCGATCTTCCTTTGTACTAATTTGCTGATGTTTTCCAAATTAATACTTTTTGAGAGTGAGCTTTCCTTTCCAATTTGTGTTTTAAGACATAAGATGATTAGATGAAAACTGTAAATTGCTTCTTAATTTTCAGGTTCCCGTCAATGGTCCAGTATCAGACATTCTTGTGCCGAGTACTAGTAGTGTATCTGAAATTGTCATATGCCAGCACGAGACAACAGGTAAGGATGTAAATATTAGCTTTGTGTTTAAGGATGTCCCTAATCCATATTTCTGGAAAAGAATGCAACAATCAATGTGATTGAAGTAAACCCAGTTTAACATTAATTCATGAAAGATACTTAAAAGAAGTCACTTTGAATCATTAAAACTAAAACCTTTTTCAAAAATATCGTGTTTAATGAGTCCACTTGTACACTATCCTGACATTGTCAGATTTGTTTGTTGTTTAACGCTCGAAAGAGGATTAATCATCACTGTTTTGGAACATAAATCAAATATAATGTCGGAAGATAACGATTATTAAATGTACTATCCAAAGTCAACAGAATACAGACTCCAAAGGGGGATACATATTTCAATTATTTTCATCAGGAACAACTACAAGTGGAACAACGACAACCAGTGGAACAACCACCACAAGTGGTACAACCACAACAAGTGGTACAACAACTACAAGTGGAACAACAACCAGTGGAACAACAACCAGTGGAACAACAACCAGTGGAACAACAACAACCAGTGGAACAACAACGGGTGAATTAAATTCTGTTGACTGTTATATGCAATTCATCAGGAGTGAAGATTGTATAGTGCATCAATTTACAATGCTTTATCACAAAGACTTCTTACTGCCCTTCACAATTATGCCATTATTTCTCTTTGTAAATGGATAATAGACTAGAATGATAGCCTTAGCTAGGATGTGCTTAGTTGTGATATGGTTGATCTGATTAATGTAGTTTTGGTTGTAATATCCACTATGTGCTGGGCTAGTTAGTTTGAATATTGTGAACACATACAACCTGTTTTAAAATATAGTAACAGAGGATTTTGTAACTCACGGATGTATGGCATATTTACAGGAACGACTCCATGTGACAAGATTGATCTTATGGACTCAAGTGAGAACCCATCACCAGCACCGACATCCTCCCCAGTCGGTAATACAGACAACCCTCTCTCGGAAATTCCATTGGAGGACTCACCTTTTGTTGACACAGTCAAAGTCACATCTAAAACAATCTTCACTTCAGTGCCATCTAAGGAAACCACAAACCCTCAGGTATGTCAGTAGAGAGCATGTGCTAAATGAGAAGACAATGTACAAAACATTTTTCAATGTGGATAAAACCTGATGGAATGAATGGTACATATAATATCCTACAGGCACGATAATATTGTATTAAGGAAAACATGACCACCAAGAAAATTGGCCTCTTAATGTTTGTTTGTACAGAAACAGTGTGTAAGTGAAGGTAATAAAGTATTTCTTTGAACTCCTCAGGCGACCGAGTTCCCTGTCAAACCTTCGACTGATGAGATTATCTTGGTAACCGACAAGAAACCCGATGGCTTCACAGTCAATGGTACACCAGTTGATACCTCCAGCAGTACCACTGGCACCATTGGGGGTGAACCTGTTTACCTCACTACCGTGAAAATAACTCCAAGTGAAAATCCAGTCACAGTGGAAAGTCCTTCTGGAGAAAAGAAACCTGAAGTCTTCCAAAAGATTGAGGGCACTCCAGATCCAACAGATTCTACTACTTTTGAAGTAATCATTTCTTTAATGTTTAGATGCTACACCTAAGAAGAGTGATTCTCAGTTCTTTTAAAGTTATTTCTTCAGAAAAACCCGATCTTCCTTTGTACTAATTTGCTGATGTTTTCCAAATTAATACTTTTTGAGAGTAAGCTTTCCTTTCCAATTTGTGTTTTAAGACATAAGATGATTAGATGGAAACTGTAAATTGCTTCTTAATTTTCAGGTTCCCGTCAATGGTCCAGTATCAGACATTCTTGTGCCGAGTACTAGTAGTGTATCTGAAATTGTCATATGCCAGCACGAGACAACAGGTAAGGATGTAAATATTAGCTTTGTGTTTAAGGATGTCCCTAATCCATATTTCTGGAAAAGAATGCAACAATCAATGTGATTGAAGTAAACCCAGTTTAACATTAATTCATGAAAGATACTTAAAAGAAGTCACTTTGAATCATTAAAACTAAAACCTTTTTCAAAAATATCGTGTTTAATGAGTCCACTTGTACACTATCCTGACATTGTCAGATTTGTTTGTTGTTTAACGCTCGAAAGAGGATTAATCATCACTGTTTTGGAACATAAATCAAATATAATGTCAGAAGATAACGATTATTAAATGTACTATCTAAAGTCAACAGAATACAGACTCCAAAGGGGGATACATATTTCAATTATTTTCATCAGGAACAACTACAAGTGGAACAACGACAACCAGTGGAACAACCACCACAAGTGGTACAACCACAACAAGTGGTACAACCACTACAAGTGGAACAACAACCAGTGGAACAACAACCAGTGGAACAACAACCAGTGGAACAACAACAACCAGTGGAACAACAACGGGTGAATTAAATTCTGTTGACTGTTATATGCAATTCATCAGGAGTGAAGATTGTATAGTGCATCAATTTACAATGCTTTATCACAAAGAATTCTTACTGCCCTTCACAATTATGCCATTATTTCTCTTTGTAAATGGATAATAGACTAGAATGATAGCCTTAGCTAGGATGTGCTTAGTTGTGATATGGTTGATCTGATTAATGTAGTTTTGGTTGTAATATCCACTATGTGCTGGGCTAGTTAGTTTGAATATTGTGAACACATACAACCTGTTTTAAAATATAGTAACAGAGGATTTTGTAACTCACGGATGTATGGCATATTTACAGGAACGACTCCATGTGACAAGATTGATCTTATGGACTCAAGTGAGAACCCATCACCAGCACCGACATCCTCCCCAGTCGGTAATACAGACAACCCTCTCTCGGAAATTCCATTGGAGGACTCACCTTTTGTTGACACAGTCAAAGTCACATCTAAAACAATCTTCACTTCAGTGCCATCTAAGGAAACCACAAACCCTCAGGTATGTCAGTAGAGAGCATGTGCTAAATGAGAAGACAATGTACAAAACATTTTTCAATGTGGATAAAACCTGATGGAATGAATGGTACATATAATATCCTACAGGCACGATAATATTGGATTAAGGAAAACATGACCACCAAGAAAATTGGCCTCTTAATGTTTGTTTGTACAGAAACAGTGTGTAAGTGAAGGTAATAAAGTATTTCTTTGAACTCCTCAGGCGACTGAGTTCCCTGTCAAACCTTCGACTGATGAGATTATCTTGGTAACCGACAAGAAACCCGATGGCTTCACAGTCAATGGTACACCAGTTGATACCTCCAGCAGTACCACTGGCACCATTGGGGGTGAACCTGTTTACCTCACTACCGTGAAAATAACTCCAAGTGAAAATCCAGTCACAGTGGAAAGTCCTTCTGGAGAAAAGAAACCTGAAGTCTTCCAAAAGATTGAGGGCACTCCAGATCCAACAGATTCTACTACTTTTGAAGTAATCATTTCTTTAATGTTTAGATGCTACACCTAAGAAGAGTGATTCTCAGTTCTTTTAAAGTTATTTCTTCAGAAAAACCCGATCTTCCTTTGTACTAATTTGCTGATGTTTTCCAAATTAATACTTTTTGAGAGTAAGCTTTCCTTTCCAATTTGTGTTTTAAGACATAAGATGATTAGATGGAAACTGTAAATTGCTTCTTAATTTTCAGGTTCCCGTCAATGGTCCAGTATCAGACATTCTTGTGCCGAGTACTAGTAGTGTATCTGAAATTGTCATATGCCAGCACGAGACAACAGGTAAGGATGTAAATATTAGCTTTGTGTTTAAGGATGTCCCTAATCCATATTTCTGGAAAAGAATGCAACAATCAATGTGATTGAAGTAAACCCAGTTTAACATTAATTCATGAAAGATACTTAAAAGAAGTCACTTTGAATCATTAAAACTAAAACCTTTTTCAAAAATATCGTGTTTAATGAGTCCACTTGTACACTATCCTGACATTGTCAGATTTGTTTGTTGTTTAACGCTCGAAAGAGGATTAATCATCACTGTTTTGGAACATAAATCAAATATAATGTCAGAAGATAACGATTATTAAATGTACTATCTAAAGTCAACAGAATACAGACTCCAAAGGGGGATACATATTTCAATTATTTTCATCAGGAACAACTACAAGTGGAACAACGACAACCAGTGGAACAACCACCACAAGTGGTACAACCACAACAAGTGGTACAACCACTACAAGTGGAACAACAACCAGTGGAACAACAACCAGTGGAACAACAACCAGTGGAACAACAACAACCAGTGGAACAACAACGGGTGAATTAAATTCTGTTGACTGTTATATGCAATTCATCAGGAGTGAAGATTGTATAGTGCATCAATTTACAATGCTTTATCACAAAGAATTCTTACTGCCCTTCACAATTATGCCATTATTTCTCTTTGTAAATGGATAATAGACTAGAATGATAGCCTTAGCTAGGATGTGCTTAGTTGTGATATGGTTGATCTGATTAATGTAGTTTTGGTTGTAATATCCACTATGTGCTGGGCTAGTTAGTTTGAATATTGTGAACACATACAACCTGTTTTAAAATATAGTAACAGAGGATTTTGTAACTCACGGATGTATGGCATATTTACAGGAACGACTCCATGTGACAAGATTGATCTTATGGACTCAAGTGAGAACCCATCACCAGCACCGACATCCTCCCCAGTCGGTAATACAGACAACCCTCTCTCGGAAATTCCATTGGAGGACTCACCTTTTGTTGACACAGTCAAAGTCACATCTAAAACAATCTTCACTTCAGTGCCATCTAAGGAAACCACAAACCCTCAGGTATGTCAGTAGAGAGCATGTGCTAAATGAGAAGACAATGTACAAAACATTTTTCAATGTGGATAAAACCTGATGGAATGAATGGTACATATAATATCCTACAGGCACGATAATATTGGATTAAGGAAAACATGACCACCAAGAAAGTTGGCCTCTTAATGTTTGTTTGTACAGAAACAGTGTGTAAGTGAAGGTAATAAAGTATTTCTTTGAACTCCTCAGGCGACTGAGTTCCCTGTCAAACCTTCGACTGATGAGATTATCTTGGTAACCGACAAGAAACCCGATGGCTTCACAGTCAATGGTACACCAGTTGATACCTCCAGCAGTACCACTGGCACCATTGGGGGTGAACCTGTTTACCTCACTACCGTGAAAATAACTCCAAGTGAAAATCCAGTCACAGTGGAAAGTCCTTCTGGAGAAAAGAAACCTGAAGTCTTCCAAAAGATTGAGGGCACTCCAGATCCAACAGATTCTACTACTTTTGAAGTAATCATTTCTTTAATGTTTAGATGCTACACCTAAGAAGAGTGATTCTCAGTTCTTTTAAAGTTATTTCTTCAGAAAAACCCGATCTTCCTTTGTACTAATTTGCTGATGTTTTCCAAATTAATACTTTTTGAGAGTAAGCTTTCCTTTCCAATTTGTGTTTTAAGACATAAGATGATTAGATGGAAACTGTAAATTGCTTCTTAATTTTCAGGTTCCCGTCAATGGTCCAGTATCAGACATTCTTGTGCCGAGTACTAGTAGTGTATCTGAAATTGTCATATGCCAGCACGAGACAACAGGTAAGGATGTAAATATTAGCTTTGTGTTTAAGGATGTCCCTAATCCATATTTCTGGAAAAGAATGCAACAATCAATGTGACTGAAGTAAACCCAGTTTAACATTAATTCATGAAAGATACTTAAAAGAAGTCACTTTGAATCATTAAAACTAAAACCTTTTTCAAAAATATCGTGTTTAATGAGTCCACTTGTACACTATCCTGACATTGTCAGATTTGTTTGTTGTTTAACGCTCGAAAGAGGATTAATCATCACTGTTTTGGAACATAAATCAAATATAATGTCAGAAGATAACGATTATTAAATGTACTATCTAAAGTCAACAGAATACAGACTCCAAAGGGGGATACATATTTCAATTATTTTCATCAGGAACAACTACAAGTGGAACAACGACAACCAGTGGAACAACCACCACAAGTGGTACAACCACAACAAGTGGTACAACCACTACAAGTGGAACAACAACCAGTGGAACAACAACCAGTGGAACAACAACCAGTGGAACAACAACAACCAGTGGAACAACAACGGGTGAATTAAATTCTGTTGACTGTTATATGCAATTCATCAGGAGTGAAGATTGTATAGTGCATCAATTTACAATGCTTTATCACAAAGACTTCTTACTGCCCTTCACAATTATGCCATTATTTCTCTTTGTAAATGGATAATAGACTAGAATGATAGCCTTAGCTAGGATGTGCTTAGTTGTGATATGGTTGATCTGATTAATGTAGTTTTGGTTGTAATATCCACTATGTGCTGGGCTAGTTAGTTTGAATATTGTGAACACATACAACCTGTTTTAAAATATAGTAACAGAGGATTTTGTAACTCACGGATGTATGGCATATTTACAGGAACGACTCCATGTGACAAGATTGATCTTATGGACTCAAGTGAGAACCCATCACCAGCACCGACATCCTCCCCAGTCGGTAATACAGACAACCCTCTCTCGGAAATTCCATTGGAGGACTCACCTTTTGTTGACACAGTCAAAGTCACATCTAAAACAATCTTCACTTCAGTGCCATCTAAGGAAACCACAAACCCTCAGGTATGTCAGTAGAGAGCATGTGCTAAATGAGAAGACAATGTACAAAACATTTTTCAATGTGGATAAAACCTGATGGAATGAATGGTACATATAATATCCTACAGGCACGATAATATTGGATTAAGGAAAACATGACCACCAAGAAAGTTGGCCTCTTAATGTTTGTTTGTACAGAAACAGTGTGTAAGTGAAGGTAATAAAGTATTTCTTTGAACTCCTCAGGCGACTGAGTTCCCTGTCAAACCTTCGACTGATGAGATTATCTTGGTAACCGACAAGAAACCCGATGGCTTCACAGTCAATGGTACACCAGTTGATACCTCCAGCAGTACCACTGGCACCATTGGGGGTGAACCTGTTTACCTCACTACCGTGAAAATAACTCCAAGTGAAAATCCAGTCACAGTGGAAAGTCCTTCTGGAGAAAAGAAACCTGAAGTCTTCCAAAAGATTGAGGGCACTCCAGATCCAACAGATTCTACTACTTTTGAAGTAATCATTTCTTTAATGTTTAGATGCTACACCTAAGAAGAGTGATTCTCAGTTCTTTTAAAGTTATTTCTTCAGAAAAACCCGATCTTCCTTTGTACTAATTTGCTGATGTTTTCCAAATTAATACTTTTGGAGAGTAAGCTTTCCTTTCCAATTTGTGTTTTAAGACATAAGATGATTAGATGAAAACTGTAAATTGCTTCTTAATTTTCAGGTTCCCGTCAATGGTCCAGTATCAGACATTCTTGTGCCGAGTACTAGTAGTGTATCTGAAATTGTCATATGCCAGCACGAGACAACAGGTAAGGATGTAAATATTAGCTTTGTGTTTAAGGATGTCCCTAATCCATATTTCTGGAAAAGAATGCAACAATCAATGTGATTGAAGTAAACCCAGTTTAACATTAATTCATGAAAGATACTTAAAAGAAGTCACTTTGAATCATTAAAACTAAAACCTTTTTCAAAAATATCGTGTTTAATGAGTCCACTTGTACACTATCCTGGCATTGTCAGATTTGTTTGTTGTTTAACGCTCGAAAGAGGATTAATCATCACTGTTTTGGAAAATAAATCAAATATAATGTCAGAAGATAACGATTTTTAAATGTACTATCTAAAGTCAACAGAATCCAGACTCCAAGGGGGATACATATTTCAATTATTTTCATCAGGAACAACTACAAGTGGAACAACGACAACCAGTGGAACAACCACCACAAGTGGTACAACCACAACAAGTGGTACAACAACTACAAGTGGAACAACAACCAGTGGAACAACAACCAGTGGAACAACAACAACCAGTGGAACAACAACGGGTGAATTAAATTCTGTTGACTGTTATATGCAATTCATCAGGAGTGAAGATTGTATAGTGCATCAATTTACAATGCTTTATCACAAAGAATTCTTACTGCCCTTCACAATTATGCCATTATTTCTCTTTGTAAATGGATAGTAGACTAGAATGATAGCCTTAGCTAGGATGTGCTTAGTTGTGATATGGTTGATCTGATTAATGTAGTTTTGGTTGTAATATCCACTATGTGCTGGGCTAGTTAGTTTGAATATTGTGAACACATACAACCTGTTTTAAAATATAGTAACAGAGGATTTTGTAACTCACGGATGTATGGCATATTTACAGGAACGACTCCATGTGACAAGATTGATCTTATGGACTCAAGTGAGAACCCATCACCAGCACCGACATCCTCCCCAGTCGGTAATACAGACAACCCTCTCTCGGAAATTCCATTGGAGGACTCACCTTTTGTTGACACAGTCAAAGTCACATCTAAAACAATCTTCACTTCAGTGCCATCTAAGGAAACCACAAACCCTCAGGTATGTCAGTAGAGAGCATGTGCTAAATGAGAAGACAATGTACAAAACATTTTTCAATGTGGATAAAACCTGATGGAATGAATGGTACATATAATATCCTACAGGCACGATAATATTGGATTAAGGAAAACATGACCACCAAGAAAGTTGGCCTCTTAATGTTTGTTTGTACAGAAACAGTGTGTAAGTGAAGGTAATAAAGTATTTCTTTGAACTCCTCAGGCGACTGAGTTCCCTGTCAAACCTTCGACTGATGAGATTATCTTGGTAACCGACAAGAAACCCGATGGCTTCACAGTCAATGGTACACCAGTTGATACCTCCAGCAGTACCACTGGCACCATTGGGGGTGAACCTGTTTACCTCACTACCGTGAAAATAACTCCAAGTGAAAATCCAGTCACAGTGGAAAGTCCTTCTGGAGAAAAGAAACCTGAAGTCTTCCAAAAGATTGAGGGCACTCCAGATCCAACAGATTCTACTACTTTTGAAGTAATCATTTCTTTAATGTTTAGATGCTACACCTAAGAAGAGTGATTCTCAGTTCTTTTTAAATTATTTCTTCAGAAAAACCCGATCTTCCTTTGTACTAATTTGCTGATGTTTTCCAAATTAATACTTTTTGAGAGTAAGCTTTCCTTTCCAATTTGTGTTTTAAGACATAAGATGATTAGATGAAAACTGTAAATTGCTTCTTAATTTTCAGGTTCCCGTCAATGGTCCAGTATCAGACATTCTTGTGCCAAGTACTAGTAGTGTATCTGAAATTGTCATATGCCAGCACGAGACAACAGGTAAGGATGTAAATATTAGCTTTGTGTTTAAGGATGTCCCTTATTTATATTTCTGGAAAAGAATGCAACAATCAATGTGATTGAAGTAAACCCAGTTTAACATTAATTCATGAAAGATACTTAAAAGAAGTCACTTTGAATCATTAAAACTAAAACCTTTTTCAAAAATATCGTGTTTAATGAGTCCACTTGTACACTATCCTGGCATTGTCAGATTTGTTTGTTGTTTAACGCTCGAAAGAGGATTAATCATCACTGTTTTGGAACATAAATCAAATATAATGTCAGAAGATAACGATTATTAAATGTACTATCTAAAGTCAACAGAATCCAGACTCCAAAGGGGGATACATATTTCAATTATTTTCATCAGGAACAACTACAAGTGGAACAACGACAACCAGTGGAACAACCACCACAAGTGGTACTACCACAACAAGTGGTACAACCACTACAAGTGGAACAACAACCAGTGGAACAACAACCAGTGGAACAACAACAACCAGTGGAACAACAACGGGTGAATTAAATTCTGTTGACTGTTATATGCAATTCATCAGGAGTGAAGATTGTATAGTGCATCAATTTACAATGCTTTATCACAAAGAATTCTTACTGCCCTTCACAATTATGCCATTATTTCTCTTTGTAAATAGATAATAGACTAGAATGATAGCCTTAGCTAGGATGTGCTTAGTTGTGATATGGTTGATCTGATTAATGTAGTTTTGGTTGTAATATCCACTATGTGCTGGGCTAGTTAGTTTGAATATTGTGAACACATACAACCTGTTTTAAAATATAGTAACAGAGGATTTTGTAACTCACGGATGTATGGCATATTTACAGGAACGACTCCATGTGACAAGATTGATCTTATGGACTCAAGTGAGAACCCATCACCAGCACCGACATCCTCCCCAGTCGGTAATACAGACAACCCTCTCTCGGAAATTCCATTGGAGGACTCACCTTTTGTTGACACAGTCAAAGTCACATCTAAAACAATCTTCACTTCAGTGCCATCTAAGGAAACCACAAACCCTCAGGTATGTCAGTAGAGAGCATGTGCTAAATGAGAAGACAATGTACAAAACATTTTTCAATGTGGATAAAACCTGATGGAATGAATGGTACATATAATATCCTACAGGCACGAGAATATTGGATTAAGGAAAACATGACCACCAAGAAAATTGGCCTCTTAATGTTTGTTTGTACAGAAACAGTGTGTAAGTGAAGGTAATAAAGTATTTCTTTGAACTCCTCAGGCGACTGAGTTCCCTGTCAAACCTTCGACTGATGAGATTATCTTGGTAACCGACAAGAAACCCGATGGCTTCACAGTCAATGGTACACCAGTTGATACCTCCAGCAGTACCACTGGCACCATTGGGGGTGAACCTGTTTACCTCACTACCGTGAAAATAACTCCAAGTGAAAATCCAGTCACAGTGGAAAGTCCTTCTGGAGAAAAGAAACCTGAAGTCTTCCAAAAGATTGAGGGCACTCCAGATCCAACAGATTCTACTACTTTTGAAGTAATCATTTCTTTAATGTTTAGATGCTACACCTAAGAAGAGTGATTCTCAGTTCTTTTTAAGTTATTTCTTCAGAAAAACCCGATCTTCCTTTGTACTAATTTGCTGATGTTTTCCAAATTAATACTTTTTGAGAGTAAGCTTTCCTTTCCAATTTGTGTTTTAAGACATAAGATGATTAGATGAAAACTGTAAATTGCTTCTTAATTTTCAGGTTCCCGTCAATGGTCCAGTATCAGACATTCTTGTGCCGAGTACTAGTAGTGTATCTGAAATTGTCATATGCCAGCACGAGACAACAGGTAAGGATGTAAATATTAGCTTTGTGTTTAAGGATGTCCCTTATTTATATTTCTGGAAAAGAATGCAACAATCAATGTGATTGAAGTAAACCCAGTTTAACATTAATTCATGAAAGATACTTAAAAGAAGTCACTTTGAATCATTAAAACTAAAACCTTTTTCAAAAATATCGTGTTTAATGAGTCCACTTGTACACTATCCTGGCATTGTCAGATTTGTTTGTTGTTTAACGCTCGAAAGAGGATTAATCATCACTGTTTTGGAACATAAATCAAATATAATGTCAGAAGATAACGATTATTAAATGTACTATCTAAAGTCAACAGAATCCAGACTCCAAAGGGGGATACATATTTCAATTATTTTCATCAGGAACAACTACAAGTGGAACAACGACAACCAGTGGAACAACCACCACAAGTGGTACAACCACAACAAGTGGTACAACCACTACAAGTGGAACAACAACCAGTGGAACAACAACCAGTGGAACAACAACCAGTGGAACAACAACAACCAGTGGAACAACAACGGGTGAATTAAATTCTGTTGACTGTTATATGCAATTCATCAGGAGTGAAGATTGTATAGTGCATCAATTTACAATGCTTTATCACAAAGAATTCTTACTGCCCTTCACAATTATGCCATTATTTCTCTTTGTAAATGGATAATAGACTAGAATGATAGCCTTAGCTAGGATGTGCTTAGTTGTGATATGGTTGATCTGATTAATGTAGTTTTGGTTGTAATATCCACTATGTGCTGGGCTAGTTAGTTTGAATATTGTGAACACATACAACCTGTTTTAAAATATAGTAACAGAGGATTTTGTAACTCACGGATGTATGGCATATTTACAGGAACGACTCCATGTGACAAGATTGATCTTATGGACTCAAGTGAGAACCCATCACCAGCACCGACATCCTCCCCAGTCGGTAATACAGACAACCCTCTCTCGGAAATTCCATTGGAGGACTCACCTTTTGTTGACACAGTCAAAGTCACATCTAAAACAATCTTCACTTCAGTGCCATCTAAGGAAACCACAAACCCTCAGGTATGTCAGTAGAGAGCATGTGCTAAATGAGAAGACAATGTACAAAACATTTTTCAATGTGGATAAAACCTGATGGAATGAATGGTACATATAATATCCTACAGGCACGAGAATATTGGATTAAGGAAAACATGACCACCAAGAAAATTGGCCTCTTAATGTTTGTTTGTACAGAAACAGTGTGTAAGTGAAGGTAATAAAGTATTTCTTTGAACTCCTCAGGCGACTGAGTTCCCTGTCAAACCTTCGACTGATGAGATTATCTTGGTAACCGACAAGAAACCCGATGGCTTCACAGTCAATGGTACACCAGTTGATACCTCCAGCAGTACCACTGGCACCATTGGGGGTGAACCTGTTTACCTCACTACCGTGAAAATAACTCCAAGTGAAAATCCAGTCACAGTGGAAAGTCCTTCTGGAGAAAAGAAACCTGAAGTCTTCCAAAAGATTGAGGGCACTCCAGATCCAACAGATTCTACTACTTTTGAAGTAATCATTTCTTTAATGTTTAGATGCTACACCTAAGAAGAGTGATTCTCAGTTCTTTTTAAGTTATTTCTTCAGAAAAACCCGATCTTCCTTTGTACTAATTTGCTGATGTTTTCCAAATTAATACTTTTTGAGAGTAAGCTTTCCTTTCCAATTTGTGTTTTAAGACATAAGATGATTAGATGAAAACTGTAAATTGCTTCTTAATTTTCAGGTTCCCGTCAATGGTCCAGTATCAGACATTCTTGTGCCAAGTACTAGTAGTGTATCTGAAATTGTCATATGCCAGCACGAGACAACAGGTAAGGATGTAAATATTAGCTTTGTGTTTAAGGATGTCCCTTATTTATATTTCTGGAAAAGAATGCAACAATCAATGTGATTGAAGTAAACCCAGTTTAACATTAATTCATGAAAGATACTTAAAAGAAGTCACTTTGAATCATTAAAACTAAAACCTTTTTCAAAAATATCGTGTTTAATGAGTCCACTTGTACACTATCCTGGCATTGTCAGATTTGTTTGTTGTTTAACGCTCGAAAGAGGATTAATCATCACTGTTTTGGAACATAAATCAAATATAATGTCAGAAGATAACGATTATTAAATGTACTATCTAAAGTCAACAGAATCCAGACTCCAAAGGGGGATACATATTTCAATTATTTTCATCAGGAACAACTACAAGTGGAACAACGACAACCAGTGGAACAACCACCACAAGTGGTACAACCACAACAAGTGGTACAACAACTACAAGTGGAACAACAACTAGTGGAACAACAACCAGTGGAACAACAACGGGTGAATTAAATTCTGTTGACTGTTATATGCAATTCATCAGGAGTGAAGATTGTTTAGTGCATCAATTTACAATGCTTTATCACAAAGACTTCTTACTGCCCTTCACAATTATGCCATTATTTCTCTTTGTAAATGGATAATAGACTAGAATGATAGCCTTAGCTAGGATGTGCTTAGTTGTGATATGGTTGATCTGATTAATGTAGTTTTGGTTGTAATATCCACTATGTGCTGGGCTAGTTAGTTTGAATATTGTGAACACATACAACCTGTTTTAAAATATAGTAACAGAGGATTTTGTAACTCACGGATGTATGGCATATTTACAGGAACGACTCCATGTGACAAGATTGATCTTATGGACTCAAGTGAGAACCCATCACCAGCACCGACATCCTCCCCAGTCGGTAATACAGACAACCCTCTCTCGGAAATTCCATTGGAGGACTCACCTTTTGTTGACACAGTCAAAGTCACATCTAAAACAATCTTCACTTCAGTGCCATCTAAGGAAACCACAAACCCTCAGGTATGTCAGTAGAGAGCATGTGCTAAATGAGAAGACAATGTACAAAACATTTTTCAATGTGGATAAAACCTGATGGAATGAATGGTACATATAATATCCTACAGGCACGAGAATATTGGATTAAGGAAAACATGATCACCGAGAAAATTGGCCTCTTAATGTTTGTTTGTACAGAAACAGTGTGTAAGTGAAGGTAATAAAGTATTTCTTTGAACTCCTCAGGCGACTGAGTTCCCTGTCAAACCTTCGACTGATGAGATTATCTTGGTAACCGACAAGAAACCCGATGGCTTCACAGTCAATGGTACACCAGTTGATACCTCCAGCAGTACCACTGGCACCATTGGGGGTGAACCTGTTTACCTCACTACCGTGAAAATAACTCCAAGTGAAAATCCAGTCACAGTGGAAAGTCCTTCTGGAGAAAAGAAACCTGAAGTCTTCCAAAAGATTGAGGGCACTCCAGATCCAACAGATTCTACTACTTTTGAAGTAATCATTTCTTTAATGTTTAGATGCTACACCTAAGAAGAGTGATGCTCAGTTCTTTTTAAGTTATTTCTTCAGAAAAACCCGATCTTCCTTTGTACTAATTTGCTGATGTTTTCCAAATTAATACTTTTTGAGAGTAAGCTTTCCTTTCCAATTTGTGTTTTAAGACATAAGATGATTAGATGAAAACTGTAAATTGCTTCTTAATTTTCAGGTTCCCGTCAATGGTCCAGTATCAGACATTCTTGTGCCGAGTACTAGTAGTGTATCTGAAATTGTCATATGCCAGCACGAGACAACAGGTAAGGATGTAAATATTAGCTTTGTGTTTAAGGATGTCCCTAATCCATATTTCTGGAAAAGAATGCAACAATCAATGTGATTGAAGTAAACCCAGTTTAACATTAATTCATGAAAGATACTTAAAAGAAGTCACTTTGAATCATTAAAACTAAAACCTTTTTCAAAAATATCGTGTTTAATGAGTCCACTTGTACACTATCCTGGCATTGTCAGATTTGTTTGTTGTTTAACGCTCAAAAGAGGATTAATCATCACTGTTTTGGAACATAAATCAAATATAATGTCAGAAGATAACGAATATTAAATGTACTATCTAAAGTCAACAGAATACAGACTCCAAAGGGGGATACATATTTCAATTATTTTCATCAGGAACAACTACAAGTGGAACAACGACAACCAGTGGAACAACCACCACAAGTGGAACAACAACGGGTGAATTAAATTCTGTTGACTGTTATATGCAATTCATCAGGAGTGAAGATTGTATAGTGCATCAATTTACAATGCTTTATCACAAAGAATTCTTACTGCCCTTCACAATTATGCCATTATTTCTCTTTGTAAATGGATAATAGACTAGAATGATAGCCTTAGCTAGGATGTGCTTAGTTGTGATATGGTTGATCTGATTAATGTAGTTTTGGTTGTAATATCCACTATGTGCTGGGTTAGTTAGTTTGAATATTGTGAACACATACAACCTGTTTTAAAATATAGTAACAGAGGATTTTGTAACTCACGGATGTATGGCACATTTACAGGAACGACTCCATGTGACAAGATTGATCTTATGAACTCAAGTGAGAACCCATCACCAGCACCGACATCCTCCCCAGTCGGTAATACAGACAACCCTCTCTCGGAAATTCCATTGGAGGACTCACCTTTTGTTGACACAGTCAAAGTCACATCTAAAACAATCTTCACTTCAGTGCCATCTAAGGAAACCACAAACCCTCAGGTATGTCAGTAGAGAGCATGTGCTAAATGAGAAGACAATGTACAAAACATTTTTCAATGTGGATAAAACCTGATGGAATGAATGGTACATATAATATCCTACAGGCACGATAATATTGGATTAAGGAAAACATGACCACCAAGAAAATTGGCCTCTTAATGTTTTTTTGTACAGAAACAGTGTGTAAGTGAAGGTAATAAAGTATTTCTTTGAACTCCTCAGGCGACTGAGTTCCCTGTCAAACCTTCGACTGATGAGATTATCTTGGTAACCGACAAGAAACCCGATGGCTTCACAGTCAATGGTACACCAGTTGATACCTCCAGCAGTACCACTGGCACCATTGGGGGTGAACCTGTTTACCTCACTACCGTGAAAATAACTCCAAGTGAAAATCCAGTCACAGTGGAAAGTCCTTCTGGAGAAAAGAAACCTGAAGTCTTCCAAAAGATTGAGGGCACTCCAGATCCAACAGATTCTACTACTTTTGAAGTAATCATTTCTTTAATGTTTAGATGCTACACCTAAGAAGAGTGATTCTCAGTTCTTTTTAAGTTATTTCTTCAGAAAAACCCGATCTTCCTTTGTACTAATTTGCTGATGTTTTCCAAATTAATACTTTTTGAGAGTAAGCTTTCCTTTCCAATTTGTGTTTTAAGACATAAGATGATTAGATGAAAACTGTAAATTGCTTCTTAATTTTCAGGTTCCCGTCAATGGTCCAGTATCAGACATTCTTGTGCCGAGTACTAGCAGTGTATCTGAAATTGTCATATGCGAGCACGAGACAACAGGTAAGGATGTAAATATTAGCTTTGTGTTTAAGGATGTCCCTAATCCATATTTCTGGAAAAGAATGCAACAATCAATGTGATTGAAGTAAACCAAGTTTAACATTAATTCATGAAAGATACTTAAAAGAAGTCACTTTGAATCATTAAAACTAAAACCTTTTTCAAAAATATCGTGTTTAATGAGTCCACTTGTACACTATCCTGGCATTGTCAGATTTGTTTGTTGTTTAACGCTCAAAAGAGGATTAATCATCACTGTTTTGGAACATAAATCAAATATAATGTCAGAAGATAACGATTATTAAATGTACTATCTAAAGTCAACAGAATCCAGACTCCAAAGGGGGATACATATTTCAATTGTTTTCATCAGGAACAACTACAAGTGGAACAACGACAACCAGTGGAACAACCACCACAAGTGGTACAACCACAACAAGTGGTACAACCACAACAAGTGGAACAACAACCAGTGGAACAACAACCAGTGGAACAACAACAACCAGTGGAACAACAACGGGTGAATTAAATTCTGTTGACTGTTATATGCAATTCATCAGGAGTGAAGATTGTATAGTGCATCAATTTACAATGCTTTATCACAAAGAATTCTTACTGCCCTTCACAATTATGCCATTATTTCTCTTTGTAAATGGATAATAGACTAGAATGATAGCCTTAGCTAGGATGTGCTTAGTTGTGATATGGTTGATCTGATTAATGTAGTTTTGGTTGTAATATCCACTATGTGCTGGGCTAGTTAGTTTGAATATTGTGAACACATACAACCTGTTTTAAAATATAGTAACAGAGGATTTTGTAACTCACGGATGTATGGCATATTTACAGGAACGACTCCATGTGACAAGATTGATCTTATGGACTCAAGTGAGAACCCATCACCAGCACCGACATCCTCCCCAGTCGGTAATACAGACAACCCTCTCTCGGAAATTCCATTGGAGGACTCACCTTTTGTTGACACAGTCAAAGTCACATCTAAAACAATCTTCACTTCAGTGCCATCTAAGGAAACCACAAACCCTCAGGTATGTCAGTAGAGAGCATGTGCTAAATGAGAAGACAATGTACAAAACATTTTTCAATGTGGATAAAACCTGATGGAATGAATGGTACATATAATATCCTACAGGCACGAGAATATTGGATTAAGGAAAACATGACCACCAAGAAAATTGGCCTCTTAATGTTTGTTTGTACAGAAACAGTGTGTAAGTGAAGGTAATAAAGTATTTCTTTGAACTCCTCAGGCGACTGAGTTCCCTGTCAAACCTTCGACTGATGAGATTATCTTGGTAACCGACAAGAAACCCGATGGCTTCACAGTCAATGGTACACCAGTTGATACCTCCAGCAGTACCACTGGCACCATTGGGGGTGAACCTGTTTACCTCACTACCGTGAAAATAACTCCAAGTGAAAATCCAGTCACAGTGGAAAGTCCTTCTGGAGAAAAGAAACCTGAAGTCTTCCAAAAGATTGAGGGCACTCCAGATCCAACAGATTCTACTACTTTTGAAGTAATCATTTCTTTAATGTTTAGATGCTACACCTAAGAAGAGTGATTCTCAGTTCTTTTTAAGTTATTTCTTCAGAAAAACCCGATCTTCCTTTGTACTAATTTGCTGATGTTTTCCAAATTAATACTTTTTGAGAATAAGCTTTCCTTTCCAATTTGTGTTTTAAGACATAAGATGATTAGATGAAAACTGTAAATTGCTTCTTAATTTTCAGGTTCCCGTTAATGGTCCAGTATCAGACATTCTTGTGCCGAGTACTAGTAGTGTATCTGAAATTGTCATATGCCAGCACGAGACAACAGGTAAGGATGTAAATATTAGCTTTGTGTTTAAGGATGTCCCTTATTTATATTTCTGGAAAAGAATGCAACAATCAATGTGATTGAAGTAAACCCAGTTTAACATTAATTCATGAAAGATACTTAAAAGAAGTCACTTTGAATCATTAAAACTAAAACCTTTTTCAAAAATATCGTGTTTAATGAGTCCACTTGTACACTATCCTGGCATTGTCAGATTTGTTTGTTGTTTAACGCTCGAAAGAGGATTAATCATCACTGTTTTGGAAAATAAATCAAATATAATGTCAGAAGATAACGATTATTAAATGTACTATCTAAAGTCAACAGAATCCAGACTCCAAAGGGGGATACATATTTCAATTATTTTCATCAGGAACAACTACAAGTGGAACAACGACAACCAGTGGTACAACAACTACAAGTGGAACAACAACCAGTGGAACAACAACCAGTGGAACAACAACAACCAGTGGAACAACAACGGGTGAATTAAATTCTGTTGACTGTTATATGCAATTCATCAGGAGTGAAGATTGTATAGTGCTTCAATTTACAATGCTTTATCACAAAGAATTCTTACTGCCCTTCACAATTATGCCATTATTTCTCTTTGTAAATGGATAATAGACTAGAATGATAGCCTTAGCTAGGATGTGCTTAGTTGTGATATGGTTGATCTGATTAATGTAGTTTTGGTTGTAATATCCACTATGTGCTGGGCTAGTTAGTTTGAATATTGTGAACACATACAACCTGTTTTAAAATATAGTAACAGAGGATTTTGTAACTCACGGATGTATGGCATATTTACAGGAACGACTCCATGTGACAAGATTGATCTTATGGACTCAAGTGAGAACCCATCACCAGCACCGACATCCTCCCCAGTCGGTAATACAGACAACCCTCTCTCGGAAATTCCATTGGAGGACTCACCTTTTGTTGACACAGTCAAAGTCACATCTAAAACAATCTTCACTTCAGTGCCATCTAAGGAAACCACAAACCCTCAGGTATGTCAGTAGAGAGCATGTGCTAAATGAGAAGACAATGTACAAAACATTTTTCAATGTGGATAAAACCTGATGGAATGAATGGTACATATAATATCCTACAGGCACGATAATATTGGATTAAGGAAAACATGACCACCAAGAAAATTGGCCTCTTAATGTTTGTTTGTACAGAAACAGTGTGTAAGTGAAGGTAATAAAGTATTTCTTTGAACTCCTCAGGCGACTGAGTTCCCTGTCAAACCTTCGACTGATGAGATTATCTTGGTAACCGACAAGAAACCCGATGGCTTCACAGTCAATGGTACACCAGTTGATACCTCCAGCAGTACCACTGGCACCATTGGGGGTGAACCTGTTTACCTCACTACCGTGAAAATAACTCCAAGTGAAAATCCAGTCACAGTGGAAAGTCCTTCTGGAGAAAAGAAACCTGAAGTCTTCCAAAAGATTGAGGGCACTCCAGATCCAACAGATTCTACTACTTTTGAAGTAATCATTTCTTTAATGTTTAGATGCTACACCTAAGAAGAGTGATTCTCAGTTCTTTTTAAGTTATTTCTTCAGAAAAACCCGATCTTCCTTTGTACTAATTTGCTGATGTTTTCCAAATTAATACTTTTTGAGAGTAAGCTTTCCTTTCCAATTTGTGTTTTAAGACATAAGATGATTAGATGAAAACTGTAAATTGCTTCTTAATTTTCAGGTTCCTGTCAATGGTCCAGTATCAGACATTCTTGTGCCGAGTACTAGTAGTGTATCTGAAATTGTCATATGCGAGCACGAGACAACAGGTAAGGATGTAAATATTAGCTTTGTGTTTAAGGATGTCCCTAATTTATATTTCTAGGACATAATGCAACCATCAATCTGATTGGAGTGAGTCCAGTTTTAAGACTAATTCAAGAAATATACATAAAACTGAAGATTCTTTAGAAATATGGTGTTTAATGATTTAATGTGTCCACTTGTACACTATCCTTGCGTTGGTATATTTGTTTGTTGTTTCATGCTCGAAAGAGGCGTAAAGATCACTGATTTGGAAAATAAATCAAACACAGTATGAGAAGATTACAATTATGGAATATCCTATGTAGTTTCAGTAGAATACAGGCTGCAAGATGGGATACATATTTCAATCGTTTCCATTAGGAACAACTACAAGTGGAACAACAACCAGTGGAACAACAACCAGTGGAACTACAACCAGTGGAACAACTACCAGTGGAACAACAACCAGTGGAACAACAACAACCAGTGGTACAACCACAACCAGTGGCACAACCACAACCAGTGGCACGACAGGTGAGTTGTTTGATGTTTGCTTCGGTAAAACACTAGACACTAGACTCTGTTTTCTGTCGCTCTCTCTAAATTTGCCTTCATGGGCTCATGAACCGCTGCGAGTATTACTGGCTGACATGAGAATGGACTACCGTCAATAAGATTAGCTCAAAAAGCTTAATAGTTAGTGCATTATCTCCGAAAATGTCGATAGCGCATGTTTATTTACAGACAAACGTACAGTGGAAGCTCATCAGATAGCCTTTTTAGAAATATGACTGATGGTAAAGTTTGATTGCAATGTATCATCGCAGTTAAATCGAGTTCAGAGTTCTGATTGTACGGATTATTAGCAGAATAGCTATTAAACATTAACATGACATTTGACAGCTTTGTGGCCGTATTTTGAAATCCCTATTTTCCATTGCACGGTTGTTAGGAACTCCTATCAAAGGAAAATTGAACAAAAAATCCAGCCATCAAATTAAATGAACGATTGTCTTCACTTTGATATAGAGCAAATACATTTACTTTTGCAGCTATAAAGTTCAGTTCATAAACTCAAAACAGAAACGACTCTTGTGTTTCAGTATTGCATATTATATGAAAACTCACTACGACTTATTGCCACCCGTACTTCAGGGCATAACCCTCCCTACACATGTGTCCTAATTTTCATGATGGTGTCTAGGATATGTAGCAAGCACTGATTTCCCTGTAGCACTTCTTTCGTCTTGAGGTATTCAATCTAAGATCCAGATCTAATATTGTGTATGTATGAGTTGCACACACCGATTTGACACCTTACTAACCTTGAATCTTTGACATATATTTACATACTTAAAAATAGGAAGAACTTGCCGGCATCCATCACCTATAGACAAAAGGATGTGGTCAGTGATTAGGTTTACAAACATTTATATGTTTGTTCATGCCAAACATCATAAATCACAATCTCTTTAATATCCATATGAGTAGTTCTACAATTATGACGACCATGTCACTTTTGAAACTAAAAAGAAAACAATACACGACTATTGAAGCATATTTAGTTATGAATTTTAAATAAGTATTATTAGTCTCCTCCTTATGACATATTTTGTAAGAAATTGTAATAGGTCATATTAACAAGACAAGTAACAACTAATGTTGTTAACAAAATACGACTAAGTCATTTTCATATAACCTCAGTATACTGTACCTATGATAATAAGTGATCACAAAGTTAAGTCTGTAAAGTCTAAATATCTTGAATCGACAATGAAATAAGCAAACGTTAGTATCTTCGACATAGTAAATGGTCTATTACAGTGGCATTGTTAATCTATATATTTAGTTATTCTCGAACAGAAGGAATATACCCATGTCTGCAGGTAAAGTGCCTGTGCATGACTTTTACATGTTGTACGATGATTAACGATTATACGTTGATTGATCATTGTTTTCTGCGAAGGGTACTATGAAGGCTATACAGTACACTTTTAAACAGTTTTTAGATAGATGGATGTATCGATGGATGCGCGATAAATCGCAAAGAACAATGAAGAATGATGTATGGTTAATTTCATGATAAAACATTGTTCCATCATGACCTCATTTCTGGAGATTCGAACATGCGCTCGCAACTTGATGACGTTGCATATTTGGACGACGATATTTTTGGGAAGGGATTGTCTAGTGAGTTGTTCGCCATAGATATAGCTTGGCATCTTAGAAAAACGCGATGGTTGAGCAATCGCATCAAAAATATGTTAATAGGTATTGGGAGAAAAGGTAATCCACGTGAGGAATGGGAATATGCGGGAAATACCCACCTGTGCATAAAATGGACTTGTCCGAAATTGCCGAGGTCGGATTCTATTGAGGGAGTCATCATTGTGAAAATACGGCTGTACTGTGTGATACAGCCGGGAGGCATATTTCTGCAGACATCAAAGTGACTTGCGTTCTCTGTTGATGGAAATTTATAAAAATGCCTGTCACGCTGTCATCAATTATTTCCAACGAAAAGGGCTCAAGTGGCCATCCATGCCTACAGGGTGTTAACTTTAGGTGGTGATGCTCTATCCTTTGCCACGGTTGAGAGATTGCCAGCGGAGTTCAAGAGAGGGAGCCTCGAAGATGACGCAACCTTCAACTGCTACCACAAAGGAAAATGTTGATAAAATACATTATATGATACGATATGGATGATCGACTCACACTGCATAGCCAACACAGAAGGCATCATGGCATAAGAGAACATTCGAGGAATGAAGTCGTCATATCAAAGTTTTCAGCAATATCACGCCGGGGGACACCAGAAATTGGCTTCACACATTATTGTACTTCTTTGCATGACTTCAGATTGATGGGGTAATGCTTGTTATTAGTAGTATGGCAGTTTCTTTTTGTTTTCAATCATTTGCCGTTGTATAGAAAGGAATGATTCTAGTTCTTTTATGCAATCTTGCTTTATTCCTTCAGTGCGACACATACAACACAAGGTCTTTGTTTTCACACGTTTTTTTCATTTACAGGCGGGTAAGCACACCATGTGGTAACAATAAAAGTGACAAAAAATATTTCCATGATAATTAGACAACTCCACTAAGAGTCCATTGTGCGATTCTGCCTATATCCTAAGCATGTGTTTATGAATCGCTGTTAATAATGTTGATACCAGGTTTTCGGAAAACGGTTTAGCATTACCTACCCAAAATGTGTCACCTGTCACAAATACATGTAAGGCAAGTAAACTATTCACTGGGAAAAGCAGGGGAACATAAGTTCAAATAGGAAATTGCATCTGACTTTATCTATTGTCACTGATGCGTCAAATTTAGATATGTCCAACAGATGTTATTTTTACTTTTAAGAGATCTATTCAGATATGTTTCGACGTTATATTGCCTTTTACGCCCAGTGGAATCTGTTTTTGCTGATATTCGATTCTGGTTATTTTCTGGGTGTAAAGGATTTATATTTAATGAGGCCCTAATTAGTGTAACTCTTATCAAAACAACGTTTTGAGCAAGAATCGAATGACGCTTTAGTAATCTTCGTAGAAAGAGCATGCTCGATTGTACCTAAAAAGGTGTGAAATATAGACACCAAAGGCTTGCGCTGCAGGAATATTGCTCAACATAAAGGGACTATTGAAAGGTTAAAGTCATCCCATTTGTCACACAGTCTTCTGTGTAGTTTTTGCACTAAGTATTTTAATGCATATATCTAAATATGAAACGCGGTCCCTTTTCTTTCTAGCTTATGTGCACAAATCGGTTAAATTGAATTGGATGTTTGACCATTGTTGAGCGATATCAGATCATCACTAAGCTTAAGTTAAACTCTTTGGCCAAATTCCCTGGTTTAGATGTCGACTATCAGAGCAAACAATTTGGACTGTGAGCAAATTGTCACATGCTATGTGTCGATTGTGATTGTTTGTCTACGTTTTCAATCCTACAAAACATAAGTATTGCCTCTATACAACATGGTGATAGTTTGACAATATAAGCAGGGACAAATTTGCACACAATGCTGTTCCACGAAATTGAAGACTCACAACTGGGAATAAAAGCCAGATGTCGGGAACTTTTAAAAACCGGTCTCATAATCAAGGAATTTGTTTCCTTGTAAGATTAGAGAGATTATCAAACTGGGGTTATAAGAATTTGTTTCTTGTGGTGTGTTTGTTTTTGTACAACGGTGTCTGTGTCATTCGCTCTCTGTCACTAGCCATTCCCTCTCTGTCACTAGCCAGAAATTGCATTAACTTTCTGGATATATTAAGAATGTGCAGTGAAACATAATTAAGTTTAACGATACAGTGTCTTGTGAAATCGGTCAGGTTATCAAATGTCCAGACTGAGGATTTAGGCCAAAATAACGAGGTTTCACTGCATCATAACAAATACTACAAAGGGTAAAAATATATGTATTGAACTATTTATAGACGTGAAACTTCGGCTTATTAGTTCATGAATGAAGTGCTTATTTCATCACTGGTGTAGTTACATTATTTAGCAAATGTAGACTTGTCAAATGGACGTTACTCGTTCAACAGAGGTTTTGTGGTTCTACAGTTATAAAGTGTGTGATATGACGTATTGATGAAATCGTAGATGGATGACATTGATAGTTCAAGAATCGTGCTATCTATGGTTTCCTTTATATTTACAATCGTGATTTTTTTATAGACTACTTTTACAAACTCACGACTTTTACTTTCAGGCACACCTTGCAGCAAGGTAGACTTGATGAGCCCAGGGGATAATGCAGTCACACCCCAACCAAGCAGTCTAGGCCTTCCAACGGACAACCTGTTGGAATTCCCATTGCCAGAAAACACACTGGTCGATAGTGTAACTTCGACATCGCCCTTCGTGTATTCGCCTCTTGAAGAACCATCTCCTGGGGTAGGTTTTGACATTGACATCCTAAAGAGGTTGGGTAATCATTATATAATTGTGATAAAGCAGACAGGCACGAACACAGTTGTTGACAATATTTTGAACAAGATATACACGCAGTATTTATAAACATGAATGAAATTAAAACAGCATGTTGCCATTGTCCAATCGTTTCATCTACGTTAGAGGAATTCAACGGTCTTCTGGTCGATTACACACCTTAATGGGCAAATATCTACTTAATGTTTTCATCAAAAGGTATTTAAACGTTTGCAACTTTCAAATACACACACTTTCTTATAGAAAGTATTGATGAATGGCATGGGATGTGTTTGCTTATACCACATTCACTGTACGTAGATCCAGTTTTACTTTGTGCACAATTATTCCGAAATGTTTATGAAGCCTGAAACTTAAACTTTATATTGCCGTCGTTGATTTTAGAAAAGCATTTGAATCTGTGAATTGTACTAAGTTTTAGGATTGCCCGTATTCAGATAGTTTATAGGAAAAAATGTTAAAAGCACGAATCTGAAGTGCAGTTGTACATGGACATGTTCGAAATCTTGCTATTTGTGTTTGTTGATGATGCCATTCTGGTATCTGAAGCAATATCAGGATTACAGTAACAACTTCTTGAATCACAGGCAGATATGTGGGGTCTAACAGTCAATTTAGATAAGACAAATATTGTTGTTTTTAACATAGGTGGATGCTTATCAGCAAAAGAGGTGCGGTTTCTAAAGGGAAGGACATGTTATCTCTAAATGCATATAGATATTTAGGAATTATATTCTCTAGTACATTAAAAATGAACAAATGCATTTGAAACGTTAGTTGCAAGAGGCAAGTAAGCTCTAATGGAAGTAACTATCAACTTGAGCAAACTTGAGCTAGTCGACTTGCTTGGTTTTTAATTTTTTTTAATTTGATACACGAATACAACCAATTCTGTTACGTGGTTCTTGAATTGTGGTGTTTATACAGATATGACAAGATAGAATAAGTAGATTTAATGGCATGTAAGACAATTTTAGATGTTGGACCTCAGACTCAAAATGTTATTGCAGATGGCGAATGTGGTCATTACGCTTTTTAGGTAAATGGTCTGTTTAGAATGTATGTATTGGCTAAAATTAATAGAGATACATGATGGCAGGATACCGAAAAAAACCTACATTATGCTTTTATAGTATGATAAGTGTAAATATGATAATTAGTTGTGTGGTTATCTCAATCAATTAAGATCTACTAATAAATATGTATGTTCAGTCTTGAATAGCACTATATGGAGAGTTCAAAACTTTATGAGAGCCTGAAATGTACCTATGTGTAGTCGTAGTCAAGAAGCATAATTATTATTATTATTTTTATTAGAACTGGATTGTTAAAACTTTGGATAAGTGAATGTAGGTGGTTAGGAATAGAGTTATCACAACTCACATGTCCGGTATGTAAATTTGGGATAGAATATGAATAATTTTACCTTAATCGGTAACAACATATGTATTTAACCTTTCATGATGAACTGTAAAAGATTGTAATGAAAATATTTATATTGTGACTTGAACATTATTTTGTTATCCTCTCTATCTCGAAGCAACGTGTTTCTTGAAGATAACATTTTCTTGACATGTTTGTTCAGCGAGATTTTAAAGAAGTTTGAATATTCCTTGTGGTTGAATTGATATTATTAGACCAGGGTATGTATGTTTATATATATCGCTTAAGCCGCATTCTGAGATGGGCTCCAAATTTTAATAGATTTTTGCACATCTCTCGAGTGAGCATTGCGCATGTTTCATTTTAGATGGTTCTGCAGTTGTTGTATCATATTTCGTCTGATATGTCTCTGTTTAATACCATTAATTAATTGTACAACGTTTCGATTTTAACTTTCAGGCACCATTTAACATCAAACCCACAACCAAGGTGATTCTTCTGCTAACAGACGAATCTCCATCTGGTTTCGAAGTTAATGGGAGCCCTGTAGATACAACAACAACTGTTTCTGGCACAAGGAATAGTAATCCGTTATATGTAACTGTTATTGACATAACAGAGGGTACAACTGTAGATGTTAAAGCACCAGGGGGAGTAAACAGGCCAGTTGTATTTGAAAAGATTGATGGAGTTCAACTCCCCGGGACAAACAGCTACAAGGTGAGTAATCGTCCGCAGAACATAATGAAAATATGAACACACATGTTTTCTCTACTTACATCACATGACAGAATTTCATGAGTAACGTTAACATTTATAGAAGATTGCATTTAGCTGCTTTGTTTAAAGCTACTGTTTGACCAGGTTTATGCGTGAGATTGTTTCCCCTACTAAATGAAGATGAATGAATTCAAATTCAATAGTTGAATCCTTTTTCATTTCAGGTGCCTATAAATAAAGAGGTTACAAGTATTATTGTGCCAAAGAACACAGATGTTGAAAAGATCGAGATATGCGAACATTTAACAACAGGTGAATATAGAACGTTTTTTTGTAATAACTGTGTTTCCCTTGTATGTTCGTATGTCATTTTGCGAATGTGTAAATGAAGAAAACATTTTGTGCGAATTGCAAATCTTAACATTTGAAACTATTTATTGTTAAGGAACAACAACCAGCGGAACAACAACAAGTGGAACAACAACCAGCGGAACAACAACCAGTGGAACAACCACAACCAGTGGAACAACCACAACCAGTGGAACAACCACAACTAGTGGAACTACTGGTGAGTAAATATGTATGTTAACTGTCATAGTGTGAGGATGGAGCGGCACTTGCCAAATTTACTTTAAGCCTGCTGTCGTAAACTATGAAATGAATTCCTCATTATGTGACGTGAATCTATATTTAGGATTGATGATGTTGATAGTTCCAGAATCGTGTTATCTATGGTTTCCTTTATATTTACAATCGTGATTTTTTTATAGACTACTTTTACAAACTCACGACTTTTACTTCCAGGCACACCTTGCAGCAAGGTAGACTTGATGAGCCCAGGGGATAATGCAGTCACACCCCAACCAAGCAGTCTAGGCCTTCCAACGGACAACCTGTTGGAATTCCCATTGCCAGAAAACACACTGGTCGATAGTGTAACTTCGTCATCGCCCTTCGTGTATTCGCCTCTTGAAGAACCATCTCCTGGGGTAGGTTTTGACATTGACATCCTAAAGAGGTTGGGTAATCATTATATAATTGTGATAAAGCAGACAGGCACGAACACAGTTGTTGACAATATTTTGAACAAGATATACACGCAGTATTTATAAACATGAATGAAATTAAAACAGCATGTTGCCATTGTCCAATCGTTTCATCTACGTTAGAGGAATTCAACGGTCTTCTGGTCGATTACACACCTTAATGGGCAAATATCTACTTAATGTTTTCATCAAAAGGTATTTAAACGTTTGCAACTTTCAAATACACTCACTATCTTATAGAAAGTATTGATGAATGGCATGGGATGTGTTTGCTTATACCACATTCACTGTACGTAGATCCAGTTTTACTTTGTGCACAATTATTCCGAAATGTTTATGAAGCCTGAAACTTAAACTTTATATTGCCGTCGTTGATTTTAGAAAAGCATTTGAATCTGTGAATTGTACTAAGTTTTAGGATTGCCCGTATTCAGATAGTTTATAGGAAAAAATGTTAAAAGCACGAATCTGAAGTGCAGTTGTACATGGACATGTTCGAAATCTTGCTATTTGTGTTTGTTGATGATGCCATTCTGGTATCTGAAGCAATATCAGGATTACAGTAACAACTTCTTGAATCACAGGCAGATATGTGGGGTCTAACAGTCAATTTAGATAAGACAAATATTGTTGTTTTTAACATAGGTGGATGCTTATCAGCAAAAGAGGTGCGGTTTCTAAAGGGAAGGACATGTTATCTCTAAATGCATATAGATATTTAGGAATTATATTCTCTAGTACATTAAAAATGAACAAATGCATTTGAAACGTTAGTTGCAAGAGGCAAGTAAGCTCTAATGGAAGTAACTATCAACTTGAGCAAACTTGAGCTAGTCGACTGCTTGGTTTTTAATTTTTTTTAATTTGATACACGAATACAACCAATTCTGTTACGTGGTTCTTGAATTGTGGTGTTTATACAGATATGACAAGATAGAATAAGTAGATTTAATGGCATGTAAGACAATTTTAGATGTTGGACCTCAGACTCAAAATGTTATTGCAGATGGCGAATGTGGTCATTACGCTTTTTAGGTAAATGGTCTGTTTAGAATGTATGTATTGGCTAAAATTAATAGAGATACATGATGGCAGGATACCGAAAAAACCATACATTATGCTTTTATAGTATGATAAGTGTAAATATGATAATTAGTTGTGTGGTTATCTCAATCAATTAAGATCTACTAATAAATATGTATGTTCAGTCTTGAATAGCACTATATGGAGAGTTCAAAACTTTATGAGAGCCTGAAATGTACCTATGTGTAGTCGTAGTCAAGAAGCATAATTATTATTATTATTTTTATTAGAACTGGATTGTTAAAACTGTGGATAAGTGAATGTAGGTGGTTAGGAATAGAGTTATCACAACTCACATGTCCGGTATGTAAATTTGGGATAGAATATGAATAACTTTACCTTAATCGGTAACAACATATGTATTTAACCTTTCATGATGAACTGTAAAAGATTGTAATGAAAATATTTATATTGTGACTTGAACATTATTTTGTTATCCTCTCTATCTCGAAGCAACGTGTTTCTTGAAGATAACATTTTCTTGACATGTTTGTTCAGCGAGATTTTAAAGAAGTTTGAATATTCCTTGTGGTTGAATTGATATTATTAGACCAGGGTATGTATGTTTATATATATCGCTTAAGCCGCATTCTGAGATGGGCTCCAAATTTTAATAGATTTTTGCACATCTCTCGAGTGAGCATTGCGCATGTTTCATTTTAGATGGTTCTGCAGTTGTTGTATCATATTTCGTCTGATATGTCTCTGTTTAATACCATTAATTAATTGTACAACGTTTCGATTTTAACTTTCAGGCACCATTTAACATCAAACCCACAACCAAGGTGATTCTTCTGCTAACAGACGAATCTCCATCTGGTTTCGAAGTTAATGGGAGCCCTGTAGATACAACAACAACTGTTTCTGGCACAAGGAATAGTAATCCGTTATATGTAACTGTTATTGACATAACAGAGGGTACAACTGTAGATGTTAAAGCACCAGGGGGAGTAAACAGGCCAGTTGTATTTGAAAAGATTGATGGAGTTCAACTCCCCGGGACAAACAGCTACAAGGTGAGTAATCGTCCGCAGAACATAATGAAAATATGAACACACATGTTTTCTCTACTTACATCACATGACAGAATTTCATGAGTAACGTTAACATTTATAGAAGATTGCATTTAGCTGCTTTGTTTAAAGCTACTGTTTGACCAGGTTTATGCGTGAGATTGTTTCCCCTACTAAATGAAGATGAATGAATTCAAATTCAATAGTTGAATCCTTTTTCATTTCAGGTGCCTATAAATAAAGAGGTTACAAGTATTATTGTGCCAAAGAACACAGATGTTGAAAAGATCGAGATATGCGAACATTTAACAACAGGTGAATATAGAACGTTTTTTGTAATAACTGTGTTTCCCTTGTATGTTCGTATGTCATTTTGCGAATGTGTAAATGAAGAAAACATTTTGTGCGAATTGCAAATCTTAACATTTGAAACTATTTATTGTTAAGGAACAACAACCAGCGGAACAACAACAAGTGGAACAACAACCAGCGGAACAACAACCAGTGGAACAACCACAACCAGTGGAACAACCACAACCAGTGGAACAACCACAACTAGTGGAACTACTGGTGAGTAAATATGTATGTTAACTGTCATAGTGTGAGGATGGAGCGGCACTTGCCAAATTTACTTTAAGCCTGCTGTCGTAAACTGTGAAATGAATTCCTCATTATGTGACGTGAATCTATATTTAGGATTGATGATGTTGATAGTTCCAGAATCGTGTTATCTATGGTTTTCTTTATATTTACAATCGTGATTTTTTTATAAACTACTTTTACAAACTCACGACTTTTACTTCCAGGCACACCTTGCAGCAAGGTAGACTTGATGAGCCCAGGGGATAATGCAGTCACACCCCAACCAAGCAGTCTAGGCCTTCCAACGGACAACCTGTTGGAATTCCCATTGCCAGAAAACACACTGGTCGATAGTGTCACTTCGACATCGCCCTTCGTGTATTCGCCTCTTGAAGAACCATCTCCTGGGGTAGGTTTTGACATTGACATCCTAAAGAGGTTGGGTAATCATTATATAATTGTGATAAAGCAGACAGGCACGAACACAGTTGTTGACAATATTTTGAACAAGATATACACGCAGTATTTATAAACATGAATGAAATTAAAACAGCATGTTGCCATTGTCCAATCGTTTCATCTACGTTAGAGGAATTCAACGGTCTTCTGGTCGATTACACACCTTAATGGGCAAATATCTACTTAATGTTTTCATCAAAAGGTATTTAAACGTTTGCAACTTTCAAATACACTCACTATCTTATAGAAAGTATTGATGAATGGCATGGGATGTGTTTGCTTATACCACATTCACTGTACGTAGATCCAGTTTTACTTTGTGCACAATTATTCCGAAATGTTTATGAAGCCTGAAACTTAAACTTTATATTGCCGTCGTTGATTTTAGAAAAGCATTTGAATCTGTGAATTGTACTAAGTTTTAGGATTGCCCGTATTCAGATAGTTTATAGGAAAAAATGTTAAAAGCACGAATCTGAAGTGCAGTTGTACATGGACATGTTCGAAATCTTGCTATTTGTGTTTGTTGATGATGCCATTCTGGTATCTGAAGCAATATCAGGATTACAGTAACAACTTCTTGAATCACAGGCAGATATGTGGGGTCTAACAGTCAATTTAGATAAGACAAATATTGTTGTTTTTAACATAGGTGGATGCTTATCAGCAAAAGAGGTGCGGTTTCTAAAGGGAAGGACATGTTATCTCTAAATGCATATAGATATTTAGGAATTATATTCTCTAGTACATTAAAAATGAACAAATGCATTTGAAACGTTAGTTGCAAGAGGCAAGTAAGCTCTAATGGAAGTAACTATCAACTTGAGCAAACTTGAGCTAGTCGACTTGCTTGGTTTTTAATTTTTTTTAATTTGATACACGAATACAACCAATTCTGTTACGTGGTTCTTGAATTGTAGTGTTTATACAGATATGACAAGATAGAATAAGTAGATTTAATGGCATGTAAGACAATTTTAGATGTTGGACCTCAGACTCAAAATGTTATTGCAGATGGCGAATGTGGTCATTACGCTTTTTAGGTAAATGGTCTGTTTAGAATGTATGTATTGGCTAAAATTAATAGAGATACATGATGGCAGGATACCGAAAAAAACCTACATTATGCTTTTATAGTATGATAAGTGTAAATATGATAATTAGTTGTGTGGTTATCTCAATCAATTAAGATCTACTAATAAATATGTATGTTCAGTCTTGAATAGCACTATATGGAGAGTTCAAAACTTTATGAGAGCCTGAAATGTACCTATGTGTAGTCGTAGTCAAGAAGCATAATTATTATTATTATTTTTATTAGAACTGGATTGTTAAAACTGTGGATAAGTGAATGTAGGTGGTTAGGAATAGAGTTATCACAACTCACATGTCCGGTATGTAAATTTGGGATAGAATATGAATAATTTTACCTTAATCGGTAACAACATATGTATTTAACCTTTCATGATGAACTGTAAAAGATTGTAATGAAAATATTTATATTGTGACTTGAACATTATTTTGTTATTCTCTCTATCTCGAAGCAACGTGTTTCTTGAAGATAACATTTTCTTGACATGTTTGTTCAGCGAGATTTTAAAGAAGTTTGAATATTCCTTGTGGTTGAATTGATATTATTAGACCAGGGTATGTATGTTTATATATATCGCTTAAGCCGCATTCTGAGATGGGCTCCAAATTTTAATAGATTTTTGCACATCTCTCGAGTGAGCATTGCGCATGTTTCATTTTAGATGGTTCTGTAGTTGTTGTATCATATTTCGTCTGATATGTCTCTGTTTAATACCATTAATTAATTGTACAACGTTTCGATTTTAACTTTCAGGCACCATTTAACATCAAACCCACAACCAAGGTGATTCTTCTGCTAACAGACGAATCTCCATCTGGTTTCGAAGTTAATGGGAGCCCTGTAGATACAACAACAACTGTTTCTGGCACAAGGAATAGTAATCCGTTATATGTAACTGTTATTGACATAACAGAGGGTACAACTGTAGATGTTAAAGCACCAGGGGGAGTAAACAGGCCAGTTGTATTTGAAAAGATTGATGGAGTTCAACTCCCCGGTACAAACAGCTACAAGGTGAGTAATCGTCCGCAGAACATAATGAAAATATGAACACACATGTTTTCTCTACTTACATCACATGACAGAATTTCATGAGTAACGTTAACATTTATAGAAGATTGCATTTAGCTGCTTTGTTTAAAGCTACTGTTTGACCAGGTTTATGCGTGAGATTGTTTCCCCTACTAAATGAAGATGAATGAATTCAAATTCAATAGTTGAATCCTTTTTCATTTCAGGTGCCTATAAATAAAGAGGTTACAAGTATTATTGTGCCAAAGAACACAGATGTTGAAAAGATCGAGATATGCGAACATTTAACAACAGGTGAATATAGAACGTTTTTTTGTAATAACTGTGTTTCCCTTGTATGTTCGTATGTCATTTTGCGAATGTGTAAATGAAGAAAACATTTTGTGCGAATTGCAAATCTTAACATTTGAAACTATTTATTGTTAAGGAACAACAACCAGCGGAACAACAACAAGTGGAACAACAACAAGTGGAACAACAACCAGCGGAACAACAACCAGTGGAACAACCACAACCAGTGGAACAACCACAACCAGTGGAACAACCACAACTAGTGGAACAACTGGTGAGTAAATATGTATGTTAACTGTCATAGTGTGAGGATGGAGCGGCACTTACCACATTTACTTTAAGCCTGCTGTCGTAAACTGTGAACCGAATTCCTTGTAATGTGATGTGAATCTATGTTTAGGTTTCTTGATTGCACCTCTGCATATGTGTCGAGTAAACTCTCGTCATTCAGTTCACTGGTACTGAAACTATTTTCAATCAGGGGATAAATGATGTGAAGTTGTTGCCTTAAGTCATATTAAGCAGATATTATTGTCATAACTATGCCATGATCGTGGGTTCGAATCCCTTTTTCAATAAGTTAATGAGTTTCAACATAGTTGTAAACGCCTACCGTCTTTCTCTTTGGACATCGTCCTTTGTTTAGTCGACACATTGTGATCTACCAGACATTTCAGAACTACGTTAAAAACTCATTCAGTCAATCATCGTCTCATGTTCCTTCATTTCAGGAAAGTTGTGTGAGGATACCGACAATGAGAGTACGGAATATCTCATTGCTACTCCTCTTACTGACACAACAAACACAAGGGCCCTTGTTCGGGCAGATATCCAAGGGCAGATAATGACCATCGAAAATCCTGCTGGTGGAGCAACACCTCCGATGTTTTTCGCAGTTGACAGTTTGCTTGTATGTAAAAACAATTATGTTACATTGAGCACAATCACCTCCAGTGTCTTGATAACTATGCACTCAAAGAACATAACATTTAATAAGCCTTAATTGAATGACGATTATGATAGCTGCTAGCTTATTAACTGATTAGGTTTAAGCAATTTTATACATTTTTTTATTTAGATTTGATCTTCGCGAAAAATATGTCTGAAGTTAATTAACACTGAATATATAATGACAGCAGTTAATATTAACGTGATAATTCTTTCAGCCCTCTTTAAAGGATAGTAGCCATATCACCTTCTCACAAGTTGAAACTTTAACTAATACAAAAAGAGTGTTAGCCATGAGGTCAAGACGATTCTTACGGAGAAGTACATTCGTATTAATTTTTGTTGTTGTTGTTAAATGTTGAGAGTCAAATGAGCTTGAATATGGACTATTTTCCCGCCATCCGTTGTACATCGTCAGTCATCGTCCGACATTTTGTCCTCATAATTCCCTGGACCAGTAAAGCTGAACCTTCTCGTACTTGTTCCCACAAATGATGACACCCAAATGAGTTTAAGAGGTTGGAGTCTGATTTTCATTGTGGCTGCTATGGCTGGTACATACTATTTATGCCCATCAATCAACCATTTTTATTGAAAATGAAATGAACTGTCGTTTGTGTTTTGTTAGTAGTAGGGCTCAAATCATACGTTCCGTGTTTTGCGATGTATTACATTCAACCAATTATCCTAAGAATACCTTTGCACTGTAAACATCTCCCTAGAAACAACTGGCCCAATAAGCTGAAACATCACATCCTTGTTCCACAGAATAATGAAACCCGGATTTTTTCACAGGTTCCAACCCGATTTTCTACATGGCCATATCTCCGTTGTTTTCATGTGTCTTGAAATTTAGTATATTTGTTAGTAATGGGGCTCAACCCATGGCTTTCGCTCACATAGGACCGCCACGGCAGCCCTATTGACAAAAATACCTAGTTGGTCATTAAGTAGTCATTTTTATTAAAAATGTAGAAAAGGTACAACATTCATTACCTTATGCAGGACTTTACACATATTTCCGTTTTGACATTTGCTTTAAATTCCCGTTTTGCCTCTAAAAACATCTACTCCTTTGAAATGAGTTGATGCCATTATGCAGAAATGTGCTATTAATGCAGAGCATATTTGAATGTCAATAAACGTTCGTTGACATTTAAGACTATTGACTAAATATCAAGGTGAGCTATCGTGCCGTGTCACTATTTTTTATGTCCCCGTTATAATCTTTAACGAAGTTATGTCATGTCACCACACATTCATTATGCCCCAACTACAAGGATATATGTCCCTGCTGTCAACCACAGGCGTGCCAGGCAAAGACTTTATTTTCTGCAGGCTGCCGTGCAGCAGCAATAATTACTGCATTTAATTTACTTTTGTGACGAACAGCCTATTTGTACCAAGTAAATGTATTGATATCATTTTGCAGACTGTAAAAGATGGGGATCAAGTTACTGGGCCTCTGTTTATTGAAGAGGAACAAGCTGGTAACAAGGTTTCAGTGACAGGTAATGTGTTTCTAAAACGGATGATAATGATGATGATGATGATAATAATAAAAATTATAAAAATAATAATAATAATAATATATAGCTGCAAAGCAGCAATGGCGGGCTACAAGTTACACAGTGCACAAACGTCCATGTTCGAATCCTCAAAGGGTTTCCTTGTACCAAATCCATCACATGTAGGCACAACTTGCAGGGTATCGCCGCTACGAAACTGGCGTGTGCTAAGTCTGTTCTAAACCCATTTACGACATCGAACATGTTCGAATCGTCAAAGGGTTTGTTTGTACCAACTCTGTCAAAAGATAGTCACCGTTTGCAGGACATCGCCGCTACGAAATTGGCGTGTTCCAGGGGTGTCCCAAATATGAATCAAATATTACCGCCAAGTGTTGTTACTTTTTCCATTCACCCAAGAACAGATAATAAGATGCATATGATACACTAACTTCATGTAAACTTGCAATAGTTTCTGTCAACAAGCTAACAAGATATGATCTTTTAAGTAAAATTTCGGTAATTTTTTTTTATCAAAAACAAAATCCAGACGCCATACACACACAGAATTTGAACAAAATCAAACCAGTGGTTATTTTGCTAGGTCTGGTACAAAAATCGGCGGAATAATAAAAAATATTAATAAATAATAATAATAATAATAATAATAATAATAATAATAATAATAATAAATCGATCGATTGCAATAGGGCTCTACAGCCTTTCGGCTTGGAGCCCTAATAATAATAATTGTCTCTCTGCTGTCGAGGAGACGGGGACCCTGAGCTGATGTGAGCTTAATCAGCCTGACTGTGCCATGCTCACCCAAACCCTATTTGCTGCAATTATTATCTTTAAAATAATAATAACAATAATGTTGGTTGGATGAGTATAAGAGATCGTCAGTAACTGGCATGATACAAGGCATAACATACTAGTATTAAGGAACATATTATTTCTTTCCACTGCCTCGTCTTCCCTTGAAAGAATCAATCACCTCGACTGATGTGACATTCATACTTTAGATATGTGCAACCCACAAATGTCAAACATAGACATGACACGATAATGTTTCACTATCAATCATCATCAACTAAAATACTTTACATTTCCTTTCACAGCAACCACTGGAGGAGACACACCGAACACTATGACTTTCAGTGACACGTTCACGGTTGTTCTTCCAACTGGAAGCTCTCCACTCGTCATATCAAATTTAAATCCTGGGGACAAGATTTACTCATTGGTAGAAGTGTCAGACGCCGTTCTCCCATTGAAGGTTAGTATTATGGGCACACTACATACAAATAAATGATCCGTGCCAAAAGTGGGTTTTCAGACAATGACAACACATGGCATGTATATTGCTAAACAAAAAGGCTAGCCACCCAACTCGCTTTCTCACTTTCCCCACTACTCTTACTCATTTCTCAATCACATTTTGCAATATACTTACCCAGTTTAATTTCAAATTCATTACAGAGTGGGTACATACGCTTGTTATATATTAATGTCATGTGATCTATTTGGCAGAGCAGGGGCATATATATCTTTCTTCTTCATCTTTCACGCCCTGGGTATTTTGGTGCAAGCAGCTATCCTACCCTGTAAAACTCCAAAACAAGTAGAGCATCATGAAATGTTATGATCGATCTTCAGAAAAAAGGTCGGCTTTTGAAAATGACTGCCAGATATAGAACCAAAACGCCCCCAAACACCCTGAACATTGCACGTGAATCATGGGATTTCTTCCATGCACCGTGCACGTCCGTAACTGACTACCTCCAGATGCAAAACATCACCATAATGCAACGACTAGCAATAGGCCTTTACCTTTCCCCAATAGAGTACGTCTGCGCAATAATCGGGTGACGTCTACGGCGACGTCAAAGCCCAACTGCTATGTAAACCAAACTGGGCCTGGCGCCGCATGAGGGTTGGACAAGGCTCTCTCATATTGTGACGAAATGTTTGACCAATCGTAGGGCCATGACCCATTATTGATCAAAGCATATTAAACGTTCATATTTTGACTCACACATCTGGGTTGGTTTCTGGTTTCTTGGTTGTTTGTACCTCTACAATACATCGCCACTCATATAGGAGTATATTTCCTTATTGGAACAAATGTTAAGTTTGAGTATTAACATAATTTTAGTAAATGACAAAAGAAACAAATCGTGGTGCTGTAATAAATTAAACAAACGAATTAGGCTCATTTGTAGTGCTGAATGTATTTAATAGCTAATCATATTGATAATTGATTCTAGGCGAGTCCAGATGGTACAACGGAGCTCCTTGCCATTGCAAACAAAGAATTCACATTCGCCCAAGTCGGCGTGAAGGCATGTGTGAAGACCGAGACAAGTAAGGGTGTTTTAATATTTCAGGGTGGGATATCATCAGGATGTCATGCGAAGGTCACGTGGATCATGTCGGGATACAAATGCAAAAAACATCAATCGCCTATAGACATCGTTAAGACATCATCATTATTATAATAACAAGATTTCTGATATTATAGCTTATAGTTTTCCTATAGATCCCAGCATGGATGACAATTAAAGCCGAGACCCGATGTGTCGTGTGCCATTGTACCGGTGCACGATGGTTAAATTGAGAGAAAAGTGTCGTATGCCATGTATCACGTCGTTTCTTGTCAGGGAACATACCTACTATGCATGAACCGCAAACATCGCGTCTGATCGCGTGATGTGGTACAATCGTCATAAAATCGTCATGTAAGAAGTGGGTGAAAATCGAGGATAAATGATTTAAGAAACCATGGTAACTAGTTTAACAGGACCAGTATATCGTCACCGATGGCGTAAAATACAAATACTAAATTTACCAATCCCACGGAAGATATTCCCCTAAAAATGTATTTTAAAACGATATTAAAATGTTAACATAACAGCTCAATCTGAGACGACAACCAGTGGCACTACAACTTCAAGATCAACAACTAGTGGAACTACAACATCAGGCACTACAACAAGTGGCACGACCACATCAGGTACCACACCGTCTGGAACAACGACCACTGGAACAACATCAACCAGCGGCACTACTATATCAGGCACAGAAACAAGTGGCACAACCACTTCTGGAACAACAACAACTAGTGGAACAATAACCTCTGGAACAACAACCAGTGGAACAACATCAATCAGTGGTACAACTACATCTGGTACAACAACAACCAGTGGCTCTACCACATCTGGAACATCAACCAGTGGATCAACATCAACGAGTGGCACTATAACGAGTGGTACTACAAGCAGTGGTACTACAACGCCTGGAACAACAACCAGTGTTACTACAACATCTGGAACAACAACCAGTGGCAGTACAACGTCTGGAACAACAACCAGTGGAACAACATCAACCAGTGGTACTACAACGAGTGGTACTACAACGTCTGGAACAACAACCAGTGGTACTACAACGTCTCGAACAACGACCAGTGTGACAACATCAACCAGTGGTACAACAACATCAGGAACAACAACAACCAGTGGCACTACCACATCAGGGACAGCAACGAGTGGTACTACCACATCTGGAAGAACAACCAGTGGAAAAACAACAACCAGTGGCACTACATCATCAGGAACAACAACCAGTGGCACTACCGCATCGAGAACAACAACCAGTGGCACTACCACATCTGGAACAACAAGGAGTGGTACTACCACATCTGGAACAACAACCAGTGGAACAACATCAACCAGTGGTACAACAACATCAGGAACAACAACAACCAGTGGCTCTACCATATCAGGAACAACAACGAGTGGTACCACCACATCTGGAACAACAACCAGTGGAACAACATCAACCAGTGGTACCACTACATCACGAACAACAACAACCAGTGGCACTACCACATCTGGAACAACAACAACAAGTGGCACTACCACATCAGGAACAACAACCAGTGGAACAACATCAACAAGTGGTACAACCACATCAGGGACAACAACAACCAGTGGCACTACCACATCTGGAACAACAACGAGTGGGACTACCACATCTGAAACAACAACCAGTGGAACAACATCAACCAGTGGTACAACCACATCAGGAACATCAACAACCAGTGGCACTACCACATCTGGAACATCAACGAGTGGTACTACCACATCTGGAACAACAACCAGTGGAACAACATCAACCAGTGGCACAACCACATCAGGAACAACAACAACGAGTGGCACTACCACATCAGGAACAACAACGAGTGGTACTACCACATCAGGAACAACAACCAGTGGCACTACCACATCAGGGACAGTAACCAGTGGCACTACCACATCAGGAACAACAACCAGTGGCACTACCACATCTGGAACAACAACCAGTGGCACTACCACATCTGGAACAACAACTAGTGGTACTACCACATCTGGAACAACAACCAGTGGAACAACATCAACCAGTGGTACAACCACATCAGGAACAACAACGAGTGGCACTACCACATCAGGAACAACAACCAGTGGAACAACATCAACCAGTGGTACAGCCACATCAGGAACAACAACAATCAGTGGCAGTACCACATCTGGAACAACAACCAGTGGTACTACCACATCTGGAACAACAACACCCAGTGGCACTACCATATCTGGAACAACAACCAGTGGTACTACCACATCTGGAACAACAACCAGTGGAACAACATCAACCAGTGGTACAGCCACATCAGGAACAACAACAACCAGTGGCACTACCACATCTGGAACAACAACCAGTGGCACTGCCACATCAGGAACAACAACCAGTGGAACAACATCAACCAGTGGCACAACCATATCAGGGACAACAACAGCCAGTGGCAGTACCACATCAGGAACAACGACCAGTGGTATTACGACATCTGGAACAACAACCAGTGGAACAACATCAACCAGTGGTACAGCCACATCAGGATCAACAACAACCAGTGGCACTACCACATCTGGAACAACAACCAGTGGCACTACCACATCAGGAACAACAACCAGTGGAACAACATCAACCAGTGGCACAACCATATCAGGGACAACAACAGCCAGTGGCAGTACCACATCAGGAACAACAACCAGTGGTACTACGACATCTGGAACAACAACCAGTGGAACAACATCAACCAGTGGTACCACCACATCAGGAACAACAACAACCAGTGGCACTACCACCACTGGAACAACAACTAGTGGTACTACCACATCTGGAACAACAACCAGTGGAACAACATCAACCAGTGGTACCACCACATCAGGAACAACAACAACCAGTGGCACTACCACATCTGGAACAACAACGAGTGGTACTACCACATCTGGAACAACAACCAGTGGAACAACATCAACCAATGGCACTACCACATCAGGAACAACAACCAGTGGCACAACCACATCAGGAACAACAACGAGTGGTACTACCACATCTGGAACAGCAACGAGTGGTACCACGACATCTGGAACAACAACCAGTGGAACTACATCAACCAGTGGCACTACCACTGGTACAACCACATCAGGAACAACAACAACCAGTGGCACTACCACATCTGGAACAACAACAAGTGGTACTACTACATCAGGAACAGCAACGAGTGGTACCACCACATCTGGAACAACAACCAGTGGAACAACATCAACCAGTGGCACTACCACATCTGGAACAACAACCAGTGGCACTACCACATCTGGAACAACAACGAGTGGTACTACCACATCTGGAACAACAACCAGTGGTACAACATCAACCAGTGGCAATACCACATCTGGAACAACAACCAGTGGCACTACCACATCAGGAACAACAACGAGTGGCACTACCACATCTGGAACAACAACCAGTGGTACCACCACGTCTGGAACAACAACCAGTGGAACTACCACATCAGGAGCAGCAACGAGTGGTACCACCACATCTGGAACAACAACCAGTGGAACAACATCAACCAATGGCACTACCACATCAGGAACAACAACCAGTGGCACAACCACATCAGGAACAACAACGAGTGGTACTACCACATCTGGAACAGCAACGAGTGGTACCACGACATCTGGAACAACAACCAGTGGAACTACATCAACCAGTGGCACTACCACTGGTACAACAACATCTGGAACAACAACAACCAGTGGCACTACCACATCTGGAACAGCAACGAGTGGTACCACCACATCTGGAACAACAACCAGTGGAACAACATCAACCAGTGGTACAACCACATCAGGAACAACAACAACCAGTGGTACTACCACATCTGGAACAACAACGAGTGGTACTACCACATCTGGAACAACAACCAGTGGAACAACATCAACCAGTGGCACTACCACATCTGGACCAACAACCAGTGGCACTACCACATCAGGAACAACAACGAGTGGCACTACCACATCTGGAACAGCAACGAGTGGTACCACCACATCTGGAACAACAACCAGTGGAACTACATCAAACAGTGGCACTACCACTGGTACAACCACATCAGGAACAACAACAACGAGTGGCACTACCACATCTGGAACAACAACAAGTGGTACTACCACATCTGGAACAACAACCAGTGGAACAACATCAACCAGTGGCACTACCACATCAGGAACAACAACCAGTGGCACTACCACATCAGGAACAACAACGAGTGGCACTACCACATCAGGAGCAGCAACGAGTGGTACCACCACATCTGGAACAACAACCATTGGAACTACATCAACCAGTGGCACCACCACATCAGGAACAACAACCAGTGGCACTACCACATCTGGAACAACAACCAGCGGAACTTCATCAACCAGTGGCACCACCACATCTGGAACAACAACCAGTGGCACTACCACATCTGGAACAACAACCAGTGGAACAACATCAACCAGTGGTACAACCACATCAGGAACAACAACAACGAGTGGCACTGCAACATCAGTAGCAGCAACGAGTGGCACTACCACATCTGGAACAACAAACAGTGGAACTACATCAACCAGTGGTACAACCACATCTGGAACAACAACAACCAGTGGCACTACCACATCTGGAACAACAACCAGTGGCACTACCACATCTGGAACAACAACCAGTGGAACAACATCAACCAGTGGTACAACCACATCAGGGACAACAATAACCAGTGGCACTACCACATCTGGAACAACAACCAGTGGAACAACATCAACCAGTGGTACAACCACATCAGGAACAACAACAACGAGTGGTACTGCCACATCTGGAACAACAACCAGTGGAACAACATCAACCAGTGGTACAACCACATCAGGAACAACAACAACGAGTGGTACTACCACATCTGGAACAACAACCAGTGGAACAACATCAACCAGTGGTACCACCACATCAGG